TAAAATGATTATGTAATTTCTATAAGTTTTTTATTTGTTTTTTTTAAAGTAATAGAATTACTATTTTGATTGATAACAATATCTCAAAAGTTATATAAAAATGCTATATATTTGCTTCAAACTATATTTTATGTTTAATATATATTTTACTATAATCTATATTATTATAAATACATTATAAATTCTTAAGTAATACATTGTATTACTTGATAAATTAAAACATATGTAAATAAATAAAATCAATTAAATTTGCAAACAAAAGTAAATATTTATTACATACGTTTACAATGTAACACTGTGTGTAAATACAATATTAAATTTTCTTTTAAAATCAACATACAGGTAGATAAACAATTGATTTAAAATTTATAAATAATTTTTATATTCTTAAAATATCTATAATATCTATTTTTTGAATGAATAAAAAATTTTAATTAATTTTTAAGAAATATTTGAGTTTAATACTAAAAATTAAAATATAATGTTTGAAACTAAATAATATTATATAAATATTGTTTTGTGTTTATTCTGTAGGAAAACTTATAACTATTAGAGCTTTTATAGCTATAGATATTATTCGTTACATAAATGTAGCAATTGTTTTGTAGGCGTCGAGAGAGAGAGAGAGAGAGAGAGAGAGAGAGAGAGAGAGAGAGAGAGAGAGAGAGAAAGAGCCCGGGACTAAAAAATATGATGTACTCTATTGTATGTTTCAAATACACTGAGCTCTGATGTGATGAGTAGGCGTTGAGCAGGTTTTTTGTCGGTACAACAAAATAATGACTTATAAAGTGATGCCATCACTGATTCAATTGAAACCTATAATTTGCTGGCATTGGATGTCTAAGCAATACACAAACACACATACATCTATTTCACATTTCTCTCTCTCTCTCTCTCTCTCTCTCTCTCTCTCTCTCTCACTTACTCACTTACTCACTCACTCACTTACTCACTCACTCACTCACTCACTCACTCACTCACTCAACAAACACACACACAAACTCAGGTAAACGGTTTCATAAATTAAAGTCAAAACAATATCCTATTTGTATGTCTGTATATATATTGATAAGTTTTGTTGTTTAAAACTTAGTTAAAAAACAATTAGATTGCTTTGTTTATCATAAAATAGTTTTGATGTAATTTTAATTATGTTTGAAAATATCACAGTTTCTAAATATTTGCTAAATTAGTTTTACAATTAGAAAGTTAAATAATTACAGTAACTTATATGTAATGTAATTACCTTTTGTATATTTATTTGTTTTTCAATATTATTATTGAATATTTATATTGTTTAATTTAATTTATAATACAATTTATGGGTATTCAGGTACAATAATTAATTTAAATAAGTGCTAAACTTATTTATGTATTTTAGTAAAAAAAAGTGTGGATTATATTAGATTATAATTGATTTGAAAATCACGAAATCCGAAAACTTCGTGAGTCTTTAATATGTTGTGAAAACAATTATTTTATTGTATCAGACAATTTGATTATATCAAATGCAAATATATGAAACAATGAATATATAAATTGTTTGTTTAAAAAATAACTGAAATGATTAAAAATTATAATTTTAAGTCAATTTAGAAATCAATTATTTTGATTATTGTGTGAAATTATTAATACAAAATAATTTTATAGAATTAAATAGAATCACGAATATAATGTATTTATAGTAAAAAGTAATAATATTAATAATAATTAAAAAATATTATATTTTATTAAATCAATAATAAAAGATATGTATAATACAATAATAAATAATTACAATTTTATAAAATTTTTATTTTAATTACTATATACTAGTATGTGTAAAGTTTGATCAAATTTACATTTAATGTATTGTAAAGTGTTGTAATGTATATGTCATAAAGGTTACATCATAACAATGTTATAAACATATAAAATTTACAGTTTAAGCTAATAATTATAAATACTATATGTTAAACTTATTAAACTAAAAATAAATGAATAAATAAATTGAAATTTTATTACACAATTTGTTATAAAAAATAGACTATTAGTTTAAGTATAACTCATTGAGTTTTAATTAAATAAAAAAATACTCATCAAAAAAATATTATATAATCTGTAAAATTATGGAAAATTTAATTATATATTTAATGAAATATAATAACTAATAATAAAGTACCTGTATAATATAATATATACTGTATTCATTATGTTTATACAGTATTTAATTTTATATTTGTATTTTATAAACAATTTTCACACTAACAAAGCTTAATTAAAATCACACGAAAATTTCAATCTTTAAACTAAATCTTTATTTAGAAATTTATAGTCATTTTTTAGTAATTTATAGCAAATCAATTTGGATTAACTTATTTTTGCTTATATTTTTTCAAAATAGCAAAAATAGTATTTAATATTTAGATATATATTAAGAAAACTTTTTTTGTTGCCTTTTAATGGCTGTTAAGGCGATGTTCGCATCAATAATAAAGCGGTCGCTTTGTATCATAAATTTGGTTTAAATCATCACAACTCGCAAAATAATTACAGTCATTATTAATATTATTATTACATATAAATACATATATAATATTATTCGAGTATCAAAACATTCGTTATAATGAAACACATAATCATTATAAGAGAAAATTTCATTAAAATTCTGATTTATGTCTATGCCTTTGACACTGTTTTTTCAAAAAATTTTATCTCAACTTTTATATTCATTTTCATATCATATCTCATAAACAGTTTATACGTTATATTTATATAAAACTTGATTTTTTGTTTTGTTGTGTCCACTATTCGATAGTATAGATAGTGATTTAAATTCAAATATGTATTTCGAATGTTTTTTTAGTTATTATAAAATGTTTAAAATATATTTTAATTTTTTAGTTTTTATTTAGTTTTTCAAGTTTAATCTTAAAGAAAACAAAACAAAAAAGTTAATTATGTTTGAAAATATACATTTATATAAATATTACAACATTTATAATGCTAGTGAGAAACATAATGGTCAATCTTGGCTTACTATAGCTGTACTGTATTGTACTATTTATTAATAATATGAATTAACTTATCCTATAGTAAATAAATATATACATTACACGCTAAATATATATAAAGCATTAAATTGTTGCACAATTTATAGCCACTTATATGTTATGGATTTTTGTAGTCTATTATTATCTGAAAACAAGACTTATAATCAGATATGAAAACAAATTATTTGATTAATCAGATCAATAAAACTAAAATATTCTCTGCTATTTAATAGTTTAATATGTTATGCAATATAACAAACAATTAATGATAATAAAGCTCTAAAATAATTAGTACTCTCTGTTATTTAGAAACTCATTTCCATTTAATAAATAATAAATAAAACACTCGTATCATATAATATAAGTTTTTTCTGTATATTTGAAAACATTTTTAAAAAATTTTATTTATAACAAAAATTTTTACTTGTATATATTAATTACTCATTCCATATATTTCTAATGTATAACATCATAAACTTTTATTATATAGTTTTTATTTTAATTATTATTGCTGTATTTTAAGTATAAACGCTTTGAGGAAATTTTACTTCTAAAGCTTTACTTTATAAAAAAAAACATTTTATAAATTGCAAAAATTGATTTAATTGTGTTGTTTAATAAAAAAATATAAATATTAATTATTTTATTCAGTTTTGAAAAACTTAAAAACATTAATAGACCTAAAATAGCATTAAATGTTGTAAGTAATATATATAATATATATAATATTACTAATATTAATTTATTAATAGTCTAATAAATTTAATCAAAAAATATTACTATTTACTTATAATAATAATAAGCAGAAAGTAACGTTTAGTGTATTAATTCATCGCTTAGTAATAACTGTTATTATAAAACAGTTTTTTATTTTTAGGTAATACTCCACCAAATTATTCACTTATGAAGTGCTGAAACAGTACTGTATAGTACTGTCCATTGAATCACTTAATATTGATATGATTTACATTGTTTATTGTATTGTGTGTTGAGACAAATTAAATCATTATTCAATTTTTTTTTTAAATAGTTACATTTGTATTTATAAATTTATTGAAGTTTTTTTCTGAATTGATTTAAATCTATTCTACTTTATTTCAAAAACAATTTGATAGGATTTGCAATAAATTGTTGGTGTATTTGACGGCCATATAGATTGAATGAATTGTTTGACATAAAGTGATTTAGTTTATGACACAAGTGTCCGCTGCACTCTCAATATGGGTTCAAATTTCTTGGAAACACCACTGCCTGAGGACACAAACATGCGTTAGGACTGTCCGTCCGATATGACCAATGTGTCCAAAATATCCAATAGACTAAACCACATGTCATATAGCTTTTTGAAATGTGCCATAAAGTAGTGCTGTATTGTAATTGACTTAATTGTCAAACTGAATAATTGCTTAAGAATTAAGTGATTGTTAAGTTTAAATGATAGCAATAAAAATATACTATAAATTAATATATGACACGTTATTTAGTTTATAACTTATAAGACACACTTGTAAACTAAACTATTACACTAACAATCATATAATTGCAATTGAAATGATAATTATAAATAATTTTTTAAAATTTTGTTTATATTAAGTTTTGAGTGTTTGTCAACAATGCATTTGTGTTGAAATATAATAAAAATTAATATTATAATTATAATAATTATACAATTATACAATTATATCTAAATTCAATGGTTATTTGCGTGAATAGAGATAAGAAATTCAAGTCTTTTTATAAAATGTTAGTACAGAATAATTCAATGCAATTTAATGGCACAATATATCAGTCATTGTAATATATATAACTTTTTCAGATCTCTCTCTCTCTCTCTCTCTCTCTCTCTCTCTCTCTCTCTCTCTCTCTCTCTCTCTCTTTCTCTCTCTTCATATCTACATTTAAAGCTATTGTCTTATATAAGAAACGACACAATCAATCATGTCTTAAGATAAATAGTTTGATGAATGAGTTAGAAAGGCTTGATTCCAGGTATTGGTTGTCATTAAGAAGACTGTCATTGAAAGTATTTGTGGGGAAGAAGAGGACAACAATTGAATAGAAAGAGAAAGAGAGAGAGAGAGAGAGAGAGAGAGAGAGAGAGAGAGAGAGAGAGAGAGAGAGAGACCATAGAGTAATGTTTCGGTACTACAGTATGAAATACTATCAAATATAGCGTAGTTATGCTCCGGAAGTCCAAACAGGCCTCTCCTCTCTTGTTTGTAATGTTACCATTGATTTCTTATACACATTTATACTACAGTATGAGCTGATCCAACCAATGAAACTTAAGAAACTGGTTGTACTATGAAATACTGCACGTGTGCTCATATCGTAGTGCAAGTGCTCGTAGGTTATCATTGGTTGAGATAACAGCATAGTATGGATGTGTAAAGTGAAAGAAGACTCAATGGAAAGCACTGGTAGTAATAGTGTTCAGTTGTTTAGTAGACTCCGATGGTGTATGTGATGTGAACTGTCAAATGTTAGGATCAGTAGAGTCTCTATTGAATGCATACCAAAGCTATGGCTTATGAGTAGTGCAGCACTTGATAGCAACAGCACAGCAGTGAACCACTGATTGCCTCCAACTCTGTATTGCATTGCATTGTATTGAATACTTAGTGTACTTACTATTCAAACATAGTTTGCAAAGAGAGAGCTCATACCTATTGGTTTTGGGCACCACTAATGTTAGTGCCGTAATACCAGTGCTCTGTTGACTGACTTGTGAAGAGTTCTTTGGGAAAACAAGCGCTTTATTGAATCAAACATTACATTCCCGGAGGACTTCTTCTATTGATAAGACTTTTAAGCGCAACGACAACGACCATCACTTCCAACACTTTCAAAGAGAGAGTGAATTACTTCTTGTGCTGTCATTTCTACACAAATATAAAAGGTTTGCAATTTCTTTGACTAAAATATCTATTATTCCCATTGCTTTGACACCAATTTCTTGTCTCTTATGTTACAAACTTTAACTCAATTCAAATCTCTAACCAAACCTTTGATTATTTGTATATACGATTAAAATAGTTTTAAATATAATAAGTTTTTAGTATTATCATCAAAAATACAAAAACTATTTTAATATTTAATATATTAGATAATAAAAGTTTTTTTTACTATTTTTATTAACATTACTTCATATTATACTGATTTGTTGCTTAGAAATTGTTAAAGTTTTTACTCAATTTATGAAATTATATTTTATATTAATTTTTAATATATTAATGAATTATAATACAAAGTTTAATATATAACTTGATATATTTATTAAATTTAAATGCACACAATATTAAATGGTGCTATCATACAATATATTAATATTTTTTTTAATATAACAAATAATTTTACAATAGTATTGAAAATAATAGCTAAATACAGTATAAGTGCAATACAATAATTATTTTTTTGTATATTGTAGTATTAGTACCGGTATTATAAAAAGATAACATTAATAGATTTATATTATAATATACACTATAAATATACATGTATATATTGATAGATAATCATATATATATATATATATATATGATCAATGAAATTTGTATCTATTTAGTTAATAAAATAAAGTTATTTGTTTTATTGTATAAGAATCATTGGTTATTTACATTTTATTTATTACCATACTATTATTGTTATTACATTTTTATAAATAATCAATTTATAGTCAATGATTATCACTTGAATGTCAATAGTTTTCAAAACGACATGTTATTGTATGCATTATTTAAACAAATAAGTTGTCGTTTATTTGAGAAATGTTGACAATTCAAGTGATAACGTGATAACCACCGGATATTTGGACTCAACTAAAGTTAGAGATAAAATAATTTCTGTTATGTTATACTATTATAATAATATTTTGTATGAATTGAGTTTTTCAAAAGTAATACAAATAAGTTTTACTATAATTTATAATCTTGAAGTAACTTTCACCAAATATTATATTAAATATTTTTTATGATATATATTATTTATATATATTGAATATTATTAACTATTTATCTACTAAATATCTATTTTAGTCGATTATATTTGATTTGTTTTATAACAGATATGTTAACATTAAAACAATTTCAATAACTTAAAACATATAATTACATTACAATAATTGACACAACGTTTCTTTATTAATCAGTTTTACAGAATCTGCATTTAGATTATATTATGTAATTCATTGAACATTTTTTACATTATTTTTATGAAATATCAAGTTATCATTAATACTGTACAATGATAATTATGAATAATACTATAAAGCACTTTCAATCAAATAATACATTTTGATATAAATATTATAATACTATTATATTTTAAGAATTGACTTTAAAATACTAATAATTATTAACTTAATAATTGTCTTCAGAATTCAAGTTATGCATCATTTGTCAGCAATTGCTCCAAACGATTGTTATTTAAAGCAAAGAATTTTTAAGGCAAATCCAAATTCTGAGGTAATAATTAATAAAATCATAATTTTTATCACTGACAGAGTTGTATAATAAATAAATGAATTATTGCTATAGTTGGACGAGTTCTTTGACACTTCAGTCCACAATCAAATGCTTTACAATCCGACGACAGCAATGCAACCACAGCAACAACTGATGACACATTCGTCACATCAGTTAAGACCTCATCCGCAACAGTACAACAATGCATTAATAGGACATCCACAGCAACAACAGTACAATAATATGAACACTATGTTAGTTCAGGACAATATGTGGGAAGACATCACTGCCAGCATTTGCGATGACTTTGTTACTATAAAGACTGAACCCACTCATCACCAAAATCATCAAAGATATCAAACACCTGTAAATAGCAATGATTGTAATACATCTCATGTTTTACACTCAAATCCTCAACCACTGCATCCCTCGTATATGAGACACACACCTAATATGCAATCCTCTTCTCAGTCATTATATGGCAATATAATCAACACTTCATATAACAACAATACTATGTCAGCCAATGTGTCTTCAAATATGTCTTCAGACCATTATTCTAATCGGGAACAGCTTTTCCTACCACCGACGCCACCCAATTCAGAACCGGGTTCTCCATCGACACAATTGCAACAACATTCCCGTTCCCATCATAACCACCAGACATCTGCAGCAAATCAAATCCAAAGAAGAACACCTCCACCACCTTATAACACGTGTGGAAATACTATAAACCCTCCACATCACCACCAAATGACAACATTGTCACCAGCAATGCATCTGAACACTACCCGTATATCCACTTCTCAATCACAGCCGATCTCACATCATTCCCCACTCACAGTACCGACTGTTCCTCAACAGAGATATAACAGAAGAAATAATCCTGAATTAGAAAAACGACGAATACATCGATGCGATTATCAAGGTTTGTATCTCAGCCTATATATTAGTCCTATGTTTTAATGTTTGCACAAAACGAGTCCAATTAATACAGTATAATGTGTTGTCATATATGTAGAGATTTGCGTGTTTTAGACTCATTAACCGCTAACCATTACAATCATCTATAGTAATGCCTCTCTTAAAGTTGTCGATGTATTCAATGTATTCAATGTATTGCCCGACAATTAGATGAGTTGAAGCCTTAAGTAATCTTTTGCTATTAAAGACCTTCACTTTTTCATCTCTCTCTCTCTCTCTCTCTCTCTCTCTCTCTCTCACTCACTCACACTCTCTCATTCCCTGTCCCTTCCATTGAATATATGCCATACCAGTGCCCGTATCTCCCATTACTACATTTGACAATCATATTAGTCATGTTTCTCATGTCATTTTCACACACAAACTAATACACAGCTGTTATTCGTTGATCTTTTTTCACTAATATTTATATTTCTCAGTAATCGTGTCTTTAGTCAAATATATCTATAAGTAGTGATTGTATACACAATGTATTGGCCATTCCCTACACGTATTGAATGGTAAATTGTAATGAATATAAAGAGGGAGAAGAAGATGTATACAAATGACAAAACACTTAATTATATGAACCATCACTACAAACATCATTACAATCACAATCATGTCATTAACGAGTTATTGCAGTTATAATTACAGCACACAATCATAGACTTACTATAACTAGGCTTTTAGGTATAGGTTTATAAAACTTGAATCAAATTGTAAAAATAATTTACTTTGAAATAAACATTAAATACATTAATCATTCAAAATAACTAATTATTACAATTGAATGACTTGTCATTTGTAAGCATCTAATTGTGTGAACTGTTGTCTTAAGTTTTGTGGTTAAAACAAATGTATTCAAATTAACTAATAATTATTACAATTAGTTGAATGCAATTTTGTAATATACTTTACTTTGTATTTTTCATTGTATAGGTTGTACTAAAGTGTATACCAAGAGCTCACACCTGAAGGCACACCAGCGCATACATACAGGTTTGTGTCATTTTGTTGTCAATGATTTACTATAGTATCACATGTTTTACTATACTATCGATCTTTTGAATCATTTTTCGTCAAATAAGACGTTAAATTAGACACTATTTCTTAACAGTGATAGAGAGGCTATAAATTTTTAAGTAACACAAAAATGCAAAATAAGTGTCTTTTTCCAAAAAAATGCATAATTCATTTGGTTGTGATATTCAATGTTTAGGTGAAAAGCCATACAAATGTCATTGGCCTGACTGTCAGTGGCGTTTTGCCCGATCCGATGAGTTGACCCGACATTACCGCAAACATACCGGAGCCAAACCTTTCAAATGTAAAGTTTGTGAAAGAAGTTTCGCCCGCTCTGACCATTTGGCACTTCATATGAAACGACATTTACCTAAACCACATAAATAACTATCAATTGACATCTCATTTACATCCATATCATCATTCATTTACATGATATCTCAAATCATCTCATCTCTCATTTCAGTCACCAATAATGACATTAATGATGGCATTGTTTGTGCCTTACATTTAGTGCACTTATAAACTATAAGTTATAGTATTAAGTTTGCCTTAAATTTGCATTACATTCAAATAAGTTATAACTTTTTACAATTTGTGATCTGCAATGAAAAGTAATTTTATATGTAAATATAAACTATTTTATTTAAAATGTAAGTTATATTTTTATACAAAATATTGTAATAATTTTATTTAAAAATTTTAAAAATAATTTGTATGCCATTTATTAAAAAGCCAATCTGTATTTGTTGATTGTATTTTTTTATTATAAAGTCACTACCATTGTATTGTCAACAATTATTTTGAAAACATGCAATATAAATATAATATAAATATTAAATTTTTGATATAACTATTTATAAAATCAAATATATTTAGAATTTATGTAAATTTATGTTTACGTGCATTCAATACACTATACTATTATATAAACACCGGTCCACTAAATATATACATTATTTTATGAACTGATTTTAATTTAATTATTCATTTATAAGTGCCTTTTGTGAACATATAAATAAAATATAGTTAACTTAAAAAAAAGTTTATGAACTTTTAATATTAAATATATAATTTATATATATTGTAAACATATTTTTTAATTACATACAATAAATTATATACTATTTTTATAATTAATGTATACTCTATTATTACATGAATAAAGCTTTATTATAATTATAAACAAAACCAGAGTTTCCGATAGTAATTATATTATGATTACAAAATTGAGTCAAAAAAATTAGATAACAAACTTAATGAATGAATGAGTATATGAATGAATGAATGAGTAAATTGTCGATTGTTTTAATTAGCAATTTATTTAATTTAGAGGATTAGTCTCGAGGGGAAAGGCAGTCAAAAAAGGCATAGTAGTAGTCGTGTGTGTCGTGCACTCGTTTCTCAGAGCAATTCAATACAATTATTCAAATCATATTTATTCTGTACTTTGCAAACAATAATATTAATGTTTTTAAAGTGATTATTATTATTAATAAAAATTATATAAATAAAAATCTAAGGCGTGTGATATTATAAACAATATGTAGTATTCAAAACATATTTAATTTAAATTTATACGGTATTACCACTCTTTAGGAGCACTTATGATAAGACACGGCGTTGTGTTTAACAGTAATTAGGATCTCGTATTAGCGCTAACTGTGAGTAGTTTTAAAAAAATAAATTATATTTAATTTGAATTTTTAAGTATATTATTCATTACTTGTGTTGTAAACTAAAGATAAAGCAAGCATTTAAATGACAGTATTTAGCATTAAAAAAACAAACGGAAAAGTAATTTTCAAGCGGTAATTGTTGTACAATACGGGCGTTCAAGTATTGCAAACATATTTATGAATAGATGATCATATGATCAAAAGGCAACATATAATTTAGGCACTGTTTGACCAGTTTTTTAGAGCTAACATTTCCTCTATGTGTTGTTACCTATCATATGATTCATACCACTCATCAACAATTATATTGACAATAACTGAGAGATGGGCCGTCAATTGAATCCGTTATTAGCCAAACTGTATTACAATTACTTAAATATTATATTTACTGTTATTGCTGTATAGTGTATGATAATAATGTATTTAAAATATTTGGCATTCAAAACATTCAATACTTTTATGGCAAACAAATGTTTTAATGCAAATTATATTATATTAGGCTTTCTCTAAATAATAAGATTTTTTAGTAAAAACATAAATATATAGCATTTGAAAGTACCAAATGATAGTCTCTTGATTTTAAAAACCTGTGGATCTATAGGTTATAACGACTGTTAAGATTTAAACTTTTTTACTGATTTTTAAATAATACCTGTCGACCATACGTTCCGCAATACAATGTCTTATGCCTCCCAGTGCTCAACCATTCATTGCCACACTTGTCTTCATTTTGAATGTCAGTTTCTTTCTTTCAGAAAAATATCTTGTCTTTGGATCACAAGATATGTGAGAGTAAACTCTCCGATAAAAAACAGTGTAATATATCTCATGAGCAAAATGTATGCCAAAGTGTGCAGACATGAAGCACACTATTAAACATATTATTGGCTAATTGGCCGAAACGAGACATTTAGATATTTAGTTAAAAAAACTTTTTTAAAGAAAAGCCTAAACACAACATTCAATATAATTGACGTTTTATAGCCTCTCCATAGCTATCGGCTATTTTGTGTTGAATAGTTGTATTATTGAGCGCTAGTAGATAGATAGCTGAGGGTCCACTACTCTATTTTGTTGGTCTCTATGTGTGTGTAAACGGACTATCGGTCGTAAAATAAATTGTCATAAAATGTATACAAAAGCTAATTGAGCCAAAGTATTGGTCGACAAAACCCGGGATTGCAATGCAATGCACGCGTATATGTGTTATATGATTGCCATCAGTCAACTCATTGCCAGAGACTTTTTGAACCAATATTTTCAAATCAATTAATTGACTGCTAAAACAAATCCTCAAATAAATCTGGGAATTTAACCTCAGATGATATATACTGTACATTAAATAAAAGCTTATTTTATATAATCACTTGAATTACAATTTTGCGATAAAATTTTCTGATAACTGTTATTATATGGTTATATGTATATTTGGTTTGTATTTTAAGTATAATTTTTTGTTGTTAGTTATTTTTAACATTAAACTAAAACCATTATGTTTGTTATCTTATAGTTTTATACAAGCCTTTATATAGCTATAAACTAAAATTTTGTGAATTAATGAGATAATAGTGTTTTATAAAAATGAGATCAAAATTAATTATATAAATAGATATTGTATACAGTATATTATTATTAGTTGTTTGTACAGTTGCAGATATAAAATTATGAGATCAAAATTGTTTTATTGTTTCATTTATACAGTAAATAAAAAAACAAAATTTTATTTTGAATTATTTTTTTTTTGAAACAAGCATTTAATATTATATCATAGATAGAAATATACACATTTGCACCATAAAAATTGTTAAATATAAATTAAAAATTTTAATGATAGTTTGAAATTAAATAATTATTTTATGTATTTTTTGTGTACTAAATTATTTATAAGTTACATTATATTGGAATTAATTTGTAAATAAAGACAACTATAAGTAAGTTATAAAGATAAAATTAACCCATTTTTTATGACAACAGCAAATTGAACATAAATTTTAGATTTCAAATAAAAAATATTTTTAATTGAAAAAAAACGATTTGTGATAAAACTAAGAGATAAATCATAGCAATTTGATTTGAGATAATTTTTGCTACAAAAAAATAAATAAAATGTCACAAAATTAAGACATCTTCACTCACAGACACTGACAAACAAACTATGTCTCGGCTATGAAATGAATGAGAAATTAAGTAATAATTTATTATTTAACAGATAGACAATAAAACATAATTTTATTATAAACTTCAATTAAAATGTTTGATTAGTTTATAGATTTGATAATAATATTTAATTAGAAAATAATTTATTACTTTTTATAATAGCAAAGATTCATTCAGTGTTTTGAAGTCTTTAAAAATAAATAAACTATATCTTAATGATGACGATATGGTAGTTATATACTATATATTTGTATTATACACTACAAGACAGTACTAAATTATATACATTGGAATTAACCGACAGTTTTTCAAATAAACAAAATTAGCAAATATTTCAATAATGTTTTATTTTTAATAATTGTGATTAAATCCATGAAATCCAAAATACTGTATAAATATAAAATAAATAATATTAGAAATAAATAAATAAATTATTGAATAAAATCAAACATTCAAAACTCGATATTAATAAACCAGTAAATCAATACTAATGTACTCCTGTCTAATATAAATATAAAAACTTTTGTTTAATTGATATTTTCAATTAATTATAATTTTAAAATCTGATTTGTGACTTAATATATGGGATTGATTGCAACATTTTCATCATTTTTGAATAAAAATTTCAAAAGTCATCCACGAATTCATCCGACAATATATACTAATCTTTGCATTAGTTGATTTGAATAATCTATTTTTTTATTATTAAATTAACTATAATTTTTGCATTTATTAGTAAATTAAAATTGATAAATAAAACAAATAACAAATTAATTTTAAATGTGGTCCACAATGTATAGACATACGGTATTTGGATATAGATAAGCATAATATTTTATATAGTATTTAGTACAATATAAATTTATGTACAGAAAAGACATAGTTATAATTTAGTTATAGTTATAATTTAGTTATAGTTATAATTTAGTTATAGTTATAATTTAGTTATAGTTATAATTTAGTTATAGTTATAATTTAGTTATAGTTATAATTTAGTTATAGTTATAATTTAGTTATAGTTATAATTTAGTTATAGTTATAATTTAGTTATAGTTATAATTTAGTTATAGTTATAATTTAGTTATAGTTATAATTTAGTTATAAAAAACTGTAAAATAAAAAAGTTCGTTAATCTATAAGTTATTATTTTATTAGTTATTTATTTATTAAGATCTATAATAAGTATTATATATTTCTAAGTATAAATTTCTATAAAAATATATAATTATATTAACTATTAATAAATTAAATTAGATATCAAAATGAATTTAAATGATATGAAAATTATATTTAACATAGAATTCAATTAGTGATGACATCTATTAAGTTAACAATCAATGAAAGTATCAAAACATAGCAATGCTTTTCAATTGAATCGACAAAACATTTGAATTAAATATAATTAAAGCAATGATTTTAAAGCCGTGTTTGCGGTCATTGAGTGCATTGAAAACAAGCATAAGTTGGACACAACATCGGGCCATAAATATTGGCCAAAATGACAAACGAATTGTTCAACAATTAATAAAAGATGAAGACGAGGACAACTCGTTGATCAAAGTGACCAAATTGTTTAATCGGGTCAACGATGTTATTATTGACGAAAAATGTGGCCAAAACTTTGCGGTCGTCCATGTGTTTGGTCGCCAACATGTTGTCCACATGAATGACATCATTAGTTATCGTAACAGCTTTGAGGCTAAAGTCGGCGAAATCATCAAACTTGAGAAATGTCTTTTAGTCGGTAACAACACGTTTACACTTATTGGTAGACCACTGCTGTCCCGCGATTTAGTCCAAATTGAGGCCACAGTTCTCGAGAAGACAATGACACACACGTATTACAACGTTAAGTCCATTCCCCGAAACCACGGCTACCGACGATGGCGTTTCCAACGATACCCGTTGACAATGCTTCGCATTAATCGCATCGATATCTGCCATCAACTCAACCAAACTCAACAAATTGTCAATTAATTGTTAAATACTTATGAAAATTAAATGTTTTTATTAATCACTTAACAGTAGTATTGTAACGATATTGGGTTTACATTATATCATAACAGTTATAATAATTTACAGTATATGTTATATTAATGAATGTCTAATTGATCCCAACTTTATGTAATATACTGTACTTTACATGTCTTGATATCTCCTTATCATATAATTTCTAAAACAATGAATTAATATAATTTATGGCACTTTAAATAAATCAAACCATTATTTTAATAATAGTCAATAATTTGCTTTATATTTACAATTTATTTTAATGTAGTTAATAATTTATCTGTTAAAGTTAAATATATATATATATATATTTATAAACTGTACTGTGAAATACAAACTCGATATTATCTAAAAGTTTATTACAAGTTTTATATAAAGATAAATATTTGATTTATCTATTAAAATAAATATAATAGTTTATTTTAAAGGCATTTAATAAAATTTATCAATTAACAGTTGAAAAGTAACAAATTGCAAATACATAATTTAAAAATATAGGTTTAGGTGTGTATTACACTTATTTGAATGATTTTTAGCAGATTTGCAAATGAGTGAAATAAACAATTAACATATTAATCCATTGCTTCAATTAGTTTTGAAAATTGCTATTTAAAATAAATACATTATGTTTAACATAACAATTTTATAAGACTTTTTTGATAATTTGATCGATACTGTTGTTGTTTTTTCAAATTATCTTTATTATCATAAGAATTAGGTTATCCATTTCATCATCAATAAATCCATCAGTTGTTTAACAATATCGATGTTTGCTTATTAATTAATAAAATTTCATCAATTATGCAAATATATAAATTATGACAGTTTAATAAAAAACAAACAAACAGTATAAATATAATATATGATAATTTTATTAAAACTTCCAAAATCTTTAGTTTTTTTTATTAATATCGTTACATGAAATGTTATGTAATAAACTGCAATGCAAATACAGATATTTTTAAACTATCAAATGAGGCATAAGATGTATAATGAAAATTGCAAAAATGGCTCAAATTATTAATCATTTTTAATGTTCAATAATATTATTTATAATCTATTATTCATTTTTAATACATGAGACTTAATGGTAATGATAACCAGTTGGTCGCCAATAAAAACTAAGTCACAATTGAAATGATTTCAAACATATTTATAAGCAATTGGTTACCTGCGGTAACTCGCATTTATACACACAAATCAAATAATAAATTCATATAAAATTAGATTGAATTTAATGATAATATAATAAAAATAAAAAAGCATATAACTGGCATTTGAGGCAATCAAGTCTCATGTATACTATTAAACATATTTAGATGTAATTAAAAGAATTTGTTTATAAATTGGCGTTAATTTGGATTTAGATCGACAATTCCGACACAGTATTTCATATAATTTCTAATTTTTTGTAACAATAAACAGATTATAATTAAGGAAATATTTAGAAAAAATGTTAACAATTATGACAATTCATATATTATACAAATAATTCAATTGCCATTTCATAATAAGTCGAAATAAGATTCATTACTAACGGCATTCAGGTTTGTTATACTGACATACAGTGCTTATAACGGAAAACCTATTATCAATTAAGGTATCATTCGATCATTTTATTGTTTGTCGATTTTCTATTAATATTAATATTTTTCTGTAGTTATGATTGCAGACATAAAATTAGTGATTTTTTTTATAAATGATTTCTGACTTCGATTATGAATCTCATGATTTGGAAAATAATGACAATTGCTTTGATAGACAAAGAAATTTATAGAGAAAAAAGATATGAATACCCAAAATGTAATTTAGCTATAATTCAATTGTATAATAAACTATAATAAGAGACCGGTTTTTAATTAATCTATAGATAAATATTCCCTCAAATTTTGGTAACTTTTTCGCCAATCACTTGTGGATTGTTTTTACGAATCTCTTCAGCGCCGTGTTCTCTATAGTCAAACGTACAGTTGTGCTCATTGGCGTACCGGTGAGTACTACAGAAAGTGCCGCCACACCGACAAGGAAAACCTAATACAAAAAAAACAATAGTTAAATACCATACTATTTAACTATATATTAGTTAATCCTTACCAATAACGCCGACATTTATTTTACATTTAGTGCATCTGTTCTTCTTTTTCTTGTTAGTCTTGGGCGGATCGCTTCCATTGGCATCCGTTTGAGGTGTTTGTTGCGATCCGTTGGTCAACTCTTTGTCAACATTTGTCTTGACCACAGCTGAAGATTGGCTATTCTCTGCATTTGCTGAACCCTTTATAATAATAAAGTTTATTAATTATTCAAAACAGTTAGTTATAAACAACTGATATATGTCTGACTTGTGAGAGAATAGATTGTTTGGTAACGGTTTGAATATCCGATTGGCTATTTTTTTTTATAGCCTTCGAGTTGGTCTTAGAACTGATCTCTTTAGTTGTCTTATTGATACCTTTTTCATCGGCCAATCTACTCTTTTTTCTGTTATTTTTGTCACCCTTTTTGTCTGCACTTCGCTTTCTTTTATCAGACATTTGTGTCCAAAAAACTAATTAAATCTCAAACATAAAAGCGTTTCAAACGCCTTAAAATTCTAACACATTTACTACTGTTTTTAGTTTAAACTCAAATAATTTCAATTTAAACCTAACAAATGTGTTAATGAATGATTTTGATTGTTGTCAACAATCAAAACAGCAATACATGTCTCTCCCTCTCTCTCTCGTGATTAATCATATGTCAGACATATATAGTGTAGACAATATAAATGAAAATACCTCTAATTTAATGTCTTGAGCTATTATCGCAGATGGAACAGTTGGTAGGGCGGTGTTCAGGTTATTGTCTAAAGTGGCTTTAAGTGAGGAAGAGTCACAAGGTATTGAAGATATCGGGCTATTTCTGCCAGCGCTCGGATGAGACACCGAAGCGTTTGATGATTGGCTTAATTGTGAGTTTGGCGCCGACTGTTTCCTTTTGACCGCTTCTTTATAGCATTGAGAGCACAGACCATCAAATGATGGATTGCCATAAAATCCACATCCGGAACGACATAGGGAGGGACTCATCTGATTTGTATCCCTTTCCATATTTGATAAGATCAGGTCTTGTGATGATCAGTTAGTTGAAAAACTATTAGCAAAAAAACAACAAAATAATTTAAAATGAGTATATTATATGTATAACCATTAAACTAGAGTTTAATGAGTGATACAAAAAGTTGTGTCAAAAGTGGGACAATACTTGAATTAAAACATTAGTTTCATAGTAAATGAATCGTTGTTTAGTCAGTCAACAGGCCTTTCATTTTAGTGTTAATCATATGATTTGCAGTCTTTATCATCAAATGACGTATAGTTGTATGCATTCAATGCAATGCAATGCAAGGCCAACACTATAACAACTCAATTTGATTTTATATACAGTCTATGATATTACGACTAATTCATTATATGAAAAGTTCAATACAATTATCAATAATTACTAATTCATTACATCTAAAACTAATTTACTAACAAATCATTTTTAAAAATCAGTTCAACTAAATAGCCACTAAATTATGCCAATCTTAACCATAACTCAGATCAATCAACAATCAATAAAACTAAACAAAACATAAGGTTTCATAATATAAAATATAAGATGACTATTATTAATCATTAAACATATCATTAGCTTTTAACTGGTATTTACTTTTTTAAAACTAAAAAAACAAATTATTATTATAAGTTAACTATTGGTATAAATAATAATATTTATCAATTTAACTAAATTATATCATTTATAAATGTAAATAATAGTGTATTTAATAGCAACAGACATATTGATAAAGAGTAAGAAAATGTCATCAAATGTTAAAAATAATGAGTCATTTATTATTTGTAATCATTTCAAGACATTGACGGCTTTGGAGGCAATACTCTCTCTTTGACTAACCCTTAGTGAAGAGTAAATATCAAATGATATTTCAGATGTCTTTCACGTGAATACAAACGGATAAAAACCTTTTGCTAAACAGAGATCCAGTTTTGGCAACAATTCATTATTTTTATTACCTAACTATTTATTCAACACTCATATGATCTCTAATTTATATCATTAACACTTATTTTCACTATTAATAAATAGTATTATAATTTACAATTAATGCTTATTTTGTCGTATATTTTACTATAATCAGTAAATTAATTCAATTTTGCTTTACTTGATTAAAATACACTTTTTATACACATAATTAAAACTATTTAATATCATATATAATGTAAAGTATATACGATTTATTAGGCGTCCAATTAATGTAAAAGTTATATGCATTTAAGGTTTATATCATTTTTTCAAAGTCCTTGAATTTGTAATACAAAACCCAACACAAAACAGTTACTTCATGTCTTAAACCACATACTGTTATTCAGCAAAAAAATTAAGTTTTCACAAAAAAATAATAATTTGTCAAAAATATCACTTTTATAAAACATCTATTAATTCGATGGCTATTACAATAGCATTGATTCAATGAGTTTACGGTTTATATGTTTATCATATGAATAAACTCGTTATAATATAATGTATGAATTAATGTATTTGATATAATAAAACAATAATTAAGAGTCAATACAACACTTGATATTTGTTTGCCATTTAAATGATAATTTCAATTCAATTAAAATAAATCATTTGACATATCATTCAATAATACAATGACTAAACAAATGCATTGTTTAAGATATAGTGATTAATGAGACTAACAATTGAGTCACTCATCAGCTCATCATATGATGTTTGGGTGTGAACTCAATGACACAATAGTTAAGACAATAGATGTGTTAAGACATATAACTATCACTTGATGGACACAATAGTCTTGTTTGTATCACATGTTAGTAAATCAGACTAAATATGTCTAAAAGCTTACCCCACAAGTGATGCTATTGATTGGCAAAACGGGACCTACGAGTTGAGGTCAATCGTTATGTTGAGAGGACAGGTGGACACCACTGGTCTTTGCAAACAATTAGCCAAACAATCAAACGGTGTCTGAATTAATAGTCAAACAAGTAGTTTAATGATTAGACATCAGGTATTCAATCAATAATAATAATATCAAATCATTTGACTCGTCATTCAATACAATCATATATTAAACGATTGTATAAAATGGCGAACCGTTTGCTATGCCATAGCATTGCACAGGCATTGCATCCAATTATCACCAATTATTATAAATATTGACCACTCATTCACTACCTAATCGTTATATATACCACATCAAGACATCACCTAACTCTTGGTGACGGCAATAGTGGCACAAATGGTGGTCAACTGTATGTAAATAATGATTGAAAAAATGGTTACCTTTTAGGTTGTATTGAATGCCGTGTAATGTAATGCACTGTAAAAGAGTGTTGTGTTGAATGAAATGCACAGTCAGTGCGTATTCAGTGTACGCCAGTCAGCACTAGTAGGTTGTGTTGTGTACTGTAGAGAGCACTGTATTAGTGAAGCACAGCTGAGATAGTCGTCAACAACACATATCATACACACAACAGCACTGTTATACCATTCAATGCACTCTCGCATACAAAACACACACTGAGTCTGACTGTAATGTATGATATGTTTGACTGTATTAAAGGCCAACCATTGCAACCAATGGTCCCTCAGCTCTGTCTCCACTGACATCAACACTAAACTATTAAATGCCCCCAATTTGTGCACTCATTTCTCTATAATAGCATTATTATTAAGTATATATGATATACCGTACAGTATATACAGTACAGTAGCACAAGTATACACATCAGACATACATATGATATGAACCCTTTCCCTCTCTATATATCTCACATATTGTATATTAACAGTTAAAACGGTTTATTTAATAAACTTTTTAATTACTATGACTTTTCTTACCTCAAAATAATTATAACTTTAATATTAATACAATACTATCAATGGTCGAGAAGATCAGTCATTTAGCATATTATTTGTTTAATTGCAAACAAAATGAACAAAATTTTACTTTTATTTTTTACTTAATGCTAATAAAATTAAAATGAAAATTCAAATTACATTAAAATTATAATATAATTACAAACTTATAGATGAATGAATTAAATAGAAATAAAGAAATAATTGCTAATAATATTTACACATTTATTGCTTTTTAATGAATGAACAAATACAACAATATTGATATAATAGCCATAATATCTATAGTTTAGTGACTTCTTGAGAGTTGGCATCGGTGTCGATGTCATTGCGGTCATTGCTATCGATATGTTGATTGACTGTCAGTGTTGACCGCATCGATTCGTTGCAATTATCGGCGCCCATATCGGAACATTCACTCGATCTCGAGTGTCGGGTAGAGCTCCGACTCCGTATGGGTGTTGTGGGACAGGCTTATGAAAAATGAATAGAAGCCACTAATAAATATGGGACAGTCATCTGAGATAGCGCTTCATAATCTACAGACACCTACCGATATCTCCACTTTCACTCGACTCTGTCATAGAAGGCGTTCCTTCCGTATGTGTCGGTGTCGACGCCCCGATGCTATGAGGCGGTGTCCACGTGACTGTCCTCAATGTCGACCCGAGACCTGATGAAGTAGCACTGGAACAGCTACTGGTGACACTGCTTTCCGATTCAGTCAACGCTATCTGATTGACGCTAGAAGTTGTTAAAAGTTTTAATCAAAAAAATGTCTACTTTTAATAACAATTAAGTTATAGTTTGATATATAAATATAAGTAAAGAGCAGCCAATCATTGAATTTCACTTTACATGCATTTGACACTCAATTTTGTATTGTCATTGTGTCGACCAATCAATCAATTAATTACAATACAGTATTTAATTCAAGATTACATTCAAAAGCATGTGCTTACAAATAGATAACAAATAAAACAAACAATACTTTTCTAACTATTGTAAGTGTATTTAAAAAATCAAATAAATTTTATTATTAATTTTTTGTCATCAAATTTATTGAATATGTGAATGAAAACAATTTAGTGTAAATAACATTAGGAAACGTGCAGATAACCATTGAGACAATTGAATCAAACATTTAGATATTTTAGGAGAAATGGGTTATAATTGTCAATATAATGCAGCAATTAATAGATTAAACAAATTTTAACATTCAAGTTAATCAAAATTTTAATTATCCATGCGTTTAAAAACATTTCAAAAATAATTTATAAAATATTTGTGAGATAAAATATGTAAATATATACATAATATATATATAGTGTATAATATACATTCAGTGTAAATAAAATACAAGTTATTTTATAGTATAATATATAAGAGATTATGAAATAATAAAAACTAATTTACAAGAAATAATAAATGCAATTATTTTGAGTCACTTTAAAACAGATTAAGTAAAACTAGTAAATAAAAAATATAATTATTTAAAATATCATAATTAATACTATTTTTTTTAATAAAAAATTTGAGTAAAACAATAAATAAGTATAAATATTCAACAACTATTAATAGTCAATACTATTGTGATATTTAGTGTAATACCTGACGATTTCACTTTTCTCGGGTAATGCTACCGACTGTTTACTGGCCGCTTGTTTTATAACAACAGTCCTCAGACTGGGCGCCGCTTCAGATGAATATCGAAACTTGTGAACCGGTCCTATCGGTGGCATATCATTATTAACTATATTATGACTAGTATTGGCGTCTAATCCCACAAAATATAACGCGAAACCAAAACATAAAAGCAAAACAAAAAAAATAAGTGAGAATTAGACGGCAAGCAATTGCTTACGAATATAATCTTTAAGGACATCGCCATCTGAGCCCCCCGTCGAGGGGGGTCTCGCACGGGCTGGTAATTGCATTTTACGTTTTGATGGCGAGTGTTTTAGTGCTAATCATTTTGTAAAACGTAAAGAAAAGCAAACATATAATTAGTCAATCAATTTTTAGTTAACATAAAATTGACAGACAAGACATACAATAGAGAAAGTTAATAAATATTAGTATTAGAATAAACATTAGTAATGATTAGTTAGCTATTAGGAAACAACACTTGGACACCGGGACTAGTAATAAAAATAATGTTTCATACCCATACCCATGTAAGAGGTGACCAGGGTTCGAAACTTACGATGAGGACCTTTTATTTCAGGCATATCAACTGTTGGGGTTTGGACACAGTTTGGACAGCGAGAAGACAACGAGAGAGACACACACAGGATGAGAGAGAAAGAGAGAGAGAGAGAGTCAAAGATAAAAGATTACAACAGAAAACAGTTCATTAAACAGTTGTTTCAAATTTTGTCACTTTTTTAAATGCAATTTATTTATTTAAAATGTTGTCAGTCTTTTGAAACTTTGTTGTGTTATTGGTATTAGTTTATGTATTAGTATTAAAATGTTAGTTAAAATGTTAATATTTAGAAAAAAATCATTGCTTGACATCTGATTTTATTTTGTTTAAACAAATATTTTAGATTATATTCTACAGTGTTTACAATAGAAATGGATTACAATCGACAATTAAAAGGACTGTAATATTATCAATCATTAAATTTGTTTTAAGGCATTCAGTTCATACAATAATTTTAAAAAAAAAACTATCACAGGATTGGTTTATTTTGCTTGAATCACATTATCAATACTAAGCTTAATATATTTACGGTAAATATCATACCTGGTGTCAAACAAACGTTATATGCTTTAGCACCATCAACATCAACAATAACATCAACAAAAATTAACAACAAATTTATTTAAATGTCTTACGTGATGGTATTTTTCTGAAGACTTTTTTGGACATAAAATCTAAAAATCTTTGGGCATAAAATCCGGGCTTATGTACTGATATGGTGTCCTATCAAACAACAACAAAAATAATGAATATTTAAACAAAACAAGATATGGTATGTAATGACAAACCCCGTCGTGAAGTATTGCTTTCCACGTGTGCTCCATCTTCTTCATGAGTCGATAGCTCTGTAATATATCAATGATTCCAACATAAAGAAGAAGTCGCTCTCCTTTTGAATTACGGGCTGGTATTCCACCGGCGCTGACATTTCAATAACAAAATATATATTATATTATTATCTAATTATTAATTCACAACTTGTTATATATTTTTATATTCAATTATAATTAAAAAAAATATTATATGTATACTGTATAAAGTATATATTGTATATATAATATGGATTCTTATTACGGAATATACTGTATATTATATATACCGTAATAAGAATCCACAACCAAAACAATAAATTATTATTTATAATATACTTTATAATAAATATATATATATATATATATATTATATAAATTTATTAATTAGCCATACAAATTATTAGTATTACATTAAGACATTCAATATAAATTGAATTAAACAATTATAAATGTATATACAACTTTATTTGTATTGTTTCTATTAAAAATTATTTTAATGATGTATTATACAGTATAATATTAGGAAAATTTTAATATCAATGTAAAGTTAACGTCATAAAAATTGTTTGTGAAAAAATACATTTAAATATCTATAGTATTAGACTATTGTCTAAACAAAGATAATATGCTTTACTTTTATAAATATCTGTTTGATTAATTGGGTACAAAATTTAATAAAATTGATTTCCAAATCTATTAAGTAATAGTATTCATGAGATTTATTTTCAGTTTAGATTATGATATAATCTTTGAAAGAAAACAGTGGGCGTCATATTATTTATGTTTGTATTTAAATAATAATTAATAGCATTTTAATAAAGGACATGAGTGGGTACACAATGTTTTATAAACTAATACTAGAATATTCAATAAAACGTTTTTAGGATAAAACTCAACAAATTAACTAAAACTACAAATAATTGCTAATATAATATATATAATTATTACAATAATTTAATGACAATATACTGTACACAGTGTACAGTAAAAGATGTCATTGAAATAATTTAATCATTAAGTAATCCATAATTATTTAATATTAATTTAAGTATTATAGTCTTTATATATATTCTTTAGCTTAATAACATAAATGTATTTCTTCTAAACAAACAAAAAATATCACTTACGGAATGTCTTCTTCGGGATCAATTGGCTCGATATCTGCCTGAATAGACTCGAGTGCTGTAGAGTATGCGGTTATCCTCTGTTTATTGATTGATTTACTTCGACATAAATTAACAGAATTAGGTTTATTGATATCATTTGATCTATTTGTTGATAAATCGTAATCAATGTCATTGTCTTTATAGTCTGCATCGTCTGTTTGGTCGACAGCATCTTTGGCACCACTTCTTAATCTCGCTTTATTGACTGCGGCCTCAGCCAGTGCTGCCGATTGTGCCTTCAGTTTCTCAAGTTTATCATTGGCGGCCTCATCGAGATTATGAATACCTAATAACAAGCTATAGTCCATTATTTTAAAGCTTTCTAAGACAAGACAATCTCTTTGCATTGTCTTAATCAATGCATTATAAGTGTCGGCTTCAAGAAAGAGTCCTTCCGGATGATACTCCATGAAGTCGAGGTCCTTATAAGTTGGCGAACCTTTCTTTCGTTCACTTTTACTGGCTTTTCGCTTATATGTCGAACCTTTTAAGTCATATTTTTGGTGCATTTTGACATAACTGGGCAATAGATTATTCATAACAATTATCCGTACATTTTTACCGCCACATATATAACAGTATTGACCAAAAAATTTTGGTAAAAGTGTCCGCGGATTTTGGTTTAAATTCTGTTAGGAATATAAATATTTTAACTATTAATCTAACAAATCACTCAATATATATGTTAAGGCCTTACCATATAATATCCGGGCAATAGTTTCAATAGGAAGTCCGCTTCTTTGTGCTGAACAGTCTTTATGATAAAGTTGTCATCATCTGTGAGATAGAAGACCGAACCGGAAGCGCCCGGGTTTGACAATTCACGGAGCGGTTCGTTGCAAACTGACAACAGATAGTCATCCGGTTGAATACCGAAGAGATCACGAAAATATCGGAAAGCAATCGGTGCGTACACTTTGAACTTAAAGTCTGAGTAGTGATGAGCCGGTGTTGTATTACTACCGTCTTTAGTGAACGAAACCGTCTCGATCTCCATGAAGTCCTTCATCAGGACATCCCTTTCAGGTTTAGACGCTAGACTGCCGACTGCGTGACCAATCCCTAACTGAATTGATCCCATAATCTGTGTGGTTTGGATCTTCTTGTAAGTCACTTGTCCGCCTTCATCGACCCGTCGGTGACCTATTTTCCTTTCTCTTTCCAGTTTTTTACGATCAGCTGATGACGGGCCGGGAGTCTGTGGTGTTTTTGGTCCGCCAGATGTTTGACTGGCATCGGAGGCGTCGTTGTTGGCCACGAGTATCGGTGGTGGCCTTCGCCTGGCATTTGGCGTCTCATTTGTGGAGCTTTGAGCCGTCGTTTCTGAAGACAAAACCATCACTTCGTTAATACATTTGTGAAGACAATCCTCGACTCAATCTTAATGTCAATCAAATTAAATCAAATCATCTAATAATCAATTAATGACTCAAAAGCAGGCATTCATTGAGTCATTGATTTAGTAAATTGTTTGACATTTAATTACAATTCAAACACAAAACAACTAAATATAATAAACAATTAATTCAATTGAGTGTCAAATCAATACCCGATTGACTCATAGCTGTGATGATTGTGTTGACAATCAAATCAATGCATTGTTTTGGTTAACATGTCATTGAAAAACACTGATTCACTAATAACTATAATATCAATGAATGTTCAGTTAATGTAGTCTATGATTGCAAATGCAATGTAACACAGCTTTCACTGTAACTTACAGTCAGTAACACTCATACACTCATTGACTGCATTTGAAATACAATTACGTTCAATACATTCATACCGTATGTATTAATATACATATCAGCCATCTTTACACTCATCCACACACTAGTCGTTGCATTTATCGGTACAGACTCTCACATACAGTAAATTACAACACAACTAATATTACGGTAGATATTACTATATATTTATTATCAATTGTATAAACAATTATTTTATAAATCTTGAAAACTTATTAATTAATAATTATAATAAAATGATAATAACAATAAATTAATTTGCATTATCATGTTTTTTTGCATTTTAATAGTCATATTTTATCTAAAATTATGTACTAAATGTTTGATAAATGATTGCTAAATGTTTTATAACTAATGTATAGTAAGTTGCCTAATGTATTACATAATTTACGATTAATTTTCAATTGATTTGTTTAACGTACTGTACATTTTAAGATTTTATTAAATTAAATTTTAAGTTACCTGTAGTTAGTTGAACATAATTGATAAGTTTTATAATTAATTTTAAAGGAAATTTCTAAGTAAATTAAAAAATTTTATAATATATTCTTTTTAATAAATTATTTAAAAACCTTTCATACACTAAAATATTGTAAATACCGTAAAAAACATACACATAATAATAAAAATATAATAACTAAGTTTTATTATATTACTCCTACAGTATAGATACCGTACAAATTGTAATGTTATATATAATTAGCTGATATTTATTCACTTTCTATTCAATTATCTGATTAGTCTGTATTACATTAACTAATATTTTAGACATATTTTATAAATAGTAAAACTCATGTCTGAAAAATACCTGAATATACTAAAAATTATTTACAGTATTTAAAAAATAAATATTTTATATAATTTTACATTGAAATGATTTGTTGCTTTTAATTACTTAAAGTAATAATTAGTTTTTATATCAAATGATATTCACAGTACTTATCCTTATTCCTCATTCATTGTTTTTTTTTGTCAAAAACAACCTTAAAATTAATTTAATACAACTTGTAATTAATTTTTTTAAATGTAAATATGGTAATAATGCAAAATTTAATCATTAATACATTTTGATATTTGTCAATATTCAAAATTAAATAAATGCATTATTTACAATTTATTAATTTTTAAAAAGTACAATCAAGATATTAAAACGATATTAATAAGTTTGTACTGAATTAAAAAACAATTACCAAATAAAATACTAAATTTCATTAAATGTCTTACAAGTTGTAATAGCAGGCAAATAAAATACAATGTAATTGCAATAAAAAAATATTTCTCGCAATTAAAGCAACATTTGACGACAGTATTACGATAAAGTTTATTATTAAATTAATGGTTATTAAAATTTATGTTTTATAACAAACCACTTATTAAATTATTGGCGATTTAATAATTATAATAATAATATTATCAGTCAATGAATGGTCCATTAAATTAGATTTAATTTATAAAATTTATTAACTCTGATTTGATTTTTATGTAAAACTGGTGTTAAAATTCACCTTAAACTTAATCTTGCAGTTTAACGGCTGCCACTCCATTGGCTGCTACGGCCACCTGATCCCCTGTAGCATCAGCTGATCCCTTACCGGTAGTCTTCTTCTTTTTCTTTCCCCCTTTATGTCCAACGCCTCTATTAAGGAGTGCTTTCAATGAGTCGTCTTCAACCTGATGTTCACTTTGAAAGAGAGTCGATTCAATGGGTAGACCAGTGATCTTGTGTGGACCGGAAGGCATTAAAAGAACTGTAAACTTGAACTGAGCGACAAATTCGTTATCCTTTTCGTAGAGAACTGAAAATGGTTCTAACAGTTTGTGGTTAACACACTCAAGAACACCCATACGAGCCTTCTTCTCTTCCTCGAAAGCTCTTAAAGTGAATGGCATTGAACCAAATCTTTTGTCGACATCACTATAGAAGGCTCGCGAAGCTTTCATCTTCAGTTGATAGACTTCATCTGTCTTTTTATAAACTGTAGTCTTTGTGTCGATTTCTCGCCCCTAAATAAACAAATATTGTTTACTAACACTTTTAAATACTCTTTTATGATAATATTTAATACCTTTCCATCTCCGGTACTAATGAGGACATCGACAGCATATACTTCATTGACTTCAAACTCGCACTTTTCGTGGTCTTTCTTTTGTGCTTCAGTTGGATTCTGAATAATGGATTTTTCGCCATCGATTCTGAATTGTTTCAATTGGTGAGACAGCATACCAGAGATGGGTTTACATTTATAGGAGTCAGCAATTTTTTGTATGGCATCCGTTACGGCAGTATTTTCAGAACCGGGTCTAACGATCCTAAGAGCTGCCTCAGCGGCCATATGTGCAGCTACTATGACATCAGCCTTACGTCCGGTTACTTTGTTATCATTGGAAGCTCCGACCACTAAAGTATGGGCCACTACTGCAATAAAACCATCGATATGTGCGCCCAAATCACTGGACAAATAAAAACCATTAAAACTATTTTAAAAACAAAGTGACTAATGATTACAGTTTGACAACATCTCCATCTTTAAGGATATAATCTGTTTCACTCTTTAGCGGTGAGAAGTGACAGATAGTATTGTTGACAGAAACACAAGTGGGAAACGCTATGCCTTTCTTGAGCTCCTTTTCCTTCTTAAACACTTTACCCGTTTCTTCGGTAATTAAATTGTCGCCAAACTCGCATATATTACGGACACTTTCATCGACTTTGCATTTGTCGATCAATTGCTTGAGAATACCTTCAAATCAAATCAAAAGATTAACTGTCATTAGTTTGAATTTAAGACAAACACGTGTTGACACGTATGGCGCGTGTCTATCAAAACATACGGTTAACCATTTCTCCGGCCATTTTGTATTTGGTGACCACAATGTCCTGAGCAATGGTCATATCGTCGTTAGTGTTGTCAGCCATTGTCCGATCAGTTGTCCACTGGTTTTGTCGTATAATTCAGTGATTCAGACAATCAAACAAAACACAAATAATTGGATTTTATTTATGGATTTCAATACAACACTAAAAACCAAACCATTGAATGGCTTTTGTGGCAAAAACTACACAACAATTGAGTCAAACAATTACGACATATATTTAACACACAATTCACTAACAATTTATTATTATTTGACAAACAATTGATTTAATTTCAAATCAATTCAATGAAAACTTGTTTTCAATAAAAACTTTGTTTTAATAAACTTTACGTTAAATTAATGTTTAATATATAATGTTTATTAGTGTCAATTGAGTGGACAATAGTTTTCAGAGATATATATGTCATAATTGATTGATTGACAGGATATGGAGGAACCGGCAATTTGTGTATGTGTTGGCAGTGGACAGTCATGCGCTATGTATGGGCACAGGTATGTTGTATTGCATGGCATAGTGTGTTAAAGTCGACGACATATTTCTTTCTCTTTGCTTTTACCAGCGCTTCAAACAACTATTAAAATGCCTGTAAGTGTCATATTTAGCTTAATTGTGGTCATAATTAGCGTATCTGTAGTGCTGTGTCGGCACCAAAACAATGTCCAACAATGCACTGAACACTAAGTTTGTCTTCAAGTGTCCGATAGTTGTGTTTAAATGTCAACAAAATCAGTGATAAGTTAAGTGTTGGCCAAACATGTGCTCAAACAGAGTGTAGTATTGAATGCGTTTCAATGTATAACTCATTGAGGACTTCATTGTATGACAACATTAGCTAAGATAACATTTGACACACATTTGACACTTAAATACAAACTTTTTTAAATGATTAAGACATTGATTTTTTGTCATTTAAAACTAATTATTGTTTTTTATTTGTCAAAAGTTGGCCAGAGATTTGTTGCACCCGAATCCGGCGGATGAGAGGCGCCGCTGCAAACTGAAACGTCTCGTACAACACCCCAATAGCTTCTTTATGGACGTGAAATGTCCCGGTATGTCATAAAGTTGACCCGATTTGCCATTTGGCCAAATCTGATGTATTTTTATTTGTATCAATAGGTTGTCTTAAGATTACGACTGTCTTCAGTCACGCGCAAACTGTGGTCCAATGTAAGGGCTGTTCGACAATATTGTGTACACCGACGGGTGGAAAAGCACGGCTCAGGGATGGATGCAGTTTCAGAAAAAAACAACATTAAAATCAATCACTAATTTGTTTAAAAATATTGTCATTTTTTGTGTTAAACAAAGCTTTTGAATAAATTAATGAATAAACAAATTAATTGAATGTTGTTTTAATTATGTAATAAATACTATTTTTTAATACAATATAATAATAATATCGGTTCTAACTATTTATAAATTTCGTTAATTAGTATGTCATTAGATTTGGCTAACTATACTGTAATGACATAATTGTGTAAATATTAGACATTTTTGGCTAATCTCTTGAGTAACTAATTAATGTCAATAATAGTATATTAAAGTCGATGGATAAACATATCTTTGATGTTTAACTCTTTATTGATGACTCTTTTGGGATCTTATAAAAAGTAATATAATATCAAAGTATAATAACCGGTATATTATTTTGCATTGACTTCCCATAAGAATCGATAACATTTCAATTTATAATATTATATTATATACAATAATTTACAGTAACATATTGTATTTAATATTACGGTAATAAAAACGTTTTGATATTGTTTTTATTATTGTTAGAATTATCATTATTACAATTAATTATTTATATGAATTTTATTTTAATAAATTGCAAAATATAAGCAAATTTCCATTTTTTTAATGACATTTAAAATATAAAAAAAGTAATTATCGGTAGTTTAAATTCAATATTAAAATTAAAATATAAAATTTTATTATTAAACTATAAACTATTGTAATATTGTATTGTTAAAATATAGATACCCTTTGCACATTGTAGTAGATGGAGATGACTAGTGTGTCAATTGTGATTATATTGAAAATGGTTTAATTATAGTCCAATTATAATCATATACTTTACTATACCGTATGTACTATTCTATACGGTATATGAGTTACACTTATTCTCAAAGGACTATTAGATGACTACTATATAAGTAACTGTAAGCTGACTATAGTCTCACTAAAAGATTATTTTATTTGTTGATCTATTATTATAAAAAAGTTTGTCTAATCTTAAAATTAATTCAAATAATTATTAAATAGTTATGGATTGGAAACAATATTCTAAAAATGGTAATATATTTTGTAAATTAAAATTATTATTATAGATTTAATTTTAACTTAGTTTTATATCTAATTTTCTATATATTACTATTACTTGTTTTAATATTTAACATATAATAAATATAATAGTTAACATTTATTTTAATATATTCTTATTTTTTGTTTATTTAATCTTATTTTATAGAAATAAATAATTTATATCTAAATTTGTATATTTTTAATATCATCTAATAAAGTAGATTTTTTCGCAAAACAATTTAAATTTTTTATATATATTTTTAAATAAATAAAAAATATTTATTTTTAGGAAAAGAAATGGTAGACTTTATTGGAGAATATTTAGAAACAATTAGAAAGCGTCGGGTATTTCCAGACGTAAAACCGGGATATATGAGACAGTTATTACCAGAATGTGCTCCACTTAATGGCGAAGATTGGGACTCAATATTTGCTGACATCGAGAAAGTTATAATGCCTGGTATTAACACTTATAGATTAAACGATTTTTATAATTAATACAATAATTAATAAATAATGTATAGGTGTGACCCATTGGCAGTCCCCATATATGCACGCTTACTTCCCGGCACTCAACTCTCCCGCATCACTATTAGGTGATATGTTAGCTGATGCTATAGGATGTCTTGGATTTACATGGGTAATTATATACAGTATATTTTAATTGTGTAATTTATTTTTTAAATTTTAGTTTAAATCTATATTACATATAAAGTTAAAATTTAAAAATAACAAGTGTTATATTATCTATATTTATGTTATGTATATGTTATTTAAAGTTATTTATTATATATGATATTTTGTTAGGCATCGAGCCCTGCCTGTACTGAATTGGAAATTATTGTAATGGATTGGTTGGCAAAAATGATAGGACTTCCCGATGACTTTCTGCATAGTAAGTCAGTTACAAACGGCGGTGGAGTTTTACAAACTACCGCTTCTGAGGCTACTTTTACAGCTTTATTAGCCGCCAGAACTGAAGCTATTTTACGGATCAAAGCAGAAGCTGATTGTATAGAAGAGTTGGACGACGCAGAAATCAATAGTCGTCTTGTGGCCTATTGTTCAGATCAGGCGCACTCTTCAGTAGAAAAGGCGGGTCTCATTGGTTTAGTTAAGATGAGATACATTGAAAGTGACGACAAACTATCCCTTAGAGGCGATAAATTGATTGAAGCGATTAAACACGACAGGGATAGGGGTCTCATCCCTTTCTATATATGCGTAACATTGGGCACAACCGGCGCCTGTGCTTTCGATAATCTTATGGAAATCGGACCAATTGCTAAAAGTGAAGACATCTGGATTCATGTGGACGCAGCCTATGCTGGAACTGCTTTTATTTGTCCAGAATTTCGAAAATGGATGACTGGTATTGAATTTGTCCAAAGTTTGGCATTTAATCCATCGAAATGGATGTTAACTCACTTTGATTGCACCGCAATGTGGGTCCGCAATAGTTCCGCACTTCACCGCACTTTTAATGTCGAACCTCTTTATCTGAAACATGAAAATAGCGGACAAAGGTTTCTATTATTAAATATTTCCAATAATTTATTAATTAAAAGTAAAAAACATAGAATTGATGATAAATTTTATTATTTATACGTTATAATTAATATATCGATATATATATATATATATATATATATATATATATTCAATAGATTAGCAATGGATTTCATGCACTGGCAAATATCATTAAGTAAAAAATTTAGAAGTTTGAAACTTTGGTTCGTTATCAGAAATTATGGCGTAAAAGTATATCAAATATTTCAACTTTTTTAAAGCAAAATATAAAAGTAATATAAAACCAATTATTATTATTTTAATTGCATTGTAGGGACTGCAACAACACATAAGAAAAGGGATCAAATTGGCCGTTACTTTTGAAGAACTCATACGAAGTGATACCCGATTTGAAATACCGGCCGAACGTCACTTAGGACTCGTTGTTTTCCGACTTAAGGGTAATAATGAACTGACAGAATGTTTGCTCAAGAAGTTGAATTCAAGCGGACGTCTCCATTGTGTGCCGGCCTCTCTAAAAGGCACTTATGTTATCAGATTTACGGTAACATCTTCTCAGACAACTATGGCTGATATACAGCGCGATTTTGCCATTATTAAGGATACGGCTAATCATGTACTCAAAGCTTATGGCATTCCTGAGAACAGAATTAGTCGCGCAATACCTTTGGCCGAAATCAAGAAGAGAAAGCCTGGTTTTGGCACAAGTCTATTGCTGTCTAACAGTCCTATGACACCAAAGATAATTAATGCCAGTTTTGTAGCCATCTTTGATCAACAAGAGTTGGCACAAGAATTTGTCCGACACTTTGGCAAACATATGGATTTGAGTGAAAACTGCAACAGTCCTCAATTGAGAAGAAAAATTAAAGGTCTGATGCTAACAGACAAACAGCACAGGTATGCCTTATACTATATACCTATGTCTTATCTAATCTAACAATTACCAACATTTTGAACAATAGTTTGGACTCAAGAATGGACTTAATGAACACAATTATGGCTACGTATGACATAAGTGACAAAACAAATAGTCAAAAGACTGGACCGAAAACTCCAAGAAGTCGTCATTTTTCGTGTTCATCAAGTGGTAAGACTTTAAAATAAATATAATTTTTTTAATTTAAATTACATTTAAAGTGATATAAAATACAAATTTTTAAAAGTTGTGATTATTTACAAAATGAATTTAATCAGTTGAGTCGTTGCCTGGAAATTCAATTGAAGAAATGGATGAAAATGGAGAGCTATTTGTATCTCAAACAAAATCTGATGATAACAACACATCCACTGATCGTCTTCACTCATCAAAGAGTCAATAAGATGTGGTATACATTTCATTATACGGGACAGCTATATATGTTAATTGATTTATCATCCGATACTGAGACAAGTCGGCTACCATTGCTATTGTATTTGACACCCCAAACCTGATCCGTGTGCTGTTCAAACGTTTTGACACATTCCTTGGCCTCCACGTCCCATACTTTCACTGTTTTATCGGAAGATCTATTAATGTTATTAAAAAATAATTATTAAATAAATTTTAAATCATTTATAAAATTGAAATCATTGCTTACGATGAAGCAAAATGTCTGTTATCTGCAGAAAAATCAACGCTCAAAACCCATGAGCCGTGACCTGAAAGTGTTGATATCAATTCACCGGTTGGCACATCATATATCTTTATATGACAATCGTCTGATGCTGTTATCAAATATCGGCCGTCGGGTGAAAATGTCAGCGAACGGATAGGCATTGCGTGACCTTCCAGTGTTGTCACCATTTTTCCAGTTTCGATGTCAAATAGTTTAATCATACCATCAATGGCTCCACTCGCTAATTGAAGACCATCTGGTCTCTGTCCAAATGAATTAGTAGATTAATATATCAATAGCTTAGTTATTGTTCAAAAAACATACAAAAGCTATGCTAAGAGTGAACTTTCCGGTCGAGTCTAAGCTCTGTTCGGTCTTATCTAGATTTCCGACTGAATATAACATGATTTTTCCCGAATGAGTTCCCGTCGCTAGTAATTTTGAATCGGGAGAGAAGTTGACTGTCCAGGCATTGACAGGTCCCGCATCTATACTTTGCATTTGATTTCCAGATACCAAATCCCATAAAAGGATATGACTGTCCAATGAATTGGATGCCGCAATACTTCCACTGCTATCAACATCTACAGAAACCACTCCCAAAGCGTGTCCTTCAAAGATATATCTCAAATCAAGACTTACATCGTCCCTAAATAATTAACAGACCAGTGGATCAATTAGCGCTCAATCAATGATATATTATATCATAAGTAACAATATTTGACCACAAAAAACAAACCATTTCCACGCTTTAACCGTATCATCAAGACTACCGGTAACAATGTGTTCAATGCCATCGGACACCCCTCGGGCCCACCCGACACTCCAAATGCCGTCATCGTGTGCCGCCTCTTGTCGGTGAAGTATTTCATACTAATGGCCATCAAATGGTTGTCATAAATATAATTAAAAATAATATTCAAATCTCACTTTTTAGTTACCATTTTTGTAGATTTATTGATAATAAGTGCAATGAAATAATGCTAACAATTGTATGACCAGAGTTGGGATCAATTGATGGATGATATCATTAAAACAATTGACTGATTTGTAAATGTATTGAAAAAAGTTGCGACAAATTGTACGCCAATTCACATATCAATAGTTAAGTCAAACATAATATGTATTGAATGAGAGTTTGTGTGCCATCTGTTGTCATCAAACATACAATCAATGGTTTGAATTGATTTTTGGCACTATTTTGACAATAAAGTCAACGCTTCAGCACTTCATCACTCAATCACATTGTCTTCAGTATTGATCTCTGTTTTGGTTATCATTTGATCACATATTATATGATATGGTTATGACATATGATTTGTAGATATGAAGAAATGGCCAAAAGATTGAAAACTCTTACCGGAAGTACCAATAAGTGTGAGGTTTGTCAACATATTTGTCATATGAATACATTTGATGTCTTTTGATTGATTTGTTATCATATGTCACACACTTTACCACAAATATTGATTAGATTTAAGAGTTGTCATCACTTGCTGTCTATGCTATCAATTATTATATACTCTATAACTAAGTGCTTATATCTGTTAACATTTGACTACCATTTAGACTGATTGCTATATTTTATAATAAATGACTAATTAATGGTTAACTAAATAATTAATAGTAATTAACATAACAGTTGTGACAAATAAGTTATTGTTATATTATTTGATTATATAATATATAGTAAAATAATAATTGTATTGAATTTAATTAATTAATAAATTGAATGATTGATTGATTTAGACGGATGTCGTCGAAGAAGAAGCCGATGAAAGTGGAGATCAGTATTGGGCCGAAAGGATACTGGACTGGGGTTTCCATAACAATGGAGTTATGATGTATTTGGTTAAATGGGAGGGTTATAGTGATGAACAAAACTCATGGGAAGTACAGAAAAATGTCAAAGGATGTGATGAACTGTTGGCCGATTTTACCATTAATAATATGAATAGCAGACATCCACCGAAGTGGTCATTTGAAGAGTTTGACAAAATATTAAAATGTTTGCTAAATGTTTTGCAAACTGACGACAGAGCTGTCTTAAGAAAGCTATCTAAGAGAACCATTGATTGCTTTGAGATAAGAAATCCGGAAGTAATTAACGAATTGAGAAATTTAGTGAAATCACAAATTAATATACTTTTGGAACGAAAGAAATGTTGTCAATCAAGAAGTAATTTGGAAAGAAATAAGACAAGAGATGTTACCCTAAAAGTTATCCAAAGTTTATATATATTAAGAAACTTTGATTCAATCACTAATTTCTTTGAATTTGTTGATTCAAGAAACGAAATTTTACAGAATCTTATTGAATGGGAGATAATGCAGAATAAAGTGATTGAAAAAGGAGGCGAAGGTCGACCTTTGCGTATTGTCAACGATGTTGATCTAGAAATACCACAACTTGACAGTTATATAACGGATTATATTATTGATAAACAATTTGGAAATGAAATCAACTTAGAAGAAGAAACACCATTAGTTGGATGTGATTGTGTTGACTGCTATAACTGTCGACACGATTGTTGCACAGCTATTGTCGGCTTTCCGATGGTTTATAACAAAGACGGTCTAATGAATACAACGAGATTCAAGACATTGATATATGAGTGTAACTCGAAGTGTAAATGTGATGACAAGTGTTCCAACAGACAGATCCAAAAGGGCCGACAGTTTGACTTAGAAATATTCCGTTCCGATAGCAAGACCCGTGGGTGGGGGGTCAGGACATTACAACTCATACCAAAGGGTTCTTTCATTACTCACTATACTGGAGAAGTAATATCAATAATCGAAGCCGAGAAGAGACCGTCGACATACCTGTTCGATCTGAGCGCACACTTACATCCCGATGACGCCGAATACACTTACGTTGTGGACGCCTCTCGATATGGAAATATTACACGTTTTGTCAACCATTCGTGTGAACCTAATTGTCGCATATTGTTTGCGTGGATCAAGAGATCTTCGGACCGTTTGTTACCAATGATTGTCTTATTCTCAGAAATTGATATCAAACCGTACGAAGAGTTAACTTATGATTATTCTATGGATACGAGTGGCACCTGGAATGGTGTCAACGCACCGATTGATAACACAAGTACTACTCGTGTCACCCGAAAGGTTAAGTCATATAAGAAGATCAAGTGTGAGTGCGGCGCACAAAAGTGTACCAATTTTTTGTACTCTTAGCAACAAAATTAATAAATTAAAGTTACATTATTTCAAACAATATATTTACATTTTATTACATAATCATATGATATATTATTACATTATCTTATATTAATATTAACCAAAAATGTTTTATTTACATCGTTTTTAATTGATATCAATACTACATTCATATGTTATTTTTATTCAATCATTTTGTAAATAGTGATAAATTGTGTAACATTTATAACATTTTTATACTGTAATGTATAAGACATATAAAAAATATTTTGAATAAAAGTTTATTGATTGTTTAATTAATGTTTGTATTTTTGTAAATTAGATTTTAAATTTCGAAAAAAGTATCATTATTTTGGACCATTCATACAAAATAGTTACTAAATAATTGGCAGTATTTTTATACTAATTTAGATTAATTATTACGGCATTTGAAATAAATTTATATATTTTAATAACGTGTTGTCTAAATACTACATCTAATTTACAAATTAAAATAACTTTTAAATACATTCAATTATATTAATGCCTTTTGAGATAAGGTATTAATACAATACAATTATGACTATCAAATACTTATTAACACATATGTTGTGTAAATTATAATTACTGTTAATTGTGGACCACAAATACAATTATTTGAAACACATTTTGGCTATTTATTGTTATACCAGTAGTTAATAAATGAGACAATAACTAAAACATATTGTCCGTAAAGAAGGAAAGGCAGGTTAATTAGTTATACAATGAATATATTGACTAAATTATCATTACATAACAAACAAATCATTGCTTTCATTAATTTTGTTTTTCATTTTACAATAATTGTATTTATCAATAATTATATTATTATGTACATCAAATTACCATATACTGTATATACAGTATAGTAAATATACCGGTATAGTTTCATATAAATTATGGCAATATATACTGTATATATATATATATAATTTTAATATTCATATTTAAGAAAAATAAAATTTTAAAACAAAACAACAAAACAATAATAATCATTGGTATTTGAATTAAAATAATATACAAAAATTTCTATTACTGTAAATGATAGGTTATACTAATTTTAATATTTTACAATATACTGTATATGGTATTAATTTGATGCTATAAACAGCAAAACAAAACAAAACGACTTATTTGTGATCAATTAAGAATTGGTCGCCGTCTCTAACATTATATGTATATAACTTCTTTTGATTGAAGCGCAACAGTTCCGGTCCTATGAGATCTGACATCTCACTGTCCACATAAAAGACACGCATTTGAGTGGGAGATACGCCAAACATTGACCTAAATTAAGCAAATGGTAATCAATTAGTTAATATATTTAAATATTTAATTTTAATACCAAATAAAACAAACCCTAATTCAGATTTAAAATCTCCAACAGATTTATTTAAATCAATTTTCAATTGTTTTTTATGTGTTTTTTCGTTGTCTTCATTAGTGATTTCATCTTCATTATAGACTACTTGTACTTCTGCGTGTTTTGGCGGCGAAAAATCCAATTCAGCAATTGGGTCAACCCGTCCATGGATTGACAATAAAGTAAAAAATCTAATATTTATTAAAGATTAATATTTATTAATATCTTATCAATATTATATATATGTATATACTTTTGTGGTTTCTCCCAGTGCTCATTCATGACATACCAACGAAGAAAAGCTTTCTCAGCAAATACTCGTTCATCTTCTGTAATATCACTTCCATTAAGTCGATGAATATTAGGGAGACGTGCGATCAGATGGTGACGTCTGCTCTCTGGTCCTTCAATACCGTTGAGAAGATGTAATCCTTGACAACGAAGTTGTCGTAATTTTGGCAAATGGTTGAGCCTTTCGATGCATTGCCACGACTTGATGGGCCAATTGGTTATATTAAGACTCTGTAAATTAGGTAAATATTTGATCGCTTCTTCAGGAATCGTCGATATATTGCAATCAGCCATTGTTAGGCCTTCCAGACAGGGAAAAGTTCGCATCAATTTTTTAAGGTCTTCCCAATTGCTTAACTGTGGATTTCCGCTTAAATATAAGTATTTAATATTTAGATATTTATGGCCGGGATTTAAATCGACAGACGAATAGTCATTGAGACTGAGGTGTAAGTCATCGACTGAAGGCATGGAATCGAGTAATATTCTCAATGCATACCAAGGAATTCGTGTATTATTGAGTACAAGACTTCTTATATTTTCAAATCTATGTTTTCCTAAGCTTTCAATATTACATTTCGTTAAATTATTTTCACTCAAATTAATAAATCTTAGATTAGGCATAGATCGGGCTATTTTGAAAACTTCTCGCATATCAATCAAATTATTTGACGCTAAATCCAGTTCCTCGACTGTCGAACATAATTCCCGAATCTTTTTCTCCGGTCCGGCGCTTTTGACCCGACATTTGTTTAGTGAGAGTGCCGGCGGAAGGATTAAATGATTACCTATTAATTATTTTAATTTTATATTACTTTTAATAACTTAATATGAAACAGTTGACAACTTACTGTATTTTTTATTAATTACATTTATAATTATAATTATATAGTAAACTACTGTATTATGTGATAGTCGTTAAGTTTAAGTAAATTAAAAACTGGTTTTGCAGACAACTCTCTCTCTCTCTCTCACTCACACACATACATACACTCAATATGATTTGTTTGTTAGTTTTCCTCAAGTGGTAAGTATTACAATTATATTAATATTTTTTAAATATTAATTATCTTATTTTTAAATGCAATAAAAAACAAATTAAAATTATATTAATAAATCATATATTTTGTTAATGACTGAAATCTAATAGGTTTGTATTACAAGTGATTATAGATAAAGATAGTGAAAAGCAGGATATATATAATATGACCCACTTTTCTATTACTTTATTTTAAACACATATCCATCTCTTATATTAGGAAATCGAGATTATGTGACATAAATAGCACTATTAATGTCTGTCTCTCTTCACATTCACTGCTATTCACATCTATTACACATTTTTATTATAATTAAATCTTTTTAAAAAAAGTTGTTTTATATTAACAATAAATCCATTAAAATTTAAATTTAACTTTTTTTTGTTAAATATTTCCTAAATATTGAACATATCGGGAATAAAAATAACTAAAATATAATTGTATGACTACATTTTATTAATTATATTTTTTATACACGTACTATAATTTAAATATAAATAAAAATTTATATTAAATTTTATAATAGTAAATAATAAGATCAGTATTGTTCAAAGATTTATTGAAATTATTTTTTTTGCATATAACCAAAAAACTAGTTATATAAGTTAGATAAATTGCATTAATAATCTCATAAAATGCATGAAAATTATAAATGAATAGAAATATTAAACATAATATTGATAATAAATATTTCATAAAACAAATTATATTCATAGATATAATAAAATAAATTATTTAAAAAATAACATAATCAGCATTTATATGACAACAATATTTGAGTTTCATTTATATATGACATTAATTTTTTTCTATTTATTTATATTTCATATTTAATTATATTAGTTAACATTAGATTGTGTTTAGATAACAGTTATAATAATGTATATAATAATAATAATTTGATACTTGAAATTAAAAAAGCAGTTTTCATAAAACTTGAATTATTAGTGAACTACAAACAGATCAAAACTACATTATATTATTATAATAATACTTTTATACTAAAATTATAACTGATATATCATATATAATGTAGTTTTATTTATATAACATATAAAGCTTTTGTATTAAATGGAAAATTTTATATATAGTGTAAAAAATTTAAAAATAAATAAATAGAGCACTAAATGGTATTAAACATTACATTTCATTGCAACTATTATTGAGATCACTTATAATAAACTAAATAAATAAAACTAAATTAGTTTTATATTTAATTAAAAAAATAAATAAGTTTTTTTTTGTGATTACACCAATATTTAATAAAATTAATAAATTATTGTTTAAATAATCGTCACTTTAGTAATCATAGTAATAGTGTTAATACAGATCTGATATAACATGTATTGTTGTACTACAGCTATACTACGGTATAACTCAATGATCATATGATTGCATACATAAACCAATACAATATGTAATGAGTAATGAAGTGATAATAAAAACAATAAAAATCATATGATTTGCAAATGAAATGAAATGTATTGAATGGTTGCATATAATTACCTGACTTAGCACCGGGCGATAGGCCTCCCACGACAAACACCTCATAGGGACAGTCGTCCAGTTGATAGTCGGCATACCTCTGGAGCAATACATCGACAAATGAGTTGAAAGACATAGTAATTGATATCAATTGCTGTAATATTGAGCCCAATGTTTACACACAATAACACTAACACTGAGACAAACTGTGGTCTCATTCAAGGCTAGCATTCAATACATTATATTATATTAACAAATATTTAAATATTTTGCAATCAATTGATTTCAAAATCAATAAATAATTTGCAAATTTATATGAAAATAAAACTTAAAATATGATTAATTTGAATTACATTTGCATTAAATAAGATGCAATCAAACCGTTATAATAATTAATACGAATAATTGATTTGAAACGTTAAATACGTTTTGCAATTCAATGAATGCACTCAAAACTGTTATACTGTTTGTTGTATTGTAAGTATAGTAAGTATTGTAAGTATTAACTGCTTTATTATCAAACACTCTCTCATTGACTCCAATGTTGTTATTGTTTATAATATATTTTCATTTATACTGTAATAGTAATACAGTTATTGTATATGTATTTAACATTTCTAATACTCAGACTTATTACGTGAAAAAGCAGCTGTTTTTCAATACACACATTACGTCTCACTATTTACTTGTTATTACAATATGATTGTATACTACAGTACTGTAGAGTATTATTAATAATATACGTATAGTTTTTTATATGACTTTAGTTTGTCATTTAAATAGTTAAATCATCATAATTTTATTATTGAAGGCTAACTATTTTTTGTTTGTAAAGAAAATCTATATAAATTTCTAACCAATATATTGATAAAAGATATTTAATTCATTGTTTATTATTTTTTTAAAAAGAGATATAAAACAAGTTTATAAATATGCAAACATTAATTAAAATTATATTATTTTTATTAATTATATAATTTATAATTAATGTTAAATAAAATTATTTTAATAAATTGTATTTTTGCAATAAAAACACAAACCATTTCATTTATTATATTTTATATCATTCAATAAATTTAATATATTATTTTAAAAATAATACTGGACTTAGTTTACGTAAAACTAACCATTAAATTTACATATCATTTAATAAAATATGTTTATTAAATAAAACTAAACTTTTATTTTATATTTTAAAATTTAATTATATTAATTTTCTAAATTTAAGTTTGTAGTTTTTTAAATTATAAAATTGATACTATTTTTTTTATAAAAATTAAAATTTACTTATTAATTCATATGATAATTAATATATTTTTATAACATATTTAAATATAAACTACTGTATATTGTTTAAGACTTTTTATTAATCTGATATACTATTTTTATTTACAAAATAATTAACCCATTAATAGTATTATAAATGTATAGTTAGTATTTGTTAAAATCATTTGATATTTTGTTTTATATACAAACTTAGGAATTTTCATATCAATGTTATATTTAATATGAAATATAGTGATAATAAAATTTATTTAAATTGAGATTTTTTAGTTTGAAGTGCAGGTAATGTTAATTGATGTTTGTCTGCCAAATAACATAGTAATTGATTTATAAAACTAAAAGTGTGACTAAAAATAAAGATTATTTATATAAATATGAAGTTATAGTGTAAACCATATGTCTATTTGAATGATTGAAATTCGCATTGAATTAACACATAATTTGAAACGATATGCTCTAAAATAAAAAGAAATAATAGTAATAATTAACAGAATATTCTATAGTTTTAAGGAATTTATTAAAATTGTAACAAATTTTATGGCATTCAATACATGAGACTATAAATGAGTTTTTCGGTTATGATTTTTTTTAGAGACAATTACACAACAGTTATAAACATTTTAAACATAAATAAACTTAATCTGAAAACAACTATAAAATCAATGATTGCAGTGACATATCTGACACACATTTGCCAGTCTTTTAATATGTTTGACATCAAGATTGCGATACCATTGCTGACCGTCAGATGGTTGTACTGCTAAAGCATTGATAGCCAACTGTTCCAAGAATAGTCTGATCTCCCTTTCAAACAAAGTTTGCATACATTTAAATGACATCAATTGGTATACAATTAATTGTATCATTTATATTGACATTAAAACTAATTGTATGATATGACCATCAAAAGAGTCCAATTGATAGCACAAGTAGTCTATGGATAATATGGTGTTGAATGAGTTGGTGTTAGGTGGGGGCAGTCAGTCATATAGTACTGTATTGTACAGTATATGATTGTTTGGTGTTTGCGCGCACTGTGCAAATGTATGGATAGGGAGGTAGAGCACTGGTGTCGGCACATACTGTACACTATACAGTCTACAGCTAACCGTACAGTATGTGTATTGCTATGCTATGACTGCCACACCCATACCCATACCCATGCTATGGACTGTCGTATGTGTGAAATACAGTACAGTAGGCATTGATATTGAATGCAATAGACGATTGTGTGCAACACTACAGACATAGCATTATATGTATTGCTATATAAGCTATAATACCATACATTATATACATATACTCTATATATGTATGAAGTGAAGGACATTACATATAACACAAACGTATTGACCAAACCATTGAATTTATATATCAATGAATTACGGGCTGTGAGTAGTGGACACCTGCGAGTCGATGGTTAGTCAATGAAGAGTCAAAGTGACCACTAATTGTCAGCCATGTATCACACGATTGCATAGAAGTGCCATCATTTGACCCATTGATGGCCCACAAGAGGCCCGAGAGTGCACTCAACCACAACCACCAGTGATACCACCAATTGATGACTCCGATGACAGTGCGTCTGTTTTGCCAATCATTAATCAACAACATTACCATCAACTGTATCATCACGTGAAGCACTCATTTAACTATTTGATTGTTTTCATATTGAAAGATACCGTTTGTTTGCATCACTCGCCGATCGGCAACAATACTTGAGTCAAGTCATCACTCAATCTATATCTTTGATTTGTTGGGAGATTTACAACAATCTCTTCAATGATAAACAGTTGGTTAACAAGTGATTCGTTGTTTAATTAAAGCAAAAAGACGGCAAAGAGATCGTAAACGTTTACAACGATTGCCATAAATATTGGCACAAATAGTGTCTGTATTGTTGTTTGTGTTGCTTTAAGTGGTGACCACTTGAAGACAACACCTCGAGAACCCTTCAAAACGGGGATCTCAGTTATGGCCTGTTGTCTGAGCGAAGAGGCGAAGGAACAAAAGAGAATTAATCAGGAGATTGAACGCCAGCTCCGCAAAGACAAACGCGATGCCCGACGGGAACTCAAACTACTACTTCTCGGTACTCATTAATACTTGTTTTATATGATCCATACTATCCTCTAATGCTATTCCCATCTCATCTTTGACTCGCATTATAATTATAATCATAATTAAGATTTCCTCGTATCTCATGTTTGATACCAATTGACAAACACTGTATTGTATTACTTAATTGCAATTTCTATCTTTTATATGTTTACCATAAATGTATGTTTAATTGAATGATAATCTAAATGTTTAATAATATGCTATAATTTAGTTATATAAATGATATGATAATCCTAAGCGATGATCACTGTTTCAATTGATGATCAATTAGGTGTACAGCGCAGCCATATTTGTCATTATATTTAGACAGACATATAGAGGAAGGCATGCATTTTTAATTATAAAAGACAATTATTTATTGAAATTTATAGCCAAATCATATTTTTATGAAATGTTTATAAACCAATGACTATATTAACATTGCTATTATACAGTATCTACTTTTACACTGTCATACATGTTGTTATATCTGTATTTAAATTGCTTATACATAGTATATAAATATATACAGTATTATTATTATTATTAAACTATATTAAAATGAATCATATTTGCTGAAAATATTAGTTTACATATTACTAACTTAATTCATTGGATAATTTTATTGTAAGCAATCTTGGTTTATGTAAATGTATTTAAGGCAATCATTTTATAACACTTTGATTTTTTATATAAGAGATACATTTAAGTCGGAAATTATTTACATATCGGTTACTAACAATTTAATATAGACTTTAGTTAATACCAGTGCTTTATTGCTTAATATATATATATATTAATTGCATCTTTTAAATTGATTATTTTTATAAAATTTTATATTTATTTCATACTATTTATATTATTTTAATAGTCAAATGCAATTAATTGTACATTTATTATATGTATTCACACAATGCTATTAATTAATGATAAAAAACATAATTTTTGTTACTTTTAATACATTCGACAAAATTTATTGAAATAATGCATGATTTGTGTTATTGTTTGACATATGACTCAAATGTTTTGCAATTGAATTTAATGGTTAAAAAACATATTAACAATATATTTAACAATATATTTAACTAACATTTTTCAAACATTTTTCAAACATTTTTATGCATTTATTCATTCAATTCAAATGTAAACAAAACTTGAAACTCATTGAAAATTTGTTGTATAGTTTATATTATTTTGATGGCATAAGAAAAACTTAATTTTACAAATTATAAATATTAGCCACTTATGCAATGTTTGTATAGTTTTGATATTTTTGAGTTTTAGTAATGATTGGCAACTCTGACCCAAACATATATACAGTATATATATCTTAGTTTTTATGATAACATTTATATAATTTATATTTCTTGCTTGAGTTGATGTTTTCAATATAATTGTTTTGTCGTTTTCTTAAGTTATACATATGTATCGAAATATTTTGCATTTTATTATATATTGATTACTAAATATTTTGCATTTAATGACTTATTAAAATTATATATGTTTTACTATTTAATAAATTAAATGCTTTTACTGATAGAAAAAAATAAAAATTATAAGTAAAGCAAATATTGAATGCAAACAAACATTTAAGACAAACTACTGTATAATTCTGTAGTTTAAAACTTTGTTTGAATTTACAAAAGCACTCAATGAGTGAATTTGTTTAATAAATAAAATGGTAAATAAAAATAATAAATATATTAAAAATTATTTTATATTTATATTTTTAGGCACTGGAGAGTCGGGAAAGAGTACATTCATTAAACAGATGCGAATAATTCATGGGTCGGGCTATTCGGATGAAGACAAGAGAGGGTTCATCAAACTTGTCTATCAGAATATCTTTATGGCTATGCAAAGCATGATTAAAGCCATGGATTTGCTCAAAATCCCTTATAAAGATTCAAGAAATTCAGTAATTTTTATTATTAATGATTTGTTAACAATTGGTTAATAATAAATTGTTAATTAATTTGTCGGATAATTTAGGAAAATGCAGATTTAGTGCGTTCTGTAGACTACGAAACGGTTACCACATTTGACAGTCCATTTGTTGAAGCCATCAAACAATTGTGGTCTGACTCTGGAATCCAAGAATGTTATGATAGGAGGAGAGAGTATCAGCTCACAGACTCTGCCAAATAGTATGTGTTGATTAAAGTCAATGGACACACTATTTGTGTTTATTAAATGAATGAAATTATGTTTTATAGTTACCTGAGTGATGTCGATAGAATCGCTGCCACTGATTACTTGCCTACACAACAAGATATTCTTCGAGTCCGAGTGCCTACTACTGGCATCATTGAGTATCCGTTTGATTTAGACTCTATCATATTTAGGTATGTCTTATAGTTGAACAACTATTGTTAGTCTTATACATAGATAATTGACTATTTATTATATCAATAGAATGGTAGACGTTGGCGGCCAAAGGTCGGAGCGGCGAAAATGGATTCACTGTTTTGAAAATGTAACTTCAATTATATTCTTAGTCGCCTTAAGTGAATACGACCAGATCTTATTCGAGTCAGACAACGAGGTCAGTCATGTTTATTATATCTATTTGTCACCACAACTAACCCTATTGTATACCAACAGAACCGTATGGAAGAAAGCAAAGCGCTATTTAAGACGATCATCACATATCCCTGGTTTCAAAACTCATCAGTTATTCTCTTTCTAAATAAGAAAGACTTATTAGAAGAAAAGATAATGTATTCCCATCTCGTCGACTATTTTCCTGAATATGACGGTATATTAGCCATAAATTTTTATTTTTTAATTTCAAGTCTTTAATTGACTATTTGATAATATTTTGATAATAAAAACTATAGAAAAATTTATTGCTTATCACACTAATAAACAAGTAATTTTAGACAATGATTTATGAATCAACGAATATTTGTTTTTTAATAGTATTGTTAGCTTGTATTTTACTAATATATTAGATATCACTTGTACCAGATCCTATATGTCACTAATTTCTGATTTTTATTGTTATTTGATTTATGAATTATACAGTATATTTAATTTATAGCAAATTGAATCAACTTGAGTTTATATATTAAGGCATTTTTTATATTTAATAAAAGAAATTAATATTAAAATATTAAACTATTATATAATTAATAATTTATATATTTAAAAATTATTGTTACAATTTTTAGGGCCAAAGAAAGATGCGATACACGCGCGAGAATTTATATTAAAGATGTTTGTCGACCTCAATCCCGATAGTGAAAAGATAATATATTCTCATTTTACGTGTGCCACAGGTTTATATTAATTTTTATTTATTGACATTTTTTGTTTGTTTGCATTTAATGACTCACTTTAATAATACTAATAAATTATTTTTAATATCAATAGACACGGAAAATATCCGGTTTGTATTCGCAGCCGTAAAGGATACTATACTTCAGCTTAATTTAAAAGAATATAATTTGGTTTAATAGTCATTAAGTGATTCTTTTAAAATATAAATATAAACATTTGTATTGTTATTGAAAAATGAAAATTATTAATATTTAATAATTGAATGAAAAGAACCGTAAAAGAGGTCTGTTTTTTGATTGATATTAAGTGAAGATTGAAATGAGAGGAAGATATGCGAAGAATTTTTGGAAACATTTTTAAAAAAGTTGTACAAATTTGTTATAATTAAGTGTTTTTATATATATATATAAATAATAATAAGTGTCAGTCAATGTGTGCGCCAAACTAAACAACCGCTTTTGATGAGCAATACATCGGGAGGATTACTAACGAACTGTTGGTGTGAATTGAGTGCCGGACTGTTGCATCACTCCATCTCCATCTCTCCATTGAATGCATTGGCCATAACTATTATGAAGTGCAGCTCTCTGTGCAGTATAAATGATTATTTTAAACAAATTATACATATAATTAATAATAATAATAATAAAACTGATTTTGAATAATAATTATTAAACAAAACGGTTTAAGTACTTGTATTGCATCAAAACAACACTTTCATTGTGCACATCAAATCAAATCATTTGTATTAGCCATCAAAAAAAAACTTCAAAACAAATTTCAGCCAACATTCAGACATTCATAACTCTCGGGGACTCCAAAAGTCAAACTACTAAATAATAGTGCAATTTATTTGTTAATTTGCAACACAAAACCAGCTAAAGATAGGATGAAATGTTTTTACTGAATCTAATCTGAAGACAACTTTTTTTATTTGACTAAAAGTTATTTTCTCGTATATTATTCAACGCTTTGCTATATTAGAAGTTGATTGACTGATACCGATAAGATATACATTAATGGACACCCGATTGATGGACAAATTGGGCAAAATTTAGTATTATAATTATATATTGACTGATTTCAACAAAACTCCTCTATAATTGAATTGTTATTATTTAATAATTTTTGTCATAAGTTACTCTTCTTACAAATGAAACAAATAATTTTGATTTGACATTTGATTTAATAACGAGTGATAACAACAAAAAAAAACAAAAGTAATTTTACCACAAAAACAACAAAACCTATGATAATATTTTGTTTTTAAACAATACAACAAAAAGTTTCACTGAAGACAAAAGTATTGATTATATGGTGTATTATATTAATTAACTTTATTAGTATTATTATTATTTAAAGATATTTGAATTTTTGATAATTTAAATTTTTAAATTAATTTTTATGTTTATTATGATTTTTGTTAAAAGGCAGCCAACAAGAAATTAAGTCTCGTATTATTTTAAAATTATTTTTGCATATAATATATTATTTAAATTGATTGTTTAGTTCCCAAACAAATTGAAGATTACATCAAATCACACAAATGTTGTTCATCATAAAACTGCTCTGTTTTTATATAAATTTTATGAAAATTATAATTATTTAATATTTTTTGCTTAATTGAAATACAATTGAGAAAATTACTGTATTATTGTTATATAAAATGTATGATTATATAATAGAGATGATTGGGATGGGGTTTGAACGACAAGGGGTACGAAACTGTTGACCAACACAGACATGAATTGGTAGTGCATTGCATGTTATGTACAAAATTTATAAAATAATGTGTTCTTTACTTGAAATGACTTAATTTGTAGCTAACAGTGCCAACAAAATAACATTTTTCAATACAAGAGCCAAAAACTAACAGTGCTTTCTATCACTTTATATAATATCTGTAAAAAATTCTGTCTCTTTTATGACAACAAAATGCTTGACATTTGGCGACCCATCTAAAGGTGCTCTCAAAGTAACTTTTTGTCATTACTTTTAATTTGATTATAAATTATTTGTCAAATTAACTGCAAATAATTTGAAAAAATCAACCGCAAGAACAACATTATTATCGACAATATTAAGGACAACATCTCCGCCAACAACTGAGTCTATATTTAATATTCATTTGAATTTTTCTCATTAATCAAACATCAATTTTGTAATTGTATGACAACTATAAACAAATTATATGCAGATATTATTTGATATCTTTTTATTTTCAATTAACCTTTACTTAAATTGAAAGTTCAATGCATTTAAAAAAATCATACAATAGTTTAGTAATTACCGGTAAATTACTGCCAATTATATACAATAGATATTAAAAACATTTATAGTTTAGTTTATGGGAATTAACAAATATGTCAATTAAGATGACCATGCTCATTTTTAAATGCACTGTACTTTTGTCTAATTTGTTACCAATTTTTTAATTATTTAATAACTAATTGGTCTAAATATTACAATACTTATGATATACAGGTATAAGTATAATAAGTTGTATATTATTAGTGATATATACTGTAATATATATATATATATAATTTAATATCAATAATGATTTGGACGACAATTGGTATAATTGTTCGAAATTTGGTCTCAAATTGATTAGACATTTGGTAACTAATTGTGTGAATAGTTATAAACATTGATTGCTATGCAGTGACAGTCAGTCTCATTGAAGACAATGTTTGAGCGCATGTCTAGTGATTTCATCCATTAATACATTGACTAAAAACAAACATTTTAAACATCACTTGATTTGATTGTCGGTATTATTAATGTCTTAAGTGGTTATCTCTGGTATTTGATTGTTATAATAGTAAGCGATGGGAAACTGGAAGTTGGAGGCCTTCAAAATGGCAATTTACATGTCTTTCCCGGTCTCGGCTTTTATACTCTTCAATTCACCGCATTTTTACGAGAAGACACTCTTCGAGTTTCGCCAAGAAGTGGATCGATGGACCACTAAAGACAAACATCTCGAAGAATATACTAAACTTTGTCAAAAGATTAATATGGAGAAAAAACTTAAGGCTCTTGAGATGACAACCCCTTCCAAATGATGACAATTGCTTTCATCTTAAATGACCATTTGGTGCCATTTGATGATACTTGAGGTCATCGATGTATATAATGTTATGTCAAATCAAATGATTGGCATTTTGTGTAGATTTTAAATATTAAAATTAGTCATTTTATATAATTAAAATGCATTGGCATTTAAATATTTAATAAATGTATACAAAATTGATAATAAAAATAATTGAGTTTATATTAACTTTAAAAATACATAAAAGTTTATTTTAATTTAGTTTAGACTTATTATATTACAGATACACTAAACTATTTATTATATATATATATTAAAATATATATTAAATGATATACAAGTATATTATTACTGATAAATTTGATTGTCGTAATAAATAAAAATTGAATGATATGCTAATACAGTATAAATATATAATAATGTATTAAAATATCAAAACTAATTGATGAATGATTTTAAATTATTTTAATATATATTGTTATAATAATTATTGTTTAGTGATTTATTTATTATTCAAATAAATCATAAATCAATTAATCGATGAAAATCTAATAATCAATTTAAATGTTTCTATAAATGTATGTCAAATGTTGTCGTACTTTATGAACACATATTTGTGTTAATAATTGTTTTGTTGATTAATATAAATGTTTTGTCATTAAAACCGGCGATCATTTGGTTTGTATTGCATTTGAATTGTTGGCCAAAGAGTTGATTGCAAATTGATATCACTTTGAGGTCAGACCAGTGATTGTCTACAAAACAACAGTTGACTTCATTGCATGGATTTGTTGTCCAACTATTGAAAATCCCAATAAAATCCAACCGTTTGTTTGTTTAAAGTTTTTTGATGAAGAATTGAATAAAATGTTGAGTTTATGTCGACAGTCGTTAACCCGTTTGAACCGCAAGTGTCTAATCGGTCACCGAGTGGTCAGACAATCGCATTCGGAACAGAAGATTCCAGAAAAGTATGAGAAGTTCCGTACGGGACATATGGATGAAGCAGTGGTTCCGTTCGGGTCGTGGAAAGAGGCCTTCAATAAGCAACAGAAAAAATATAACAAACAGTTAGCTTTAAGTCTTCTGTTTTTTGGTGGAACCGCTATTTTTGTATACAATTCAGGAGTAATAGACTTAGTTTTGCCGCCGCCGATGACTAATGATGATAAATATCACTTTCATTGGATGAAAAACTTGTTTAAATTTAGCAAACAATCGTTAAAAGAAGAAAAGTCTTCTTCTACTAAAGCAATACCCGATTTGCCTAAAGAAGTTCCATATCTTATAATAGGCGGCGGAACCGCATCTTTTGCCGCCTTTAGATCAATTCGAGCCAATGACCCGAAAGCCAAAGTTTTGGTTATTTCCGATGAAGACTATTATCCATATATGAGACCTCCTCTCTCTAAAGAACTCTGGTTTAGTAGTCCTGATCTAACAAAGAAACTAACATTTAAACAATGGAATGGAAAAGAGAGAACAATCTTCTTAGAACACGAAGAATTTTATTTACCACTTGAAAAACTAATTCAATCGGAAACCGGAGGCGTTTCTGTTCTCAAGAATTATACTGTGGTTAAGTTGGATGCAACCGATAGGAAAGTATACTTAGATAACGGGGAGATAATATCATATGATAAATGTTTGATTGCAACCGGAGGAACACCTAAAAACATCGAACCATTTATTACTTCGCCATCCGATGTCCAGAAGAGAGTGATTTTGTACAGAAATATTGCAGACTTTCATCGTTTAGAAGATATTTCACGAAAAGCTAAATCAATAACAATAGTCGGCGGAGGCTTTCTTGGTAGTGAATTGGCCTGTGCTTTGGCCGGTCGGTCCAAACTTTACAAAACCAATCTCATAGTCAATCAAGTATTTCCTGAAGAAGGAAATATGGGTAAAGTTTTGCCTCAATATCTTTGCGAATGGACTACAAATAAAGTTAAATCTGAAGGTATGAATAGATTTGTTGTGGATTTGATTAATAAACGATTATCTATTATATGATAGGCGTTAATGTAATTCCTAAGACCAGTGTTAAAGACGTTCAGTTGGATGGAAATCAATTGGCTTTAAGTTTAAGTGATTCCAATAAATTGAAGACCGATTATGTTATATTAGCCGTCGGTTTGAACCCTAACACACAGTTAGCAGAAACATCAGGTCTAGAGGTTGATGATGTTTACGGCGGATTTAGAGTAAATGCCGAACTTGAAGCCCGAACTAATTTATGGGTAGCGGGCGATGCCTCCTGTTTTTATGATATTAAACTCGGCCGAAGACGTGTTGAACATCACGATCACGCCGTAGTTAGCGGACGGTTAGCCGGAGAGAATATGACGGGTGCTCACAAACCTTATTGGCATCAATCGATGTTTTGGTCGGATTTAGGCCCTCAAGTTGGATATGAAGCCATTGGTATTGTCGACTCATCACTGCCTACTGTTGGTGTTTTTGCAAAAGCATCAGAAAAAGATACCCCGAAAGCTGCGGTTGAGAAAACCGGTGAAGGAATTCGCTCCGAATCGGACCAAAAAGCTGAAGATGTGCTCAAAACAGAAACAACTGAATTAACTGAAGCAGTTCCTCGAACACCACTACCGGGTGATGACTTTGGAAAAGGAATTATATTTTATTTGAAAAACAATATAGTGGTCGGCATTGTCTTATGGAATGTCTTCAGCCGAATGCAAATCGCCAGAAGAGTTATTAATGAGGGAAAGCCTTTTGAGGATCTGAATGAAGTGGCAAAACTGTTTGACATTCACTCCGATGAATGATCTCTTCCGCAATTGTTATACAATTTAGATGTTTTGTTACTTTAAATAATTATATAATTATGAAATACCTTAATAAGTAAATATTTTAATGAAAAACAATTATTAAATTTGAATACTATTAATAGTTAAGCCATTATATTTATATTGAATTTATATTTTAACATTAAAACATATTTATAGATAAATGTTTATAATAATAATAATAATAATATATTATATTTAATTTATAAATATATTGTATGTATAACTTAATAATATAATATAAGTTCTTTTATATATTAGCTCTTAATTTAATGATAATGAGCTTACATTTAATGATATTATTAGAACCGAACAAAAGGCACAAAATTTAATGTATATATTATACCATAAAATGTATATATATTTTGCTAGGATTTAGACATAGCTTAGAAAAATCTAAGTTATGTTGTAAATGATATATTGAATGTAAGTTTGTATAAGAGTTGATCCCAATGGCTAACAATTGCAATATTTGCTGTAATTTGAATTTCCATTGTTTTCCTTGTATTCGTTGTCCTCGAGTTTAATATTATCGCTAAAATAGCGACGGTTTGGAAGTCGAGGACTTGTTTCGACCACTCTTTGCATTCGAGTCATCACTAAATCCAATAAAGTCTCGACTGATTTGCTCACATTCTGACCCGAGGCCGCACTCGTCTCAAAATATTTAAGTCTATCGTTTGATTGAAACAATTATTATGATTAATAATTTTATAATGACTAGTGTTTAGAAATTTTCCAATATTCATAATACTGTACAATACAACATACAGAAAACTAACACTTTTGTTGTTTATAAACATAAATCATCTGAAAATATCTTTTTGTTTAAATGTTTTTAATAAATTTATTTCATTTTCTATTTAATCATTAATAAAATATAAATACACTATTATAATTTAAAATTTTAATGATTAATTAAAAATTATCTATATGTTATATTTTTAAGCTTGTATAATAATATTTTGAAACAATATATTGAAACAATATGGTTATTATACAGTATATTTAATGTATTAGATAATAATTTAATTGGAAAATTTTTAGATATTTTAATTATTTTAGGAAAATTTCAATTTTCAAAGACCAGTAATTTTGTTTTATACCCGTATTTTTCAGCCTCTTGTCGAGCCCTTTCCTCTGAGACAACTCTTTTATCATAGAGATCTGCTTTATTACCACAAAGAACGACATCGGGATCATCACAATAGGCGTGTGTCCGAAGCTGTTCCAACCAATTCCTGACATTTAAAAATGACTTTTCACTTGTTATGTCAAATACGACTATAAATCCCATCGCATCGCGAAAGAATGCAGTTGTAAGCGAACGGAATCTATTAATAGATAAATTTATATTAAAGTTTTAATTATTGTATTGAAAACATATAAAGAATATTCTGTGGGTCTATTGAATCGCTACAAGATTTTAAACTACAGCTACGCCTATAACCATAGCATTACCAGAGGATCTCATATTGGATCAAATTCTTTAATATTATTGAGAATAATTGAACCATTAATTTGATAGGCATTCCAATGGCCACAATAATCGCAATCATTTTACTTAAAATGATATCAAATACAACCTATTAATGCATACAATTAGACAATTATGGAAATGGGATTCACATTTTCATCACAAATGTCATTAATATATGAATAATTTATTTATTTTTGTGTATTATCTATACTGTATATACTGTATGTTATTATAATTTACACTATAATGTTCTGTAGTTTCACAATAAGCAACAATTGAATTTTATTGCAGATATTATGAGTTGAACATACCTTTCCTGACCCGCCGTATCCCATAATTGTAGATAAACTCTTTGGCTCCGACCTATGATGCCATCACTTTTTAGAGGCTTATAAACCTTATTATATTTAAAATTATACAATAATTTATTAAATAAAAATCAATAATTTTTTATTTAACATACAATTCGTTTTTCTCTAAAATCAATGCCAACCGTTGATATAAATTTTTGGTTGAATGACCCGTCAGTATATTGATAAAGAAAACTGGTTTTTCCAACACCAGAATCGCCTGTAATTAGCGAATCATAAGAATTTCAAAATATTTTATTTAAAAATTTCAAAAATAATTTATTAAAGATTTTCAAAAATAATTTTAAAAATAAAATCAATACCTAATGTTAAAAATTTAATCAGATAGTCGTAATCGGAAGAATTGCATGAATTGTTATTATCGCTCATCCTTTAAACAAATGTTTATTTATTAAATTTTATTGATATATTAAAAATAAATAAATATTACATTGTTTTAAAAATAGTAATACAATCACTGCTAACGTTAGTTTTTTTCAGTTTAAATGAAATTTGCATGAAATTAGTTTTGTATCCATTTATTTACACAAAAATCATTTATTGATGCAAATTAGCAATATTGGCACTGTTAGGATAGATTAGCGCAAAGCTAAAATAATAATTAAATGCAGATTCATTAATAGCTCCAGGGACATTTTATTTACTATAAAACGCTTAGATAACAAAAATTTTATATAATTAAAAAATATATAATTATATTTTTTAATTAACAATTTTAAGAATTCATATAATAAAAGATATGGCATCAATATACTGTATATTTATATTAATACCAATGAATTATAATGAATTATAATATGGGTATATATATATATATATTTCTATGTTAAATATAAAAATATAGAAACAATAAAGTATAAATTATATTAACGCATAAATCAAAATAAAACTTTATTGTTGAATATCTTATTTGAAAAAATATTTTACATATTTACTAAATAAAGTATAATAAATATCTCAAAATTACAAAATATATTTTAAAATATAAAGTATATATTGTATATTATAATATATATAAATATAAACATTATATAAAGTAACTTATTTAGAAATATTAAAATCTATGTAATATAATATTACAATAATGATAACAACAGTATTTCTTGAATAACTCTCTAAATATTTATGTTATTATAGATTAAAATAAATTTAATAAAACTATAGAATAGAAAAAATATATAATATATTAATAGTAAATAAACATTTAAATCATCAAAGCTGTAAAGATAATAAATTATGTAAAAAACAATAAAAAAAATTTAAGGATTTAGCTATTAAATACATATAAGTTATTATTATTTATAGTAAAATTAGTATAAACCCTTCAAAATTTTAAATAATTAAAATTCAATAAAATTAGTTCAAATAATTTTGTAATTGTATAGAAATGTTATTAAATTTTCATATAAACATTTAAAAGTATACAATATTTAGAGTTAAATAATTATATAAAAATTATTACCTTATATGATAAATGTATTTTCATATCTATAATAAATACATTATATTAAAAATATATATAAAGACATACTCGAAGTATACAATGGAAATCTCTATATTATAATAAATTATTTCTTATATTTCAGAACAGATATTTACAAATAACTGTCAAAAACTTAAATTTTGTTTCACGGGTAATGTATTTATCTAAAACTATAACTAAACTAAAAACAAAAATTTGTGAAATTTGTGAATCAATACAATGAATAATAAATGGGATTTTTGTTTAGTGAATAGAGAATAATAGAAAAATGCCATTTATTTGTAATGACATACACATTGCAAACACACCGAACAACTGCTCAATGAATTACTGTCGACTCGATTACTATTTGAGCCCACAATTCACTACTATTAGTTAATTATCATTTATTTCATATTAATATAACATTAATACTAAATATAGTTTTAATTCAAAACGATGTCTCTCTGGTATCAATAATATATACACATCAATGAACTAATATTTTTCAAATAATTTATTACTGATATTTAATACCAGTCTGATATAACAACCCACATATCATATACATTATATAATAATGGGAATTGTGTACTGCAATAATGTTACACTCAATTACCACTAAATATAAGTTATACTGTACTTATAAATTAAAAACTATCAAAATTTCTCATTTATGATTTGATTATAATTTTTATAAGTTATGAAAAATAATTTGTTTTCAGAAAATTACTGTTATTATTATAAGTACTAAACATTATATTAAACAAACTTTACTTATATTATATAAACTGTATATAATATTAATTTATATTTGCAACAACATTAACAAAATCTAAATTATATACTGTATATAACTTTCTAATAATGTGTATTTTGTATATCGAAAAAAAACAGAATAAAATATATATATATATATATATATATATATATATATATAATTTATATATAATATAGAAAAATAAAATATTACATTTCTAGACATACACTAGCATTTGATAGTTATTAGTTAATTAATAAAATACGAACTAATTTATTATAATTAAAAATTTATAAATATATAAAGTAATTATTAGATTAATAAAATTCATATAATTGAGTAATAGTATGACAATAATTAAGTAAAATGCATTTTATACGCAAACATATGGTATGTCATAACAAGCAGTAACCTAAATGAAAGTGCAATTCAAATATGTCTTAAATGGCACTTACCTTCAAAAAGCCTACTTTTCCACACTTTAGACAAACATTCAATTTTTCAACAAATCATTTTCTATAAGCTCTCAATTGAAATGTTCAAAGAAATGTTCAATCAATGCATTGATTACTTGTTGCACACAAACTAACGACTTATTGAATGCTAACTTAAATTCATTACAACACTATATTATAAGTCATTTCTTATTTTCATAAAATGTTACACTTTTTTGCTGATAAAAAACGGATGAATACGTCATTATAGTAACATATGATAGACTATTTGATAAAATATATTTACAGTATATAGAGATTATAGTGGAGACAAAATAAGATATATATAATGTATGATATACTGAAATATAGTGTATATTCTTATGAATTACTCATATATTCTGTTGTATTACTGTTTCACTTGAAGTCCAGAATTTCAATGCATTCATAGACCATATCAGGTAATTATATACCAAATATTGAGAACAAGAATATCATAACATATGCTTATTAATAAACAAATTTAATAATCAATACATTTGTATAGCATATTGTTTAATGAAAATATGCTTTAGTTAGTGTATTATAGTGTTATGTATTTATGTGTTGAGTTGGAGTTTCATTTAAATGCTTTAATAACCGCTACTACAGCACAACACAACCACTAGTAATACAGTATTACAAACATTACAATCGCTATTACATAACAGCATTGCTTAGTATGTATAACATAACACTAACATAGAGTCAAACAACATTTGTGAGAGAAATCAATAAATTCCTACATATTTTCATTCAATTCTTTGCAGTATTTGTTTGTTAATTATTTTGTTTTTTGTTTGTTTTAATACAAATTTATTTTTGAAACATTTTAACTTATAAACTCTATAATAGGATATATTAAAATTAATGTCATAATAATGAACTATTAAGTTGGACAAGAATTTAATTACAAACACAAGTTAATAATATAGAAATTATAATTAATAGACACACACTTTCATTAGCATATCTCCTGTACAATATCAATATATTTTTAATAAATCAAATAATTAAGCTTTCAATTTAATTATAACACTATTTATAAGTGAGGATACTCAGTATATGCTAATATGCTCAAAATTTAATAAACTTATAGAAAACTTATTGAAATTATTTTTGAAATTTTAATATTGAATTGCAAATAATAAATAATAAGCAATTTTTATAAATTATATATTATTTAATAATCCTGTTGCTAGAAATTGCTATTAACATATTAACATTTATTAACAGATATATTCATTATAACAATAATTATCGCATAATTATATTCAATATATAATAAATTTAATAAATTGGATCAATTATAAAAATTCTATCTAAATAAGATATAACTAAATTAAATATCTCTAATACTTATATATATATATATATATATATATATATATATATATATATATATATATATAATGGATATAATTAATTAAATAAAATTACTTTCAAACATATTAAGCGACGTTTGTTGAAATATTTTACTTAATTTAATTATATGCAAAATGTAATTATTAGAGTTATAAGAAACAATTATTGTACAGTAATATCATTTATGCTAATATTAGTTAATGAAATTATATTATTAATATTTATTATTAGAGAAATGTAAGTTTAATAATAAATTATCACTAATAACACTAAATACATGTATAATGACATTGTCATGAATCATGATTAATCAAATATAATATTTATTAAACAATACCTATTTATTCAATACATAGTTTAAATTATTTAAAATTTTGCTAATATTTGACTACATTTATGATTACTAATTAAGTACTGATTAACTGTAGGACTATACACTGTTTAGTATACAGTACTATAAATTATATAATTGTCAATTGAAGTCAATTATATGAATTAAAATATTGTTTACGTATTGAACTTAAATGAATTTTTATAGCAAATAACCCCTAATTAGTTATTAATAATCAATATAATTATAATTATAATCAATTAAACATTAATTTCATTATATATATAATTATTATTAATTTATATAAAAATTCAATGGTATAGCAAATGGTGTGACTTATTGGCCAATCAGTGATTCACACGAAGGGTCTCTACAATAGTCAAACCCATTGACATTACGTCACGTCATATATGTATGTGTTTTCAATACCTGTATTGTACTGTACTGTAGTGTACTGTACAGTGAATGTACTGAATGTAATCAATTCAATAATAATATTCATATAATACTGTATTAAAGTAATAATAATAATAATATTGTATTATAAAGAGTGATTAAACATTATTAATCCAAACAAATAAAAAAAATAAAAAAATTACAATAAAAAACGTTATTTAATAATATTAGCAAAATGCCCCCCATTTCGAGCAATACATATATGTAAGCGATAAATAAAATTTTCAATAATTTTTACAAAAGTGTTTTGATTAAAAAATTTAAAAGAGTTAATTATCCTTATTTTTAATTCATTTAAATCAATTGGAGGATTTTCAAATGGAAAAACATCCATTTTAGTCTTTCCCCAGAAACAAAAATCCAATGGATTTAAATCTGGGGAATGGCTTGGCCATTCGATTACATCAGTTTTAAGGCTAATTAATCGATTTTGAAAATGTTGTTGTAATAAAGTTAAAGTTGTATGTGCTAATAAATAAAAAATAATAATATTTTTATTAATTTATTTTAATATTAGCATAAAATTATAAAATATTTTAAAATTTCACTTACAATTGATATCACGAGTCACCCGAAACTCAGTTTTTAAGAGAACAGATCTCTTTCAACTCTCTTTTTTATAGTGCAATAAATGCTTTATATCATTGGTTTAGTTTAGGTGATGGTGGGGTGGGGTGGTTGTGAGATTAGGAAGTGATCTGGGTTTTGTTTGTGAGGGATAAGGCAAGGGATGGATGGAATAGTAGATAAACTAAAAAATGATAGACTTGAGTTTCGGTGACAATTCATATCAATTGTAAGTTAAAATTAAAATATTTTATAATTGTTTATAAATTTAAATTGAATTCTAGTCATAATCTATTAAAAAATCAAATAAATACCTGTGTGTGGACTGGCTCCGTCTTGCATGAATATTTGATTTTTGTAATTATCACCAGTTTTTTCTTTAAGATTTGGTATAAAATAATTTTCAATCATTGATTGATATTTTAATGCATTAATGGTATATTTTTGGCCTTTTTCTCGTTTAAAAAAATAAGGGCCAATAAAACCATATTTATAATTCCAAGCAACCCATACTGATAAATATTCAGGGTTGGCTTGAATTTCAATTGATTTATCTGGTTTTTCTGTGCCCCAAATTCGCATATTTTGTTTATTAACAAAACCATTTTTATGATAATTGCATTCATCAGAAAACCTGGAAAATAAATTTTTTAAAACAGTGTGAAAATAAATGTGAAGTTATATACGAAACGAGCAATTAAATTAAAATATTTATTATAAACTTACCAAACATTATCCAAATAATTGGCATTATCGTCCAATTTAATTAAAATCAAATTGCAAAAATCAACACGCATTTCCTTTGATTTTTCAGGTAATTTATGTACAAATTGTACTTTATAAGGAAATAAATTCAATTCCTTAACCAATATATTACGAATTGATCCATAACTTAAAATAACATTTATCGATTTTAAATATTCGCTAACTTTTCTTATAGATTTATAATTATTTATAGCATTTTTTACTAATTCAATATTTTGAGGTGTTAGTTTAGGCTTTTTATGGGGAACTTTGTGCTTTTTTTGGACAGTCTTATCCTGGTCAAATGTCCTATTTATTCTTAAAATTGTGTGTCGTGTTGGCGGCTTTTTGTCAAACATTTCCGCAAACTTATCTTGAACATATTTATGTTGTGATTTATAGCCATTTATATTTTTAAATTCTTTAAACCTATTATAAATACAAAATATTATTGTGTGAATTAAGATATTGTCAGCAATTGATTGAAATGTTTGATAAATACAGACATTTAGTTAAGAGTTTGCAAACAAATTGTGTTTGTATTTAAAACAATTGATTAAATACCAAATTATTAATAAGAAAACTGTGGACACAGTGAATGATAGTTTGATAAATAAACCGATTAAAAGAAGTAGAAGAAGACCGAAGAAATTAACGGAGAAAATGGTTTATAAATGACATTACATGGGTTGTGACAAACAGTTTGGTTACAAGAGTTTACTTCAGACACACATTAGGATCAAACATATGGATGTACAGACAATGATGTCAATACATGTTATGAGGGTAACAGTGTTAATGATAGCGATGGTACGGAAATCATTTCAGAGACCAACTGTAGTGATAGTTGAAGTGAAACAGAAAAGAAGGCTAAGAAAAAACAACAGAAGATGAAGACAACGACAAAATTATAGTTTAAGATAAATAAAACTTTTACTTACCAATGAACTATATAAATACATTCGTGTTCAGTATAATTACCACTTTTAACATTTAGATTGTTACCATTGTTTTCATTCATTTTACTAATTTAATTATTAATTAATAAAATTTAAATATAATAATTTGTAATAAAAGTTTAATATAAAACTGCAACTAATAAGCACATGTCTTTAGCACCCCTTTAAAATAATATAACGTATACTTTATTATAAAACCTGTTTCTTATCATTTGTTTGGATAGATAAAGTTTACTCACTCTTTATTTAGTGAATTCATGTCATAATACAAACAAAAATCATCAAAATATTTAAAATAATAATAAAAATAATAACAATTAATTGAAAGCTTTTTTAAAAAATAAAACATTTGTTTAAAAGCAATACATATTAATAATTGTTTCTAAAAAGTGTTTACTATTTTCGGTCAAAACGTGTCAAACATATTAATAGTGGTTTGACTACAATCTAAACATTTGTCTCATTAGATAATCAAACAATACATTTACCGACAAAGTGTTGAAACAGTGGTCAACACAGACACCAATTGGATGTAATTGTCACCCAAATTGTATGAGTGTTGTAGTGATGACATAACTTTATCGACAACATTGTCATTGATATATATTAAGGTCACATAAAGTAAGGTATTTATCTTATGATAAACATATTTATTATAAATAATACATTAATTTGATTGACATTAAGTCTGATTTAAATAACATATGATTACTGATTGGGATATCTTTACAGTTAGTGTTGAACAACAAGTGTTGGACACAACCGATGGCTTTGCGACAGATTATTACTTAAAGAAATTTTGAGGATTTTATTAACTTCTGAGAGAGAGAGAGAAAACCGTTTGTTTTTGATAAACCATTTGATGTGAGGATATCTTAAGTGGTGAGAAATGCCGGCCTTTTTTCTGGAAACACCAGACATTCTTCCGTTGCCTAGTCTTCAGGCGTACACAACAATCAGTGCTCTTCTGTTGTCGTGTTCAATATATTATGCGTTTCAAGTGACGTCTGAACCCGATTGGCGACTCAACGCCACACTAAGTGTTGGTCTGACTCTGGCCAACGACAACAACACTAATGTGAATGATTTGCCGACAATAATGACCAGCAATGGTACGCTTAGCAATGAGACGTCTATCCATTTGGGTCTTCTACTGGACAGTGGTTTTATTATGCGACTCATTGATGTCGTGTATCTCATGTTTCACGAACCGCTCTGTATTTGGACACTAATAAACTCCGCTTATTGTTGTCTAATATTAGTGGGAAAAGTAATACAAAAGTTGGTCTTCGGTGAGCTTCGTGTGTCAGAACAGCAACACATGAAAGACCGCTTCTGGAACTTTGTATTCTATAAATTCATATTTATTTTTGGAGTAATGAATGTCCAATATATGGATGAAGTAGTTCTTTGGTGCAGTTGGTTCTCAATATTAGGATTTTTATCACTTTTGGCCCAATTATGCAGAGATCGCTTCGAATATCTATCATTTTCTCCAATGACTCCTAAGTGGACACACTTTCGTCTTATAATACTATTGATGGCAATATTGATAACATCGTTGTCATTGTTTATTGTTTGTATTTTGGTTGGACTTCACGCTGGAATCAATACATTTGCATTTATGACGGCTGAATGTTCACTTGTGGCCGTACGGACACTGTTCGTCATTGTCCGCTATGCCATACATTTATGGGATTTAAATTATGAAGGCGTTTGGGAAAACAGGGCATCGATGGCATACTATACTGAATTACTCTTTGAATTATCAACACTTATCATTGATTTCTGTCATCACTTGCATATGTTATTCTGGGGTAACATAATCTTATCGATGGCTTCTTTGGTCATTCTTATGCAACTCCGATATTTGTTTTACGAAATTAATCGCCGCATTCGTAAACATAAAAATTATTTACAGGTAAAGCATTGAGTATTTCAATTAATTATTGAATTAATTACCGGTAATTAAGTGTTATATTTATATGAAAAGGTCGTTCGTTTAATGGAATCTAACTTTCCGATGGCCACTAATGAAGAGCTTGAGAAAAATAATGACGACTGTGCTATTTGTTGGGATCGCATGGAATCGGCCCGAAAGCTTCCATGTGGTCATCTCTTCCATAACTCATGCTTGAGGTCGTGGTTAGAACAGGACACTAGTTGTCCCACTTGTCGAACACCACTTAAGAATCGCAATGAAGACGAAGACGAAAATCCCGAACGATTAGCACTTGATAGAAACGGTCGCGAAAATAGAGGACTTGGCGGCCGAACGAACCATTTCTTTCATTTTGATGGTTCACGTTATGCCAGTTGGTTGCCTACAGTGTCAGTGGAAGTGACGCGACCCCATCTGATCACTATTGGTGTATCACCGACTTCACCACAAACTGATACCATTGAAACTATTTCTACAAATTCGCGAAGCGCTTTACATAGTCCTTCAATGGATAGTATGGCTCGACAAGTATTAGATATGTTTCCGCACATTACTCTTAACACAATTATTGAAGACTTAAGAATTTCTCGATCAGTTGAGCTAACAATTGAAAATATTTTAGACGGAAGAGTTGTTCCTCCCGTTCAAACTACTTCCAGGTAATAGATTTTCTGATAAAGTATATTAATAATGATTATTATAACAACTGATACTTTTTATTATTAGATATCAATTTGATGAAAGTTATTTATTGCCATCAACGTCTTCCTCTACGGCTGTGTCCACTACACCAGTCTTTTCCAATACAAAGAATGATGAAAAATGTGATAATGAAGAAACACACAAAGAAATAGAGCAACGCTTAGATAATGAGTCCAGTGATGAGGATATTAACAGTTTGATGGATTCAAATTCTGGTGCCAAAGCATTCATTGGACACCGATTTTCAAAGTCATCACAAGAAAGGGAGAAAATACTCGCCAAACGTAAAGAAGAGTTATTGAAAAAGGCCAGAAAAAACTATTTGAATCGACAAAAACTTCTTTATGGTGTTATGGCCAACAATTTATCTTCTGATTGATTTAAATCATTTACAATACTATAAACTCGAAAATATAGTTATATTTTGATGAAGATTTCGTTTGTTTATTAATTTAATAATTATGTGATTAAAAAAATCAATAGATATTTATTTGCCATATTTGTTTTTAATATACATATAATTAATTAATATTGTTAACATAAATATCTATTGTTAATTAATTTATAAATAGTGTATTTTTTGCCACACATTTGTTTTTCTCTAAAATTTTGTTTTATTTCTGTACATTCATTATTATTATAAGTATTTAATATATAATTAATTTTTGTTATATTAGAGATATACAAATAAATGGCAATATTTACTAACTCGAACTATAAGATTATTTGTTGTATTATCAATATTTATAAAAAAAATTATTAAAACGTATTGGTATATTGCTATAATTTAGTTTATTTCATTAGTATTATTATGCATTTTTCTAATTGTTTGAATGCATATTTGAAAAAACTCAAAACGTATATAAAATATAATAAATATTTTTAGCAAAAACAACTATTTATTTGACTAATGATAATTAATTCTCTATAGAAGTTAATGTAATTGGTATGACAAACATGTAGACTATTGAAATTGCACTAATAATGTACTTATAATAAACAAAATGTGGTTTTTATATGTAAAAAATAGGGAAAAACATTTTTTTTAAACTGACAATATTTTAGAAAAACTATAAATTTTAAAAAATTAAAGTGTAATGCTTTCAATTGATAGCAATTTAAAAAACAAATATTTACTATACCAAACATTAATTTTATATTATGTAAATCTATATACAGTATTTAATTTTGTAATAAATAAAAGGAAAACTAAAATAATTATTTAAATATAAAAAATTGTACTAGTTGACGTTTTTAAAAACAAGTAATATAAACCAATAAACCAGTTATGAGACAAAAATTGATTACAATCTCTCTCTGGTGTCTGTCCTTGAATAACATGTTTACTATTTATACCAAAACTAGAAAAGTTTTCACAACAGAGAAGCCCATCATTTAGTAGTGGTTTGAATCTGTAGTCAATTGCGTTAAATATATATAATTTGATAGGAATTTGAATCAATTTTTTTAAATCTTAAATTCTTATAAATTAACAAAAATGTCTTTTATTGAAGTCAGTGCTGATAATCACTTTCCGATACAGAATTTACCATTTGGTATATTCTCTACCAAAACAAATGTTTGTCTAAACTTTTTTTTAATAATACATTACTGCAATTTTGTAAAATTAAATTTAAGATTTAAATATAATATTTTTTAGACCAATTCACGACCAGGAGTTGCGATTGGAGATTATATTCTTGATTTAAGTGAAGTAAGCCATCTGTTTGATGGACCAATTATGAAGAATAACTCCAAACGAGTTTTTAATAGCAATTATTTAAACGACTTCTTGGAATTGGGAAGACAAGCCTGGAGTGAGACCAGAGCTAAACTAAAGCACTTATTAGACAAAGACACGGATATATTGAGAGATAATCAAGATTTAAGACAAAGAGCATTAGTAAAGCAAAGTGATGCCCAAATGCATCTACCGGTTCAAGTGGGAGACTATACCGATTTTTATTCATCAATTGAGCATGCTACTAATGTGGGAGTCATGTTTAGGAGTAAAGAAAATGCATTAATGCCGAACTGGAAACACCTTCCCGTCGCTTATCACGGAAGGGCCTCATCTGTTGTTGTCTCTGGAACTGCAATACGTCGACCCAATGGTCAGACTCGACCAGACGATACTCAGCCACCGAAATTTGGTCCCTCAAAAGCTATGGATTTTGAACTAGAAATGGCATTTGTTATGGGAGGGACAGCCAACCAATTGGGAGAACCCATTCCTATTGACAAAACTGAAGACAGAATATTTGGTATGGTTTTAATGAATGACTGGAGCGCCAGGTATTAAATCGTTATTTAATTAGAAGATTTATATTACAATTACCGGTATATATAAATTTGTTATCAAAAAGGGATATTCAAAAGTGGGAATACATACCATTGGGACCATTCTTGGCTAAAAATTTAGGGACAACTATTGGTCAGTGGATTGTAACGATGGAAGCACTGGAAAGTTTCAAAGTTGCTAATACTAAACAAGATCCACAACCATTACCATACCTGAGACACTCAGATCCATATAATTTTAATATAAATCTTAGTGTTTCAATTAGACCCGATGGACAACAAGAGGCAACTCAAGTGAGTCATTCAAATTATTGTCATATGTATTGGACAGCTAAACAACAGTTGGCTCATCACACCATCACCGGATGCAATGTAATTACATCTACAACATTACATACTCTTCAATGTTATAACTAAATTTAATATAATTAAAAGATAAAATCTGGCGATTTGTTGGGCACCGGAACTATTAGTGGACCTCTACCTCAAAATTTTGGATCAATGTTAGAATTGTCGTGGAATAGGACTAAACCAATACCATTAAAGGATGGACTGACTCGCATGTATCTCGAAGATGGCGATGAAGTCACTATATCTGGCTATTGTCAGGGATCGACATATAAAGTTGGATTTGGCAACTGTTCCGGACAATTACTTCCAGCTTTTAATCTCTAACTTTATGACAAATATTTATGTATTTTTTATAATGATTTAAAAAAATGAAACTTAAATAAAATTAAAAAATATAAATATTTGTTATACATAAAACATTTTTATTGATACTAAAATTAAGCATATTGTTAATACCACTGAATTGATGGTAATTTTATGGCTCATATTTAAGGAGAAATCGCAAAACTCTTCATTAGGTGTAACAGAAATATCTTTACCAAACAAACGATTCGGTGTCTTACAAGTGACTCCTTTTATAGCATAGGATCTGATCCAAGTGGCGAAATCGGTTTTACCGAAATCACACGTACAGTTAATATCTATTATATAAATTATATTTAATTAATTTTTGTCTACAATATTAAAAAACCTAAAAATACTGACAATTTAATGTTAATCTTTTGAGTCGTTTAAGACTTGATTCCAAATAAAAGGTTAGATCGTCGGGAACTGTCTTAATCTCATTGCCGTACAAATCAAGACTTTCCAAATGAGACAACACCTGAACAGCGATCGGAAAATTTCTTAATTTGTTTTCTCTTAACTCTAACTCTTTGAGTGAGTCTTCCAAATAAGTGAAGGCGTCTTTGCTTATGTAAGCGATTCCAATGTCATTGAGGGCCAGATTCTTGAGCTCATCCATCCCAAAGAAAAAGTCTTCGGGAATCTTATCAGTAAATATCACTTAAATTCAAATAACATTTATAAACTTAAAACACATACTTCAGTAAAGTTTTCTTGATATACACGAAATATCTTCAATACTTTGAGTAATTCATTGCTTTCACGAAATACTTGTAAATCAATGCCAGTGTTGTCGAGAATTAACTCGTGAACAGAGTGCAGACCTGGCGGCAGATCTCTGAGGTCCCTGAGGTCAGAGTCGCGAACTTGTAGTCCAAAGATTTGTTTTGACGACTTTGTCAAAGAGTCGATATCATTGAATAGCTTTTTAGCCGTTGTTTGCGAGCACTCGACTTTTAGACCAACTTTATTTTCATCCACATATTCTTTGCATTGACACTCGCCCTCCAAAGAAACAGGACATTTGGATGTAGCCATCAGTTGTCCCATTAATATAATTAATATTAATACAATTAATTCATTCATTAAATCATTTTTAAATATCATGTTTTTTTTTTGTTTTGCCAGTAAAATAATTAAGAAATAGATATACATGTGATAGACTATAGTTTATAAAAATTGTAATTGATTATTTATTGTATTTTTTTCATTGTCAATATCTCTACATATTAATCACATTTTATAATTTAGCGATTAACAGCTACTATAGCTTATTATTAATAAATTAAATAAATAATAATAAATGATTGATAATAGAGTAATATGTTAAGTGTCTATACTATAGACTCTATAGTATATAAATTTTATATTAATAATAGAATAATAAATGTATAAATTATTGTAGTTTTTATAATACACTAAATTATAAGTTTCTTAATTATTAATAAATTTTTATACATTCTGTATATATTGTAAAATGTTAATTAAAATGACAAATAATTTACACTGGTAAATTAGCAATGCTAATACGGTTTTAATAATTATAATATATAAATATAATATCCAGACAATTGTTTAATTTTGTAATTTTTTAAAAGTATAGTTTTATCTTATATACCAAATATATGTAATTTCAGTGATTTTAATTAATTAAATAATTCAGTATAATATATATATATATATATATATATATATATATATATATATATATATATAATGGTATTAAATTTATAAGTTATATAAATAATAGTTAATTTGTCATTTAAATAATTTAATAATATTTATTTAAATGTTATAATCAAATAATGGCAATTAAACTTTGAATAATACTATATTAATTAATATCAATGCAATCAATCAATCAATTAATCAATTTGTGATCCAATAATACATTGAATGCATTGAAAGTCATGTATTGTCGTAATTGATGTACATTTGAATCAATTGAAGTAATGATTGTTTTGCTGTGTTTTGTGAGCACTACTCAAGTGATGAGTGTTTGTATGACTTATCCGTTGATATGATATAAATAATGGTTAAAATCGATGGACAGTTGGCTCAGGGCGTCGGTAGGGTTGAGATGAAGTTAATAGAGCCGGTTCTGACCACTTTTCATGTGGCCAAAGTATTTCGGGAAAACACCGATAAAATCAATTCAATTGACTTCTCGTCCAACGGCGAGACACTGATCACCTCATCGGACGACGACTCGATTGTCATCTATGACTGCGAGAAAGGCACACAAAAGAGGTCACTCAACTCCAAGAAGTATGGCGTCGATCTCATCCATTACACACACGCCGCCAATACAGCCATTCACTCGTCCAACAAAGTGGATGACACAATCAGATACCTTTCATTACACGACAATAAATACATCCGATATTTTCCCGGACACACAAAAAAAGTGGTCACTTTATGTATGAGTCCCGTTGACGATACTTTTCTTAGTGGTTCTCTCGATAAAACAATCCGATTATGGGATCTGAGATCACCTAATTGTCAGGGATTGATGCATCTATTAGGCCGACCGGTTGCCAACTTTGATCCCGAAGGACTCATATTTGCTGTTGGAATCAATTCAGAATCGGTGAAGTTGTATGACCTGCGATCCTTCGATAAGGGACCCTTCAATACGTTCAAACTCCCGCAGGACAAGGACTGTGACTGGACTGGTCTCAAATTTTCACCCGACGGCAAGATTATTATGATTTACACCAATGGAAACATCATTCATACGATCGATGCCTTTCAAGGGACACCACTTCAGACACTTATGGGTCACGTTAACAACAAAGGCCTGCCATTGGAGGCATCTTTCTCACCCGATTCGCAGTTTATATTTAGCGGATCCACTGACGGTCGTATTCACTGTTGGAATGCTATTACGGGTAACAAAGTGGCTATTTTTCAGGCCGAACACCAGTCACCCGTACAGTGCGTTCAATTTAATCCGAAGTACATGATGTTAGCCTCTGCTTGTAGTACAATGTCCTTCTGGATACCGGCCACACCCGATGAATGAGACATTCAATCTTTCATTACATAACTTGATCATTGCATTCAATATTTATTGACCAAAATTATCAAAACTTTTTTATAAATTCAATAAATGACAAATATTTGACATCATTTGGATCTATAGTATTGATTGTATCAAACAATATGTTTAACATTGAATTATTTTAGACTTTTTTTCCATAGATTAAAGTTTTTTTTGACTCTTGAGTACAATCACTAAAATAATCATTTAAAACATTTCATATGTATTAACATTCAATTGTTATTTTATTCAATTTATTTTGTAAAGACATTAAATATTTGTTAAATATATTTACGGTATATCTTATCATAAAATTATCACTTATATAACAAGTTTTCTTTATAATAATTGTATAAAATTTTGCAAAATTAACAATTCAATTGAATACAGTATTTATTGTCTTCAGTTATAATTTATGTTTTGTTAAAATGTTTTATTTTAAAGAGTGTAAGAAAATCTTAGTTTAGAGAATCAAAAGAATTAAAACAATTAATTTTCTAAATCAATGAAATACCAATTTTTGGATAAATTATCTGTAGATAAACAATCAAAGTCATCAATTTGTTGCCAATTATTAGTATTTATATCCAAATTTGCTCGTTTGAAGTCTTCTTCAATGCCATCATAGGTCCAATCGTAAGGTGCAAAACCAATTCGTATCGATTCCTCAATAATGGCCCGACTCGTGACGTGTAAATAGATTTTGCAATCACTGGATGTGTGAAGTCTTAGTTGTTGAGCGGCTATATTAAAGACGCAGTTCTTGCAATTGGATATAAAAATAGATGTCGTTATTGGACCACAAAATACATTACAATTCGTCAAATTATTTATCTTTAAAGTGTTTGGTAAACCAATTATCTCAATACGACAATTAGTGATTCCATCCAAATGTATATCTTTTAGATTACACTCTTCGCCAGTCATTCGCAAAGGTTCTTCACAGTCGCTCTTATTTTTGAAACCAATAAATTCAAACATTTCATGTATTGCTGTCTTTGCAGAATCTATTTCATCACAAGTCTCGACCTTAGGTTTAGGTAAATCTTTAACCGTTGAAGTCTTAAATGAGGACTTAAATGAAAATTTTGATTTCGGTACTAATAAATCATTTTGAGTATCAATTTTGTTTCGCAAAGAACTAAGTACTGTTTGACACAACTTTTGATTATATTTAGCCAAATAAAGGACCGATTCATTGATATATTGACTGAGTCTATCGTAATCACTATTTAACTCTTTGAAAGCATTGTTGATATCACTTTTAGTCATATTTGAGTCTAATTGATCCACTTTTAACTCAATCTTATCTCTTAAATCATTAATTTGTTGCAATCTATAATCACTATCTTCTGAGACAATCTTATTCGACTCTTTTTCACGTCTTTTAGATTCATAAGTAGATTGTCTGATATCTTGTCGTTTAATTAAATTTTCATTCATTTTGTCAATTAATTGAATATATGATAATATATCGTATATGATATACAAATCCTATAATTATAACTAAAAATTTGAAAACTATTTGACAATCAAATGAATCACTTCTTATCGGGAATCGGGACATTCCAGGCCTTATAATCAAGTTTTCGGTAGTAGTCGTGTCCGACCAAATCCATTACATTGTAAAAGGCTGTCAAACAAAACAAATCATAACTTATTTCAAATGACAAAACATTTAAATCTGAAGAAAACCTACTCTCAAGAATAATGCCGTGATTTTCATAGAAGTTATGTCTATAATCTGTTTCAATTGAAAAGACATTATTTTAGACAACAATTAAATTATAATCAAATTATATGACAGATGTGGTCATCACTACAGACTTTGGTCGCGACACAGTTTGCGGAAGAAATAAAACGATCCGAAGAAGAGAATGGCCTCAACATAGAGTACACCTTTGAATACTTGAGACCACTTGAATGACTCGGTCTTCGGATATCTTTTCAACATTTATCGGTAGCAACAAAATCACCGCCAATTTGGTCACCAATTGGTTATTATTTAGTGATCGCAACACTCATTACAAACATATAATACAAAGCCGTCAACACCTCTAATAATATGACAACAACGACAACACCTCTAACTAAAAGCACATGTTTTTCAATGCATTGAGTGTTGTATTGAATGAATTGAATGAATGTTTGCAAAGAATAGTCTTTTCAATCAATTGTCTATTGATTTGAATTAACAATACTTTTGATTAAATAATGTTTTCTTTAACCAAATCCGTGGCTAAGCTTAAGGCTCTCACAAACTCTTCAAATGATATCAATCTCAACATTAAGAAGAAGAAGAAGAAAACCTCTAAACACAAGAAACTGATGACAGATAATGACGTGAATGTTGACGGCAAACACGTATGTCTTTTGGATCAATGATTTGATGATATAATTATTAATAATAATAATACCATTCATTTGATTTTGTTTATCACAGAAAAGACACGACACAAGAGGTGTTATTAGGATATCTAACATACCCTTTGGTTTCTTCGAGAAAGAAATGTTTGAATATTTCTCTCAATTCGGAACTGTCTTACGATTAAGGATTTCACGAAATCCCAAAGTATTAATTGATTTTGTGTCACAATTATTATTATTATTATTATTATTATTATTATTATTATTATTATTATTACAACTCTTATTATTTGTCTTCATATCAATAGACAGGAAATCGAAGAAATTATGCATTCGTTGAGTTTGAGTTCGAAGAAGTGGCTAATATAGTGGCAGAAACTATGAATAATTATCTTATGTTTAACCATATAATCAAATGTAAGTATTAATACATTTATGACAAAAATTATTAGTTTTTAAGTTTCCTTTTGTTTTGTTTTGTCATATTTTATTGCTTTTTATTCTTACCTAACATTAAATAAACTTAAAGACAAAAATGTGAATTTGTTGACAACTATAGGACGTAATCTTATAATAATTTTTGAAGTATTTTTCATATATTAAAATCAAAATTATTTACTTTTAGGTCAATATATTCCGGACTTTAAAGTTAAGAAAATGCCGCTTATCTTCAAAAACTGGAATAAGTTGTCGATTACTTCTACAGAAAGTCATAAATTGAAACATAACAGAAGTAAAGATATCGACCGAGAGATCAAACTGACCAGAAAACGACTGACGAAAGTAAGAGCAATGGAAAGTCAACTCAAAAAACATGGCATTGACTTTAAGTGTGAAATCGTTAATACACTGAGTTTTTCAACGATTAGACGAGAAGCCAAAGCATTGGCTGTGAATGATATGACAAACAATGAATTAAAAAGACAAAAGAGTAAGAAAACAATTGTTAGAAAAACACATCAGAAGATCAATAAGGAAGAGATCGTCAAACGTATCAAAGAGTCGATCGTTGATTTGAATAAACAATTTAGTGACAAACGTAAAGCCCGAAAGAGACTACTGTTTCCCAATTTATATAAGTTTTCTTTAATATTATCGGCAAATAAGAAACGATTAAAATAATGGTTTTATTTTTTATACGAAATATGTATTACAATTTTAATTATATGTGTGAAAATAAAACAAATTGAATATTTATTATACATTTATTTAATGGCACAAAAAATTGATAAAATCTTTCGAATCTATTTTTTAAAAAGTGATAAAATGTAAGTTTACTTTATATTGTGACATAAAAAGTTGTAATGAATTTTTGTTATTATTTTATATAAATAAGTTTTGGTGAAACTAAATATAATATTTAGATATACAATACAGGTTGTAGTACTTACCACTGATTTAATTACATTTATTATGTGTCTAATCTAATGATTTAGTAGTCAATTAAATTGAAAGATTGATTCAATTCATTATATTTTTTCCAACTTTTTAGTAAAAACTAAGAAATTCAAAGAAAAAACTTTTTAGACTTAAGATGTTTATCGGATTAAGTGTTGTGTTTTATGAGCCAATTATCGATCTGTTGGTAATGGCTTTGCATCCAATGCACGTTAGCTTTGGTCTGTTCAATGGCCTGAAGGAATGATCTCTGAGCTGTTCCCACATTGTCTTTAACACTGTTATAAAATTCTTGGAGCTAAACAATGCAATCAAAATATAAAGTTTTAATCATTAAATTTATAGATTGCTTTAACATTGATTGCAAACCTGTTTTAAATCAAAATCCGTGTTTAACGAAGAGGTCACAGATTTGACTAAACTTCCGAACGAGAAAAATGATTTTCCAAAGCTATTGATTTTAATTAAAAATACAGTTTATTTAACAATTAGAAAATTATATCTATAATGCAATAATTTTAAGCTATAATGAATTACTATTTGACGATATGATGCCATTGATCGCGCAAATAATTATAAGCAATATCTCGACCGTAATTACTTGTGGCCACCGATCGGAAGACATAACTCGCGTCTTGTTTTCGTATACCACTGGAACCGTTGAATGCACGCCACATAAATCGCGACAAAAGCCATGGTTCACGACTGCAGGCCAAAGACCGCAACAGTTTGTCTTTTTCTGAGGCAACAGAAACGTTAAGAAACTGATTCCATAAGAAATTCCAATCTTCTTCGGAACCGTTTTCAATAGCAGTACAATAAACAATACTTCTTAGATTGGGATGAATCCTATAATTTATATCATATAGTGTTTAATGTATTTAAAGTTAGAAAATCTTACGGATTCTTGAATTGCTTATTCTCGACATATTCTCGCCATTGATTGAATAATTGCATTGATTGTTGAGTACAATGAGGATAACCATATTTACAGGACCAACCGATTACACTAATTTGCAGATATTTTTCTAATATATTCTCTGAGTCCTCGGTTACAGTCCAAGTAATTTCTTTATATAAATTTGATATTATCTTCAAAATATAAGCCTAAAAATAATAAAATAATATTTCTTTAATGATATTAGCTATTATGACACTTATATTACTATAATCACTACACGTTTTTATACTATAATAAATTTTATGATTTAGCTTAAAATTCTTTATGGAAGTAACTCTTATTTATGTGATTTAGTATAATAAAGTTAATTTAATTATTAGATGAAAATAATATAATTTTTTGAAATCAAAGAAAGTGTTATAAAATTAAATCAATTCTTTTGAAATAATATTTGAAATGCAAGTGTTGTTTACACGTTGTATTCATATTAAATTATTAATCAATTTGTAAAGAAATGATTTATTATAGTATAAGACATAAAAATATATAAAAAATGTGGTAATAAAAGCCATACTTTCCAGAGACCATAGGCAGCACTCCTCCTAAGCATACGATCCATGAAAGAAAAGGCATTGAGAGCCGACTCCCAGGCAATGAATTCCTTTTCATTAACCAAATATTGGGTTATATTGAGTCCAATGTGATAATCAAGAAGATGAGCTCTGGACAGGTCCAGTGCATCGTCTATTAGTTGAGCTCTGTTTATGACATGTATTTTATTGTGATCTGACATCAATTGTTTGGTTATGAGTTCCCAATTGGTTTTGTCATAATTTACTCGATAATAGCCAACCTCTTGGAGATTAGCTATAATCCATTCGTCATTTTTAGGAATATCTTCATCTTTAATAGCAAACACTTTTGAATGTTTTGCTATAAAACAACAATTCATATAATAAATTATTTATAAAATTATAAACTATTACACTAACAAACAATTATAATTAAATTACCACTGCTCCGAGTCATCCATAGTTTAGTAATTGGATCCCAATTGGCATTCCGTTGGTTTGTGTAAGTAATTGGTATTTCCCACCAGTATTTCGATGGATCAATACTACCGTTATTTTGGTTGTTATTGACATCGAGTAGAAATCGCTTCTGTGTTAACCACGCCTTCCTATTGTCGTAATCTCGGGTCAATGTGACCACTGGATAGCCGTCTTGCAGTGTCCACGAGTCCATCACTTTCTTAACATTAAGACTATTATTAACAGCTAATGTCAAATAGTTCCAGAGGTCGTCCTGAACAGCATTATCATAACGCCATGCATTCAAATAATTCTTAATAATTTCCAAAATTATAACAAAATATTAGAAAATAAATTTTAAAATAAAAACTCAAAAATATTAATTAAACTGTAATAAAAAATTTCAATTATAATCAATATTTATAATTAAAACTCACAGAAACTCCTTTCCTAAAAGTATCCCGATTTAGAAAGTAAGCCATCATTCGGATAATGGATGCGCCCTATAGTGTAGAGTATGTGATAATAATTGACTAAACTTTTAATTAAATAAATTTTTATTATTTTACAACAAAACCTTTCCATAAGAAATCCTATCAAATATTTCATTTATCTCATCCGGATTATGAACCGGAACTGATATCGGGTGTGATGTTGTCAGACAATCCAATTCAAACACATCCTGAATCTCATCGACAACAAACTGCTGAAACTATTATAAAACAATTATATTTTATTTGTTTTTAAAACAAAATTTGTCATTACTATACAATTTTTACTTTAATTAATGGCTTGTATTGTTAATTATGCAAATATTTATATTTTTACTTTTCAGTCAAATACAAATTTCAAAATATATTTTTAATAATAATAATATCATTAATTAAAACAATATATTAACTTAATATATCAAATTAAATGATATTAAGTGTAATGTATTATATCATAAAAATTATATATATATATATATATATATATATAATAATTAGTCCTTTAGGATTTTATAATATATTAAATATATAAATTGGCAAAAGATTTTTTTTAATTACATAATTTCTAAAATGTTTCTTAAATAATTTTATATTTATGTAATCATTTTGATTTTTTCTATACTTTTTTAAAAAATATATCATGTTTTTTAAAATTGACAAATTCAATATGACTTGTCATATATTTTTTAATTTGTTGTCATTATCTATAAAATAATAAAATTATGAATAAAATATTTTACTAAAAATAATATAAAATATTGGTATTATATACATTAGTAGTGTAGTGATAGAAATTTATATAATGTATTAATAATACCGGTATTATAATAATAATTTATATGGTATTCTAATCTTATAGTATATTAATAAAGTAAAATTTTTTATAGACATTTATTACTAATATATAGAAATTTTTATGAAAATTTCATTAATTAACTGTGAAATATAACTATAAATTAAATTGTATTTAATTAGTATTTGATTTCTAATGAAATATTATTTTAAAACTTAATCAATTGTCAAAATCTATTTTCTATATTAATGTTTAGTATCAACATTTTCATTATATAATTTATAATTTGCTAATAAAATTTTTAATCTTTAAAGTATTTTTGTTTTTCATACGAATAACGATAATATCAATACATAATATCAATAATATTTTAATATAAATATATTTATTTAAATGTAAATAATTTTAATTATATAATTATAAAAATCTAAATACAAATATTTACAATTATTGTTGTATAAGTGTAGAAAATTTCTATCACTAATTTGCAATAAATCAACATTAGGTTTAAATGTAATAATTACTGGTATTTAAGCATTTGGTTCAGTGATTTATTGCTACATTTACTAAAAATAATTAATGAAATCATTAAATATAAACAATGAAACTATTGTTTTAGACACTTTTAAATATTATTCATTAATTTAAGAAATAAATTGTTTTATAAAATATTTATTAAAAAACAATTAATAAAATGCAAACCATTTGCCATTTGGGATAAACAGCATCCACGCCCTCGTACTCCATAAAAGAGGCAAACCCTTCATTTAACCTAAATTTTATATTTTTAAGTCTATTATCTAATAATTTTACAAAATTTTTAAATAATGTGCAGACCATAGATCGTCCCACCACTTGGGAGTCACTAAATTGCCAAACCATTGATGAGCCAATTCGTGTGCTTTGTATTTTAAATTATCAGAAAATTATTTGATTGAATTTAATTATTTTAAAATATTTATTATTATTAGTATTATTTGGTAAATTTTACCGACAACTGTGGCCACTCGTTGAAGATTATGTGATGAAGAAACAGTTTCATCATAAAGCATAGCTGTCTCTCGGTATATAATTAATCCCCAGTTTTCCATTGCACCGGCATTTAGATCGGGAACCGCTACCATATCTGGCATATATAATTAACATCAAACTAAGCAAACATTTTAGTTTTATAATATTTTACCCATTTTTGGCAATGGATACGATATATTAAAGTAGTCTTCATAATATTTGAGTAGTTTTGGTCCCACTTTTAATGAATAATTTGCTGTTTCAATGGCATTGACCCGCGACCACACTCGGAACTGTAACTCATATTTAATATTAAATCATTTATAATTTGCTAATCATTAAAATCACTAAATATAGCATACATTTCCATTTTCATGAGATATTGATTGAAAATCGCTGACTAAAAATGCCAATAAATAAGTTGACATTTTGACCGTTGCTGCAAATGTGTCGGCAACCCATTCCCCTCTAATGTCAATTATATATTCATATATATTCATATTTATTAATATTTTCTATTTAAACAGTTACTATTTTTACAGTTAATATACTCTATAGCTAGTAAAATAATATTAGTTACTTTAGATACTAAAAAATAAATTAATTAATCATTAACTTATAAAGTAAGAAACTAATAGCATTGCAAAGTTTCAAACTTAATAAGTTGATTAACCAATGAGTTTGAAACATAAGCTTAGATAAGCTAATAATAAAGTAAAGCAATTTGTATAAAAAGATTAATACCTTATTTCAGTGTTAACTTTAGGCATATTGGATATCGATATATAATTATGTAAATGTATTAATGTTATGGCAAACGTTGCTTTCATGGATGGCTCGTCAAAGCACGGGAAGGCTCGTCGGGCGTCCGTCGGCTGGAACTGAGTGACCGCAAGCCATCTGATGGTCAGTCAGTCAGTCATTCATATTAATTATATTATATTTATAATGTATATTCTATAGTATATAATTAAAATTCTATATAGTTTATAAAATAAACTATTAATTACTTTAATTATATAACAATTATATGTTTGTAAATATAAGTTGTAAACAAATTTATTTTCAATGTACTAAATTTAATGATTATATTGATATAACTACTATAATTTTAGTAATTAATTATATTTATTTGTTAATATAATTTTTATATGTATATACAGTATTAATTATTACAAATAATTAATCATTTAACTTATTAACTATTCAGAAATATTTTCAAACGACTTTTTTAGATTAACTAAATTTTTGTCAAATTCTGTTATAATTATATTAATACAATATACAGTATTAAAATATATAATATTTTAAACTACAGTAGTAAGCATATACCGTATAATAAGTGTATAAATTTTATACTATAAAAATAAAATTTAAAGGTATTTTTATTTACTTAAAAAATAACTTAGTGTATAAATTATGAGAAAATTATATATTTCAACTTGTTTTAAAAATATTGAAAAATTTATAAAAATAACGTAATATACTGTATATTTTATGCAAATTGTTTTCTAAATTTATTATCAAGTTATTTATATCGATAATTATATATATCACGTTAACATAAAGTCAAACTAAATTGTTTTTAGCATTTATTTTATACTTTAAATCTAAAATAAGATATTTGTTTGCGATTTCATAATAAATTATTTAGTAAATAATTTTGTTGTCATTAGTTTTTAGACATAAGATATTCTTTTAAACAAATTAGTTATTAAGTTAATAGGTTTACATACTTTAGAGATTAGGATAAATTAAATTCAAAAGTAAATCTATTTCTATTTTTTAGGAAAAAACTATATTTTATGGATTTTGGAAAATCAAAAAAAATCTGGTCGTCTTATGTGGACAACACCTAATCAAATAAGAAATACACTAAATTAACAATAAATTTTAAATATATAAAATTATTTACAGTAAATTTAATTAAATTTTAATACAATACTAACTTGAATTTTCAATTCATTGTAATTGAATTGTACATTTAAATTAGTTTAACATTAGTTAATCTATAAATTAAAAACTAAAAATACTAATACAATATATTAATATAAACTATAATAAAATATCAATATTGTTAAAATGTTAGATTAAAAGCGTGGGTGTGATTTCAAATTTACAGGTATTAATTAACAATTGTTAGTAAGGTTTCATTGACATTGTTTTAGCTGTATTTAATTTTTCTAAAAATATTTTTTTTGTTAAGTGATTTTTTAGATAAGTATTTATTTTGTTAATTATAATATTTCATTTGAAATGAATTTCATTAAATGCGGTCAAACATTATAATAGTTGGGCGCCTAAAGAGACGCCAGTGGGGTAATCGATATAAATATTAATTTATATATAAGTTTCTGACTAAAACCATAAAAATAAAATAATCCGACACTTTTATAGTTAAATGATTGTTTAATGATTGATTTTTGTTTAATGATATCCAAACTATCAATTAGCATATGATATACTGTATAATGATAGTGGTATAAATAAATAAATATTTATCCTTAACATTTAAAGTTAATAATATGCTTAAAATTTGTTACTTTTATAAAAAAAATTACATAAAATATTGTCACAAAGACATAGGTAATAGAAATTATTATTTATTGAGTTTACGTGTTTTAACAATTTAAATGTTATAATTGAACTAATTTAGTGAAGTTGAAAGTACGGTAAATTGATAAAACAAATAAATAATTATAAATAAAATTGGTGTTAATAATTTTGAACTTTTAAAGTGACAATATTTTTTCTTAATAAATGTAAATTTATCAATAAAACAAAATTACAAATTATTAAATATCAACCAAAATAAAACTTCAATAATGCTTAAGAAACCCGTACTTAAATATTTTATAAATTTAAAAATACTTAATTATGATGATTAAAATGATATGTTATACCGGTATTTTTTAAATGATAGTTTTCTTAAAATATCCACTTTTTGTTTACTTTAAAAGCATAAAAATAAAGCTTTGGTTTGTAGTTTATTTTATATAAAATTTATGTATGTATGTGTATGCATGTGTATGTAATACATACATACATAATACATACATACTATGTATGTGTGTGTATGTTAGAAAATTTCCTGTTTACTACAAAATATGTAATTGTTTGTCATTATTAAAGTTTTACAAATATATTTAAGTACAGTATAATTATTATGCATAACATGTTATTAAAAATTAAAGAAAATAAATAGACTAAATAAAGATAGTATTAAAGGTTAGTAATTTATATAATTTAATTATAAGTTTAATAATGAAATCAATAAAATATTGTTACTATTTGTTAGCCTAATGACCCTTTAAAAGCCTTAAGCTATTAAACTATCCCTCAATTTAATGCAATATTAAACAACGTGTAACAAAGATTCATGCAATAATATTAATATAATAATAATAATAGCACACCTTTATACAGTATTAAAATCACATATTATTTGATTGAAAATATATCTTTATTACCAATAATAATATCACGATTTTGAAAATATTTTTGATTCACTATATCAATATTAAATAGTAATTTGAAAAACCGTTAAACTTTACTAAATATGCTCATCTTTAACTACTTTATAAATTATAAATATAAATCATATACATTATTATTTGATATTACATTACCATTAAATATAAATACCAATTTGATAACAAATTTAAATAATCACTTTATTTTTCTAATAGATGTATCTTCTCATAAAATAGTATAAATATGTTTGTTAAATAAAAAAGTTATAGTAATTGCATAAAAATTGTACAGTTTAAAGTGTATAATTTATTAAAAATATTTTAATATTAATTTTAAAGTTAAATAAAAAATGATAGGACATAACCTTTTATTGCCAGCGCTGTCCTTATAGGAACTCCTATAGAAACCGGATAAGTCATCGTTAAGATTGCCTTTGAATTTGATTTGCAAAATGTATTGCTTTCCATGTTTTAGATATGTATTCAAATGTATTATAAAAAATTGTCGTTTAGTTTCGTGACTGAAGTGTGAGATATATGGCAATTGCTGTTTGCGGTCATCCAACAGATACACCGACTCGTTGTAGATGACAATGTCATTGATGTGAACAGTAATGTTATCAGTGCTTTGTCTACACTCTAACCAAATTGTCACCTAAACAGACAATTTATAACTTATTTATAATTACAAATAAAGATAAATTTTAAGTTAAAATAACTAGAATTTACTATTTAAAAAAAATTAAAAACATATAACTGAATACAAACATTGCCATCAAAGTAGAAATCTTGTGGTCCAATATATGTCTGGAGCTGAACCTCATAATGTGTGGGAACAATACTTTTGGGTAATCGGACTGATTGACGATTAGTTGATGCATAAAGTGATGCAACTTTTGTTTGATCGGTTATACAATCACGAGATAGTGAAGATAAACATCTATTGTCAGCATTTGTCTGATTGTTCATACATTTAGACAAAAGTGATGTACTATTATCACAGACACAACTCTGAAAAGGATTAAAAAGTCCCACAAACACAGCAATGCCTGCAATACAAGTGATGGCTATGAAGAGTAAGATAAATATAACCCAAGTTTTAATAAAAAATCCCTTATTTGTTGAGTTCATGTGTTGATTGTCGTGTCCTATGGGGTAAGCATTGCGATGATTATGTTCAGTGACAGTGACATCCATATCAAACTTATTGGTGACACTCATAATATACTTTTGGTTGTGTTTGGCATATCGTGGGCACCAGTATTTCAAGTGCCAAACAGTTCAAACTAACAAACACTATGAGGAGAGTCTGACTGTATATACCAGATCTCGAGTCGATCGATAAACGGCTTAACACAACATAAGATGTGATATCAATTCCGCCTAAACTTCTAATGAATTACTCTCTTATTTAGTGGTTTTTGGCTTAAGTTTAGGTGAGGCTTATGTGGTGTTAGAAATTATAGTCAATTCTTGATGATTACCGACCAAAGCATTGGTATTAAATGGTGAGGTCTGAGAGCACACGACTCTCACTAACAATTCGTGTCATTCATTTGGTAACTCTTCTAATAAATTGAAGTCTTAGTCTTCATCCAAACATACAACCATTAAAACTAACGACTCAACAGTTAGTTGTCATCAATTTATAAGCTTATGGCCAACACTTGCACTGGTATTCAAATCAACTCTATTTCTTAACAAGTTTTTTGCATTAGTAGTCACTCAACTCAAGCGTCACTCCTATCATATCTCTGAACAACTGAATAGATATTTGAATTAACATTTACTATCTGTTTAAATAGTAAGCAAGTGTTCAAAATTAACAATTATTATATTTAATATAATAATTATATAGATTTTTATTGACTCAATACAACAAAACTACAAAATACTGTATCAATTGTTATATATTTATAACTCACTTCTTATTATTTTATATAAAACACATTTATTTATTTTTTAATTTCTTAATATATATTATATAAATGTTTTTCTTCAATAACAAACTTTATTAGTATAATAATATTTATTATAACCATTTTATACCCTTTATGTTGCTTTTCAATACAAGGCATATGACTTAATATTTTAGATCAATAAATAAATATAATGTTTAATAAATTATTTTAAGTGAATTTATTACAGTAACTATCATTTGACTGCATTTAAGTAATGTCCATGAAATCCAACACAATTATCATACTGTATATAATACTACTGTATATACAGTACTCTAACTTATATAACATATACTGGATCATTGTGCTCATACAGTTGTCTATATAGTACTGTATTTATTGCTAGTATTTAATTTACATTTTTGCTTAATAATATTCTTTAATTTCTCATATAATAACCAATTTTATTATTTTAAATTAAATTTTTAATTGAATACTTAGATTAAATGTTGAGATAAAATATTTGATGAATGATCTTGGTCGTCATTTGAAAAAAAATTAAAACAGTAAAAAAAGGTTTACTAAACATAATAAAAAATATGAAAACAAAACTATTCATTTGGAAAAATATGCTAAAAATATTCAATAAGGAAAAAAACAAAAATCTTTTTCACTCAAACATTATTTAAATGAAATGTCGTTTAATAATAAAAATAATAACAAATCCGAACTGAATTTAATTTTTATGTCATATTTTATTATTTAAACAAATGGTTTTTTGTTTAACTACAAAACACGACAAAACACACTAAAAATCTTTATTCAATTTGTTTAAAATTGTTTATTCAGTCGTTAATTATTTTGTCATTTTTTGATATTGTTGTAATGGTTTTTAAATTATAAAGTATTTTATATGTGAGATAACTTACTTATGTGTAATAATTTAAATTAATAAAGTAATAGGTTTTTGCTAAATAATGCTACATATATTTAATTAAAATATACATTTAGTTAAAAATATAATCTAAATTTTAAACAATTATTATACATAAATGATAAATTTATTTTAATATTTACTCAAAATTTCAAATATCTAATTAACTTAAAAAATTAACTAAAAATTTGTCTAATATATAGTATTATACTGTAGATACATTTTAAAAATTTTATATACTATTATTAGTAAATAAGTATAAATATTAAATTATTCAAATTAAAACCATTGAAATTTGTTTTATTATTAAGAAAATATAAAATTGTAACAAATTATTGATGTCTTTATATAAGATACACTAACTTTAAGCTCATTTATATTAATAACTGAACATTAAATCTAACAACAAATTCCAATTAATTAAACATATTTTATTAGTTAATGAAAATTAATAGACTTATATACTTTACTTTACTGTACTTATATATCAATGCACCAAATCATTAATAATTGATGTTATAAGTTATTATACAATATTAAATAGACATTGTATTGTATGTGTATATTAATAGCATTATTCGCATTACATTTAGATATAAAGCAATATTACTGAACAAAACTACTGTATAATGTATTGTATATCTATTGTATTGATACAGTATATTGAATGATATATTGCATTTATATTACATAATCAGATCCTTATTAAATAATTTTATTTTTTCAATAATTAACATAACAATTAATTTCCCAATAAGTTCCCAATAAGTTTAAGCATTCAAGCATTTATCAGAAAAATATTACTATTATTTTAGTAAATTAAAGCTACAGTATATTTGAAACAAATGTTTAAAATATCTAAATTAATGAAAATAAACTTAAAGTTGCAATAAATTGAAGCAATTATTCAAAGTGTGCGCCAAATGTGTGACATATACTGTATTATAGTATTGTATTGAATGGCAAATACAGTGATGTGTTTGTCATAAGTCGTGTCACACAAGCATTGAGTTTACGTTTGACTGCAATACACACCACAAGACATCATCAGATCATTCATAACGAGATCACTCATCACATCCCAAAAGACAATCATTTGTTTTTCTTTAATAAATACAATTTTTAGTACAAATTTGTGACCAAATTTTGGTCAAATAACACAAGAAAATGTTTATGGAATCGTTAGGTTTCGGCGATTTGGCCAAAATGAGCAAAAGACAGGTCTGTTACCGATGTTATAGATATGACAAATGTTGTATTAAATGACATTATCTTATGTGATGTCCAGTTATTATATCAAGTGCTCAACTTTGGAATGATTGTGTCTTCAGCACTGATGATATGGAAAGGTCTTATGGTTGTCACCGGCAGTGAGTCGCCGATTGTTGTTGTCCTCAGGTATGTCTACTAATGAAATGACAACAATTGTTTAGATTGATATGAAATTGTATATCTTATAGTGGAAGTATGGAACCTGCTTTCCATCGGGGAGACTTACTATTTCTGACCAATTATAGAGAAGATCCCATCAGAGTCGGCGATATTGTTGTTTTCAAAGTCGAGGGCCGAGACATTCCTATTGTTCACAGAGTTCTTAAGCTTCACGAAAAGTATATTTTTAAGCTAAACATTTCATTTGTTAAAATGTTTTTTTAAAAAATTTATAGAGAAGACGGTTCGGTAAAGATATTGACAAAAGGAGACAACAATTCAGTTGATGACAGAGGACTGTACGCTCCGGGACAGCTGTGGCTACAGAAAAAAGATATTGTCGGTCGAGCCCGAGGGTAGAGACCATACATTTGATTTTGTTTATCAATATATTAACTATTTTTCTATCAAAAGGTTTGTTCCCTATGTTGGCATTGTTACCATTCTTATGAATGATTATCCAAAGTTTAAGGTATATTAGCAAAAAAATACTGAAACTCATAACTGATTGATTACTTGACATTAATTAATATATTATTTATTGTTAAGTACGCTGTCTTGGGATGTCTTGGATTATTTGTTTTAGTTCACAGAGAGTGATAGTCACCAAAATGGTCAGTCCTTCCAAAGATTGTCTGCCGAAAAAAATGATTGATTATATAATTGTTTAATACGTATACATTATATATTATATAATAAGTGTACAATATTTACACATAATATATAAGCATTTTTTCATACAATACTTAATACGATGAGATTTATTGAAATTTCTTAAAAAGCAAATCTGATTTATTTGACATTTATTTAAGAGATGTATTTATTTCATAACAATTTGGATAAGTTTTGTGACATATTTTAAAACATATTTATTTTAATTTGATTATAAAAAAGATATTGTTTTCTAAATGTTTTATTATTATTTATAAGACATTAATTTAAATCATTAATGATTTGTTATAATTATTATTTTGAAATTATAATTAAATATTTGATTTTAAATTTGTATTTCATTTGAATGAAATCGTGAAGAAAGTTATGCCATCTGTGGTGTAAAGTATTTGTAAAGACGTATACAATGTTTTGATACAAAAAAACAAAACAACTGATCATTAGATGGATTGACGGATAATGTGTTTTGTGTCTTGTATTTGATGAGTCAATTGATCCCAAAGTGTAACAAACAGTGCATTGATTGCAATAGTCACCGGACAAGAGGTGATCGCAAATATGAATCCCATATACGGCTCAAACTACTCGTCGACATCAGCGACGTCTACAACGACCTCCAACGTCGAGATGCCATTGAGTTCGGGTCAGAATACGGACTGCTCGCTGACCACCGATGACGAGGATAGCGACCAGAAATCGTCCATCAGTTATAAAGAGCGCAGACGTGAAGCTCATACTCAGGCGGAACAGAAACGAAGAGATGCCATCAAAAGAGGTTATGAAGATTTACAACATCTGGTGCCCACTTGTGCTCAACACGACTCCACCACAAGTTATAAGCTCTCGAAGGCCACAATTCTTCAGAGGTCTATTGACTACATTCAGAAGATGTCCGATGATATGCGCAAAGAGGAGAAGGAGTTGAATCGTTTGCGTAAAGAAGTGGTCGGATTACAGATCATGAAAGGCAACTATGAAAAGATGGTTAAACAACACCAACAGTCACAACCAGGTCTACAGACCAACCAAATTACTGACGAGAAAAAGTTTGCTATTTTTGTGTCCATTTTTGATCAATTGTTCGAGTCTTTCGATAAATCTGTTGAAATCAATAATTTCGATAAATTGAGTGATTGTACCATTCATTGGATTGAAGAGAATTGTAAGCCACAGACACTGCAAGAGATGGTCGTCCATATCATGAGACAAAAATTGTTAGACAAGTGAACTGACATTTGGCCAACACTTGAATCGATATACCATTTGACCGCACATTTTGTTTTGTCCGACCATTTGTTTGGATGGACTGTCAATCAATTACTTCATTTAAATACCAATTCTTTAAATGTGTTCACAACTATTCAATGCATTATTTTCTAAATATAAAACCTATAAAAATATTTGTCTGAAAATTGAATTCAAATATTTCTTAAATGACTTCACATTATTCTAATTCTATAAAAAACAGTTATATTTTGAGAATAATTGTCACAAATATTAACAATTTATTTGATTTAGATTTGTGTGTATTTATTATTATTATTTTATTAGTTGACTAAATTAAAATATCAGCAGTTATTCATTATACAGTATATTATATTTGAGTGCAATTTTAAACATAAAAATATAATTTTTAATACATATTTAAATGCAATAATTATAAGTAATTAATAATTTTTAATTTTATTTTAGATAAATTATACATAATATACCAAGTTTTTGAGCAAATTAAATGTTTTTTATAATGATAAAAATGAATTACCGGTACTATATTTACTCATAATATTTAATTTATTTGAAGTGCTTTTAAGTAATTTACTATAAATTATATTATTTTAATACATTTGATATAAATATATTGCATAATCAGTTTAAAACAGGATATTGATGAAGATTACAATTATTTGTTTTTTATTTCATATATAGTATTATATAATAATTTTATTCAAACAATATTAAATCGATTATGAAGTTAGTTGTTAATTCATTACGCATAATATATGCATTGTTTATAATATTTTTAAGATTTTTGTTAAAACATTTGTTATAAGTAAATTGAATATATTATATTAATACATAGTTATTATTTTGTTTCAATTTTAGCCATTAAAAATCAGATTTAAGTAATAAAATATCTTTAATATTTAATTAATTTGTATTTTATTTATTATAATATTAAAATATCATAATATGTTACAAATTTTTTGAAAAAATACTGTAATGTTTATCTTCAAATTCTTGAACAACAAAATAGCACTAAAATTGAGAATTTATTAAATTAACCAAACTTTTAGTGTATTTTTCATTTAATATATTGTATGTATGTATCAATAGTATAAAAAGTATATATTTATGAATATCTTTATTGACTCATTTAGTCAACAAAATTATACACTACTAACAAAAATATTTGAATTAATGATAGAAAAATTATTGATTGAATATTCTTATATTTATATTATTTATTAAAAATATATATAAATATACAGTATATATATAATTGTTTATCATTAATGAATTACTTGGTATAGTAAAGTACATCCCAATTGCACTAAACTTACAATAAATTGATTCAATTGAAACGCAAACTTGAAATCATTTGTATTATAAAAGTTAATAATCTTTGCAATTGTCTCCATAGAAGTTGTCCTTCAGTTGAAAACAATATAAGTCGTGTTTTAGTCTTAAATAAAAAGAAATCAATTTTAATATATTTTTATTGATAATAAAATGAGTAATTATAACAAATTGATAAAACAGTTTTCCTATAAAATTAAAATTAATTATAAAACTAAAAACATTTAATAAATATTTTGTATAAATAATATAAGATATGAAGTGTTTTTTAATATTTTTATGTTATACTTTTAACATTGCTTTTTCTCAAATTTATAATGTAAGTAATGATATTTTTTTGTGAATTTTATTTATATTTTTTAAATTTTACAACACTTATCTTAAAATGGTAAATATATTAGCAATACAATTTTAAAAACTTATTATATAATACTGTATTTATATTTATATACTGTAGTGTATCAATACATTGATAAATAAAATAAGCATTATCATTTAGATTATATACAGTACAGTATCATAACAACCGGTTGAAAATGTTGTCTAGTGTTGCCAAACCAACATCTGAACGTCATTTTAAATATTGTTTAAATTATTTTAATCCTAAAATATCAATCTATACTAAATTTTGTTGACCATTTTGTCCAGGGTCATTAAAATAAGAGAGAGAGAGAGAGAACAAGAGAGAGAAACAATAATAATTTTATCTGAATCTCAAATTTAAATTTAAAAATTACAAAAAACACGACAATCACAAAATTAATTAATATATATATATATATAATTTGACTCATTTGATCTTAATTTAGTAGTATATTTATATCAAATATATTTTAGAATTTTTAATACATTAGTAAAATTAAAAATATTTTACCAATGAATGTAAATTCTATCAAATGGTATAGTTTTTAACTAAAACTAACTAAAAAAATAATTTCTAAACTTTAATGAACTTTTTTTAGCAAATGATAACTATAAAATACATTTACAATACCGTATAATTAGTAAGCTTAGTAAAAAAAGGGGTAACAATGTATCGCGTGTTGTATTAAATTAATATTACCAAATATGCAGTTAACAGGTTTTTATTTTATAATAATATAGTTTTATCAATAAATTAATCAACAACAAAAAATAAATCATGTTAACTGCAATTTTATAATTATTATTAATTATGTATCTCATGATAGTTTATATTATTATAATAAAGCGCGCGGCGTATTATTGCCCCTTTTTTACTAAGCTTAATAATTAGTGTTAGCAAAAAAAGAGAAATTTATAAAATAATAGAGAAATTTCTAGAAGTTTCTAAAAGAAATTTCTATCTATGGGATCCCCATGTTAATTTTGTTTTTCTCTATATACGTTATCATGTAACAATACATTGTTTTTACAAGTAATAATAAAATATTAGTATTAATATTTTAATTATTAATTAAAGTAACAATTAATTTATTTAATTAACTTAAATTCTTATATATAACTTTTTATATAATAAATAATTATTAAAATTTTACAAAACTGATTATTATTAAATAATTATAATTATTTTACATATAGGTATCGCATTTTGTATAGTAGTGCATAGTATAATGTTATATGAATAATAGTATGTCTCATTATTTATATATTATTACAATAGCTATAGATATGGGGATCCCATAGAATAACAATAAAGTTAAATTTCTATAGAAATTTATTCCTGAGAAACTTTCTAGAAACTTTCTATTTGCCCATCTCTACGTATAATTAGAAGTAAGAAGATTATAATAAATATAAATTATTATATTTGTTGAAATTTTTTTTGATTTCAATTATAAATAATATTATTATAGTTTTATTGAATTGACTAAATTTATAGTTATCTAATTTTTGTTCATTTCAGATTTACTCAAATATTAGTTTTTAAACTTTAATATCATATAAATTTAATAGATTTAATTATTAATAAAGTAGAGTGAATTGCAACCAAATAATGATTTTAAATAAGTTCACTTTTTCTAACTTATTATAACTTATTTTCTAAATTATATAACATATAACAAACTATAAACATTTAAACTATAAATGTTATAGTATATGATAAAATAAAAATTCAATAATTATTTGTTTAACTTTATATAATAACTATAAGTAAATTAAAATTATTATTAGCTATCACGTGTTATTAAAATATTTAAATAATAGTAAACAGGTTTATTATAAATTAAGTAAATTAATGACAAAATTTACAACATATTTAAATTTAATATAAAAATATTGTGTTATTGTTTATATATAGAAAAAATATGCAACAAAAATATTCTGTAATTTACAAATTAATCACATAAATAGCAATAGTTTACATTATAGTAATTAATTTATATGCATTATTTTTTTTGAAAAATAGTGTTAATACACATAATAAAAGTATAGTAAGAGCACTGGTAGGTTGACTGGAGTACAAAATAATAGTGCAATTGCACTAAACTCCACAAATCTAATGTTAACATTAGTGTATTATTAGTGTATAACTAATAAATATAACTATTCTGGCCTTCAAATAGTACAGTAAAACATAATAATAATTCAGTGTATACTCTAAATATTGTGTGATTTACTTGAATTATCCATTAAATAAATATTTAAGTTTATGTTTTAATTTCTTAACACATTTTTTACAAATACTTGTATTATTTAAAGTATACACTAAATTATTTTGATCGTCAATAATGCTATTTTAAAATTATTATACAATACTGTATACATTCATTAAAAATAATTCAAATTGATTTATACATTATCTAATAACACAATTAATAAATATTTGTGTTATATGAATAAAAATCTATATAAATTATTCAAACTATTATCTAGGTCATTTCCAATTCCTATTTCTCTACAATTAAATACTGAAATTCAAGTAAAAAATATTTGTAAAAAATAATTAAAATCTAAATATTTTGTTCACAGAATTCAAAACCAATGTCAGAATTGACGTGTTTTCCGCCGATCGATGACAACGACCCGTCATTGATGCGACCGATCCATGAGGACGGCATGTTTAACAACCCGTGGCGGACGTGGAAAAAGCCTAATATGTGGAGTATTCCTAAATTCATGTTTGAGACGGACAACAGCAAAGTTCCCAAAGAAAAGGTAATATTTTATCATTAATTTATCATTTATATTGATTTATATTGATTTATATTGATTTATATTGATTTATATTGATTTATATTGATTTATATTGATTTATATTGATTTATATTGATTTATATTGATTTATATTGATTTATATTGATTTATATTTTTCACATTTCAAACTTATTTATGGAATGAATTGATTATTAAATGGATAAATATTACGGTAATAGGTATTGGATGAGACATTGCCGCTATTGAAACCAAATTTTAATTTTGATGGCACCGGTATTTCATTGACATGGATTGGCCATGCCACAACTCTAGTTCATATCGATGGATTGACTCTACTCACAGATCCCATATTTAGTGATCGGGCGTCGCCATCGCAATACTTCGGTCCGACCCGATATAGAAAAGCAGCGGTCAGTGTGAAAGAATTGCCACAAATCGATGCGGTGGTCATCAGTCACAACCATTACGATCATTTGGATTTAGGCAGTGTTTTGGCGCTAAAGGATCGCTTTGGATCTAAACTTCAGTGGTTTGTGCCGTTAGGATTGTCTCAATGGATGAGAGATGAAGGCGTTGAGAATGTGGTGGAAATGGATTGGTGGCAAACGTCTTGTATTATTACTAAACCTGACATTAAGTTTGTATTTACTCCGGCACAACATTGGACAAGAAGAGGAGTCAATGACGAACGCAAGACATTATGGGGCGGTTGGTCTGTCATCGGACCTAAACACAAGTTTTACTTCGCTGGTGATACCGGTTATTGTCCGGCATTTGAACAAATCGGGAAAAAGTACGGTCCATTTGATATAGCGGCCATACCTATAGGTGCATATGAGCCCCGATGGTTTATGCAACCACAACATGTCGATCCTGAAGAAGCCGTTAAAATACATCAAGACGTCAAAAGTAAACTAAGTATTGGTATACATTGGGGAACGTTTGCTTTAGCACATGAGGTGAGTATTTATATTTTTGAAAAATATCTTTGATATGATTTACTGATTTTTATTAATATTATAGTACTATTTGGAGCCTCCGATGAAATTAAAGACAGCCCTAAAAGATAATAATTTAGATAATAATGAATTCATAACTATATCTCACGGAGAAACTAAATCTATTTCATGATCAAAGATATGTTTTTTGCATCACTTTTAATAAATGCTTTATTTTTTATGTAAATTTTTTTTATTTTACAAGTATTTTTAATAAAGAGTTTATTTTTATTTATAAAATTATTAGCAAATATTGTATATAATTTCAATAATTGATTGTTAACATTGTATAATACTATACAAACACTACAGTATAGTTCAATAAAATTTACAACATTTAGAATAAAATGTTATTTTTTATTGAATATTCCGGTATTTTTAAAATTTTATTTCCTCAAATCACAAAAAGTGTGTATCCTATAATAAAAATGATGTCAAACTTATTTAATATATTTTTTGGATTAAATACCAATATTAATAACCAATAAATTATGACACTAATTATTATATAAGGTATGTATGATTTACAATATTATTGTCTTTCAGTGTATTTTTAAAAAATTCAATGAATATATAATAATTACATGAATTTATAGTAGTTTATTTTATATCAATTCAAGTCATACTAATTGTTACAACATCTGTGTAATCTAAACATTAAGTTTATCGACACATTTACCCCAATTAAACAGTTCTACCGGTAATAAAACTACCAAAAAACACGATTAATGTCTAAAATATCTTTAAATTAAAAAAATAGTTTTATCTCAAAAAAACAAAAAATTAAAACAAACATTTAAAATTAGTTACAGGCAGTGAATATACATTTGTCAAAATTTATATAAATGTTTTTATATAAAATCGTTAAAAATATGCAAACTTGGTTTCAATGAATTCGGTGAGCATTACTTCTGGCCGATAAAAGTACTTATTTTTATTGTCCACTTGAGACCAACGCTCGCCGTCGGCGTCAAAACCTAATAGTTTTGTATTTAATAAATCAATAATTTATAATAATATCTATATTACGCACTAAAACACTTGAGATCCAAGTATTGACAACAGGCGTGAAGCAAAAGTCGCCGGAAACCCGATGAAAGGCACGACTTATAAGTTGCAAAGGGTTTGTGATTAAAAAACTCAGTGATCTCTTCCTCAATTGACGCCAACACTCCCTTAAATTTAATAAAAATATTCAAATTAAAATTTTTTTAATATTATTAAAAGACAATATATATATATATACAAGAGGTATTCGCTTCTTTTTCAGCATATTTTTCAAATCGGAATCAATTCGTTGAAAACATTGGTCAGCAGTAAAGGCTGGTTCATAATATCTGCCATCAAGTTTGCCATTGATATCAACTTTAGTTTGACTGTCATTTGGTTTGTCTCCCTCTGTCTTATCACGTCTTTTGTTTAGAATTTCATTTTGTTGTTCTTCAGTACAATTAATAAAGTCATTCAATATCTTCATATTCTCGCCATTAATAAGTATTTGAGCAAAAGCTGAGACCGTTTGTGGTATAAAATCATAAATGGAAATGTCGTTGAGTTCGTCGCCTTCGGTCAACGAGTCGGCCATTTGTTGGTGCAATAAATTGACTGATAAATCAATACAACAGACATTAGTTATTAAATGAATCAATCATTTGAATCATTAATAAATAATAACTCATTTGTTTGTTTAAATTTGTGCTCTGATTTGGTTTCAGTAATAAATGATAATTAAGAAAATTTCTATTATTTATAATAAAATTTGATATATTATTGAAATCGATGGTAAATCGCAACCACAAGCGATACATACAATCAGCATATCTTCGGTTCTTTCGATGGCTTTTTCCTCTGACACCTAATGCTCTGAACGTCGGTTCCGGACGCAAACGGTTTCTTCGCAATCGGTTCTCACGGTTTCGTTGTGACCGTCGCTGAGCTCGAAGATCATTGTGATCGACATCACTGTCATTGTCATCGATTACGCTATTTATGGGATCAATTCAATCATATACTTAACATATCATTTGTTTGCCATTAAAGCAAATCAATTGGTTATCACAAGTGTTTGCATCACTTCAACAGACAATTCAAGACATACTTATCAATCATCTCTTCAATGATATCCACATCATATGAATTTGTGGTTAAATTTGAGCTGAAGTTACGGATAACACCCATATTGAAGACAAATTTGCTGTTAATATCACTGAATTTGGTCACAAAAGTGGACAACAATTGATATGATGTAAGGATTTGTTTGTCAATAGCTTTCAAAGTCAACAAATGACAGACAAAAGTGAAAGCAATTGAATATATAGTATAAGTGTTACTCAACTATAGTATAGCTATAACTATATACAGCTGTTGTCATGTATTTCAAACATATTATGTTTTGACTCAAAACGTAAATAAAATAATATTATTATTATTATTACAATACATATACTGTAATACTTTAATACACCATATTCTTTATCACTCATAAATTACGTCACAATTACTGGTCATTGGACTAAATGTATGTCAATGTCAATGACAGCATTGGGGACACCAATGTCTGGCATAGGTGTGACGTATTGTTTGAATGACAATACTATTACCAAATTGTTTGTGTTTACAGTTATTAATATATTGTTTATGAAATTCAATGAATTATTTATTTATTATTTATTTGAATGACTTTTAAATTTAAAGCAATTATTAATGCATTTTAATGTAAGAATGTATTGATTGTATTGATTGCTAACAAATGCATTGAATGTTAATATCAATCAAAGCGTGCAATCAATTGATCGTTCATTCATTGCATTTATTTGGTCGCCGAAGAGTTCATTTAGTCAGACAAATGGCCAACACTTTGGACGGACTCGTCTTCGACAACAAAGCCCTTCGGTGTCTACCACTGGATCCGATTGAAGACAATTATGTGCGAACAGTTGATAATTCTTGCTTTTCTCGGGTCAAACCGACACCGTTGGCGAATCCACGGCTAGTCTCACATTCGTTGTCCGCATTAAATCTCATTGATATCGACGAAGAAGAGGTCCGACGACAAGATTTTGTGCAATATTTTTGTGGAAATGAATTACTGAATGGATCGGAGACAGCGTCTCATTGTTATTGTGGCCATCAATTCGGTATTAATTGCATTAATTTATCTAAATTTGTATTAAATATCTTATCAAAAAACAGGTGTTTTTGCGGGACAGTTGGGTGACGGGGCAGCTATATATTTGGGTGAAATTATTAACAATTCGGGTCAAAGATGGGAACTACAGTTGAAAGGCGCGGGACTGACGCCATATTCACGCGAAGCTGACGGTCGCAAAGTGTTGCGGTCGAGTGTCCGCGAGTTTCTATGCAGTGAAGCCATGCATTATTTGGGTGTTCCGACCACACGAGCGGCCACTTGTATTATCTCAGACGATAAGGTCGTACGCGATATGTTTTATACAGGAGAAGCAAAACATGAAAACTGTTCAATAATATCACGATTGGCGCCAACTTTCATCAGATTTGGCTCATTTGAAATTTTCAAAACTATTGATCCTATGACTGGACGCCGAGGACCAAGTGTTGGCCGCAAAGATATTCTTCTAATACTCACTAAGTATACAATTGAAACGTTTTTTCCTGAAATCGATAGTTTGAAGGATTTATCAGATGTAGAAAAATATAAATTGTTTTATAAAGAAGTTGTCGTTAAAACAGCAGAATTGGTTGCCTTCTGGCAGACTCTGGGTTTCTGTCACGGAGTTCTCAATACTGATAATATGAGTATATTAGGTCTGACTCTAGACTACGGGCCATTCGGTTTTATGGACCGATTTGATTGGGATCACGTGCCCAATACGTCCGACGACGGCGGGCGCTACTCATACGCAAAACAACCGGAAATATGTAAATGGAATCTCTTTAAGTTTGCTGAAGCTCTTCAACCAATTGTCTCTTTAAATGATTTGCAAGAAATTCTTGAAAATACTTATTACGATGTATTTAATAGAGAATATACTGAGAAAATGCTGAAAAAGTTTGGATTATTCAAGAGTTTAGATAAAACAAGTGGTGATCTCTTATGTGATGTCGAACTATTCAAATCATTTTTGGATACAATGGAGAAAACTGGCGCTGACTTTACTAACTGTTTTCGTTCACTTAGTTTAATAAATGTTTGTCATCTAAAAGATGGTCAACAGATTGTAGAAGACTTGAAGACAGCGCTGTTGTCTGAGTGCTGCTCTTTAGAAGAAATAATTAATGCAAACGAAGCCATTTTTGATACAAATGAGTTTCAATTATTTTTAGCGTTATTACAAACTAATCCACAATTACTGGAAATGTTAGGCAAAGGACCCAAAGCTATTGAAAGGGTTTTATCTAAGATTGAAAAAACTAAAGAATTGAAAGTAAATTTTATATTATTACTAATTAATATAAGCACAAAATCATTTACAAACAAACAAAAAATTAATACATTTTATTATACGATTGCTTTTATACTATTTATTATATGATGAAATAATCGTATAATAAAATGTATTAATTTTTTGTTTGTTTGTAAATGATTTTGTGCTTATATTTATTTAGTTTTATTTATTAATTAAAGCATTTAAATGTAATATTTGATTATATTTCAGAGCATGACTTCTGAACAAAAATTATCTGAAGACACAGAGATTTGGGAGAAATGGATTGACAATTATGTTAAACGATTAGAGTTTGAAATCAAAGAGTTTATGAATGATTCGCAACAATTGATTGAATTTAATTTAAGAAGAGTTCAAATGATGAATGAAAATAATCCAAAATATATTTTACGCAATTATTTAGCTCAGGAGGCCATCGATAGCGCAGAAAATGGGGATTTCGGTGCTGTTAATCAATTGCTGAAAGTGTTAGAAAACCCATTCAAAGATTGTGATAATTGTGAGAATAAGGATTACTCGCGACGACCGCCTAATTGGGCCAATAAGTTGAAGGTTTCCTGTTCTTCGTAAAACATTATTAATTAACATATAATTATGAATCTAATAATAAATTTGTTTATTAACACGTTTTATGAAATTTAAATTTTAATCAACTTTATTTACAAATTTTTACTAAATTTTCAATTACTCTAATTTTTAAATAAATTTAGAGATTTATAAAAAATAAACTTTTAATTAGAAATCTGTACTATTTATCTCATTTCATATATTATTAAAACAATCAAATATATCAATTAGTATAACAAAAATAACAAAATTTTCACGTCTTTTAAACTATAGTATAATAAAGTGATAAATAATGAAATCATATACAATATAATGAAAATATAGTTATAATTCATAGATTATAATTGAAATCTAAAGAAAAATAAATACTATTTGTGTGGCAAAACTTATAATACATAATAGAAAGGTGAAAGGTCAAAACAAAAGTTTATATATTTGTTTACTAATGTCATTTGAGATATCATTTGAAACAATTATATAATTTAAGTGAAAATACTAGTGTATTATAAAAACTATGAATTATGATTTAACTTAATGTAATACACAGTTTGTACATTATCTTACCTTAAAATCTCTTACCTGTAAATTAAATATAACAATCCAATGAATCAGACATATTGAGTAAATTTCAAATAATTTTGAAACAAATGTATAAATTAATTGTTTTTAATTATAAATTTGTTAATTAAAACCTAATTTAACATAAAAGTGATAACAAATTATAAGAATGATTTTGTGACAAATTTGACGACTAATTAAACAATTGTTTGATATAAAAGATAAATTTATGATATTTTAAATCACTAAACAATTAAATTTGAAGCAATTTTTAAAATGATTGCAATATTGCTATAAAATGGCGTAAATATTGTTATAATTTAGATAATTTAAAACATTATTAATTTAACAAAATTTGATGTGTTTTTTACAATAAAAATGTAAGACTTTTTATAACTATATTTTTTTGTAAAACAACATTCATTTGAAAATATAGTCATTTATTACAATATTACTATAATAACTACAATATAAATAATTTTTAAATTTGAAGAAAAGCTCTAATTTTATAGTTAATTTGTTAAGACTAATTGTAATCACTTATATATTTATATAATATATTTGTATTATTAATAAAAAGCAGCATTTGTTTGAAATTTTAGCAAATAATAATTAAATAATAGAAAATATTTTCAAATTACAATTATTGATAAAGAAATTAAAAGTATAACAACATTTAACACAAATTTTAATTTACCCATAATTACAATTAGAATAATAAAAATAATATCAATTAAAAAATGAATAATAATAATAATATCAATTTGAAAACAAATACTAAATATATTGTATAATAACTAGAATTGAAAAAAGATAATAATAATAATATTAATAATGTGTGCGTTTTCAACAACATATCAATTAGTTTTTTGTTGAAAAGTATTTTCAAAAATAGTATTTCTCTAATCATAATATCAATTGATTTTCAATCAAATTATTGATTTAAAGAAATCTATTTGAAAAGCGGCTCGTGTTTAATGATGTATTTGTTTGTCGATCAAACAATTTAGTTATATAATGTTTTTTCACATATTTATCTTTCAAATAAAAGTGATGATAAAGATGTAAACTTAATATTAAAAATAAGCCGTTTTTGTTGATTGTAATAAACCATAAAAATGAAATTTGAATGTATTTTTTCTCTCAATATATGTCTGAAAATTAATGAAACACAAACTAACAAATGAGATTACAAAGTTTAGTGTATTTAACAAACTTATTAATTAGTTAATTAAGTTTTGTAACGCTTTGGGAATTGATTTGTTTTAAAAAAAATAATAATATTTCATGAGAGGTCTTAACCAACAAATTAACAGCTATTATGAGATCACCAGGTCTTCGATATATATATAAGATATCAAATAAATAATAAAATCTAAATTATATTATTTATTTGTTTGAATAATATAGTATTATTATTATTAATTTAATAATAGGTTTGACCTAAACATTGCATCCATTATTTATAACTACGGTATGTATAAAAAGCAAACTCACATAAGAAATAAATTCAATTGTAAATCATTTATAGAGTAGTGTTTTGTATAATCAATATAATAGTTTGCATTTTAAAAAGGTTTGTACTTAACGTGAGACCACAATTTCATTGAAGACAACTCAATACAATTAATCAAATCTAAAACATATTAATCAATTCATTTTATTCTTTTATTTGCGATGACTTCAAGTTAAATATCGTTTTTTTAATTAATCAAAAATTATTTTAGGATTTATAATCTCAATCTTTAGGATATTTTTGTTTTCATGATTATTAAAAACTTAAAAATTATATTTTTTAATAAGTAATTATTAGATATAATATTTTAAAGTTAGACAAAATTTATATAAAAACTAACATAAAAATCCTAATAAAATAAATAAAAAATAAACTTATATACCTATTATATAAATTTCAAAAAATTTCTGAGTTTAAGAGTAAATCTCAAAAAATATGTTTCACTATATTTACGAAATACTGGCATTTACTGTAAGATTTGAGTGAAATCCTAAAAATACAGAGCAATTCAATAGTAAATGTGAAAGACATGGTCTGATCCTTCATTGAGTATCCATAATATCATCGTATATATGGACTCATTATATCGTTTAGTCAAAAAATAGTCAATAATTTCTACACATTAGCATAACTAACAAAATAACTGTCACACCTATGACTTTGATTTGACCAATTGATTACCCGTCACCTTAAATATCAAACACCCCTCTCATGGCTTTCTTAAAACAATTATTTCCCTAATGATAACTTTTACAAATTTTAAAAACTAATTGTTACAAATAATTTTTTTTCTTGATAGTCATACTATAAAAATACAATCAAAATTTAAAATACAGTTACTAAATGATTATATAAGTTATATGTCATTAATTATGTTTATGTAATAATCAAAATCACTAATGGCTTTCAATTAAACAATATAATCCAAACAATGAATTGCTGTTTAAATGCCTAAACATTCATTTAAATAATAATATTGTTAACGTAGATATTGGCACAATTGAGTTGACTACTCGTATAAACCTGAATATTATATATATTAATCTGAAAAATATTTGTTGATATAATTTATAGTAATATTAAAATTTTTATCATTAAAATGCTTTATTAAAAATAGCCTATTTAAGTTATGCCATTTCTTTAAATAAATATTGATTTTGAAATTAACAATTCAATTGAATTTAAATAATTAATGTCAAATACTGTATATATATTAGAAATTAATATATAAAATCTTTAAATAAAAAATATATACTTTAATTCGTAACAAATTAAAAATAGAAAGCCATAAATGAAATTAATTCTAATAAACTAATAATTAGTGAAATATATCTGTAAATTAAATAATAATAAAAAATAATAATGCAATGTATGTATTATGAATTGATGACAAATATGTGCTTAACATAGGAATGGACTAATGGATGGCTTGTTTTGTTTAATTAGATAATAATAATCATTGATATAATAAATGGCCAAAAATGCAGAAAATCTCAAATGATTAGATATCACGAGCCCTTTGAAGAAGCAAACTTGAAGTCAGTTTTAATTAAATATTTTGAGTTCAATTTCAAAGTGTTGTTTAACTCAATTTAAAGTCTATCCAATACTTAGCAAAAATAAGGCTTAATAATAATAAAAACTAACTCATTAATAGTTTTGTTAATTATAATGAATATAATAATATTGATTATTAATAAAAATAATATTGATTATAATATATCAATAATAATAATAGTAATAATTATAATAAATGAACTTTTTGTTCATTAAATTGCAAAACTCAATGATTTTGATGAGAATTTAAGTCAAGTCATCATAATTGCAATCATTGGCTTCAAGTTCTAACTGTTGGGCGAATTTGGAAAAGTCGTTATCACAGTCCCGGAGGTCTTCAAGTGTTGTCTGTAAGTCGTCGGGAGGTTCAGCCAACAAATCGTTCAAATTTCGTCTTACGTTTGATGAATTGGATCCAATATTAGTGACATTTATGATCAGTTCATTTTCGTTGGGCTGAGTGCTAGCAATCGTTGGATTCCATATATTGTTGTCGCGAAGTTGAACTCCCGATACCATTAAGTCCTGACCACTTTGTAAGACATTACCTGAAATGAGGTCATTACCACCAAAAACTATTTGTTGTTTTGTCGAAGGAGGCGGTGATGGGGGGAATTGGAAAGGTTGGGGACAGACAGGTGTCGCCGGATATGACTTTGAAATGGCTGTACTCTCATCTAACAATTGACTGCTTATATCAACAACACTGTTGGCAGAAGACAAATGAGAGCCATTTTTGCCGACAAGACCTAAGTTTGCTGCCGGAACTGATTGACATCGATTCAGAAGTCCATACGTTTTGTTTGCTTCGCTTTGAGTAATGTTCACCGAGTTTTTCATATGCGATATAATTTCGGGTGAATAGTGATCACTGCTTGAAGTAACTGATGATTTCTTGTATGGATTAGACGCATGCCTTTGTCTATTAACAATCGAGTTGTCATTTATTGTGCTTTTCAGATGATTGGATGACCAATCATATGTCATATGCGAGTTGCCATTTAGTTGATCACTGGTTAGAGAATTAAAGTCTTGTTGTTGAATGACTGTCATCGGCGATAGGGGTGACAAAGGAGTTCCCGATTTAATATTTGTATTCATATTAGATGCAAGAGATACCATCTGAGATGATCTCGTTTCAGTAAACGGCAATTTCGAAGACCCATAGTTTCCATTTACAAAATTGTCGCCAATCATTGGTGACAATGAGTTACTTCTATTGTAGATTAAACCGGAATGAATACCACTACACAATGATATGGGTCCTCCCGGTCCAGAGCTATGTCGAGCTCTGTTCATATTACGTGGTATTCCTCCAGTTTGGGCGCGAACTCGATTGGTTGGAAGTGGAGTTGTTTGCGGAGAAATGAATGGAGAGCTAGATATGGATGAAACACCGGAATCGACTTGAGTTTGTAGAGGAGTCTGACGTTGTAATGCACTGTAACTGCTTTGACCGCTATTATGGCGAGATCTGTTCGGAGGTAATGGAGTAATAGACGCAACTGGGGTTACGGGTGTACTTCTTGGTGATACAAATGGACTGTTCACTTCACTTGACGGTTGAGAGGGTCCAACGCCAACCGTATGTTGATTCAACCTGTATTGAGGGGACGCACTGTTTATATTGTTTGTAAAATTAAAACCATTATAACTAATTGAGTCTATCGTAGAGTTTTCGGGAATAGTTGGTGTATCTCGAGGTGAAATCGGTTGAAAATTGAAAGCACGTCTTCTAGCGTTAGGACTCGGAGGCACTGACGGCACCTGAATGTTAACGTTATTATATAAACCATTTTTGTTATCATTGTATTGATTAAAATATTCTCCGTTCGTAAAGTTCGAGTTCTTGGAAGTAATAGAAAGGGAAGACAAAGAATTTATATCAATAAGAGAAGTGTCTAATTGTTGACTAATTTGACACTCAATATCTTTGGTCGAAACTAAACCATTTGATTGTTCATTTGAATCCATGGTTTTAAATCCTGAGTAATTTTGAAATGAATTATTCAAATTTTTGCGGAGAAGTGCTTCTCTCAATTCGGAGTAACACTCAAGAGGTGCCGTTTCACCGACTCTTTGTGGTGTTTTATTACTGGTATTATTTGGTAAATGATTTTCAAGCAGTTGTCTTAGTTGCGACAGTTTTGCCGTTTGATTGCCATTAGTATTTGTCTCCCACTGCTCTTTACCACTATTTGTAACACTAAACGCAGAATTATTGAAGTAATCCATAAGTGCTTCCGATTCAATGTCATTGATTCGTATATCAGATGCAACTATTTCTGTGCCATTAGTGATAGTTTGATATTGAGAAGAATCGGGTGATAAACTGTTATTAGAGTTTGCGTCATCAAAACCACTGCTATTAGTACTGTTTGAAACAAATGTATTCAATGTATTGATAGTATCGATGTGTCTCTTCTTTGTTGAATTAACTATTGCCTCCTTTTCTTCAATTTGTCGTTTTGCTTGAATCTGTTTCTCACCAAATGATTCAACTGTTTGTTTCACTTTAATGTCTTTATTTATGGGAACGGATACTGAATGTCTTCGTTTGGCAAAAATATTAAATGCTTCGTTAGTTTCATTTAAACGATTTGTAGAAACGGCAGACTCGGAGTCGGATCGACAGATATTCACGGGTTTCGGTTGAATTCGTTTATATTTAGGAGTAGTTTGTTTTGCAGATGAACTGGTTATTGTCGACATCGTTGTCGTTGCCGTACAATCACTACTAAGTGTAGACTGAGGTGAAGCCAATCTGACAGTTGCCGTCGGCACAAGTATTATACTCGTAGATATTGGTTGAGTCATACGAGATGGTGTGACCGTACGAGGAATTGCGACCTTCAATATAACACAGTTTTTATATCATTTTTGTTCAGCAATTTTATCATAATATTTATATATTAATAGATTATAGTATTATAAAGCATAGAAATTTCACAAAATACATTAATCGTTGAATTTAATCAAACATTAAATAATTATTTACCGGTAATTAATAAAAGTTAATATTATGGTATAATAAATATAATAATTACGATTAAATTGTTTTTCAATAAATAAGACTTACTTTGTTTTGAGGTCTATTTGTCTGTAAATTAGGCGATAACTCAAATTCTGGCTCTTTTTTAATTTGCAACGAAAGAGATGTCGTTGTCATTGACTCAGATGTCTCTGACTTTGAAGTGCTATTTTTGCGACTCTTTCGCGAAGCTTTGGTCGATAAAGTTTGAATGGTTTTTGTCACTTCTGAACAACATTTAACATCAGTTGCTCTTCGTTTTCTTTCCTGTTCTTTTTCCTGCAACTTTCGCTGTAAATGATTTTGAATGGGTCTTCGGGAACCATTGGCTGTCTTTGCATTTGTTTTCAAATAATTTTTATTGTCATTTGATTTAAAATTATCACTCAATGAAAAGTCAAATGATTTTGAAGTAATTAAATATTGAGTCAAATCTGGCAATGAATCGAAATTGCGATTTAAGACTTTTGTGGCCCAAGAGATGATAACATCATTGCCAATGAAGGACTCGTCATCAGATATACTATTTTTATCTGATTCCCAATTTTTATTGCTTTTAGTAGACTCATAGCCACTCGTATCTAAAACAGGCAGTTCTGGCGGTTCGATGTTTAACTTTTTTCTAAGTCCTGAATAGCAGTACTTAGAGTTACCTCTCTGTCCCAAACGTCTGGGTTTGACTTTTGGAAAGACATGTTTCATGGCTTTTCCAAAGTCAGCCACACAGAGAGGTTCAAACTTATTTGCCTCACAAAACACTTTGTATTCTTCATAAACTTCTTGTTTTGGTAATGAAACGGTTGAGTCTTCCTCTAAATGACTTTGAATCCAAGTGTAAGTTTGGGCCACTTCGACATCAGCTTTCTTTCCGAAGGGATTTCCCGGACCTTTCCTACAAATCATTTGCAAACTATTTATTAATTTTTCTAATTTATTAAAACAATTTTTAAATTTATTCATTACTTTTTTTTATTGATTAAATTATTATAATTGAATTTTTTATTACTTAAATTATTGATATATTCATAGTAAAGTACATGTGCATTCATTTATTACATTATAATACTTGTTTGTATAATTATTACACTAAAAATTTTTATCGATAAAATTTGTTTAATAATATTTTATTTTATTAGTTACATAAAAGTAATATCAATTATAATTTCTTTTCTAGTAAATATTAATTAATAATTTTCTCCCTTAAAATATCTCAATTTTGAAAAATAATATATTTTTCATACAATAAAAATATGCTCATTATTATGATAATGAAATATAAATTATTTTATTAAAATCTTTGTATGACTTAAAATATCAAAATAATACTAAGTAATGGTAACTGTGGTTGATATATTTAAACATGTTTAATCAAACATAATACATATAATTCAATTTTTAAATACAATATATAAAATAATGATATTTTGGGAAAAATGTAATTATTTTAAATATTAGTCTAAAAACATGGTTTTGACTTGTAATTCAAATGTATCTATTTTCGGATAGCAAAATAGTTATATCAAATTTACCACATATATCAAAATATATATTAATCCTAAGTACATATTTTAACAAAACTATGTGCAAACATAAAATAAATAACTGACTGAAAATATTATATAACAATTCCTTATTTATTATAACACATTTCAAAACAGTTTTTATTTCATAACTAAGTTTATGTAAATTACCGTAAAATAACACATTTATCAAATAATAAATCGTAATATAGAAAATATATTTATATAATCTAAAATGTCTTTTATTATTAGCAAAAGTAATTTCATATAATATAATCGATAAGTTTTATACGCTTTTATAGTCAGTTATGTAATATATATGGAAAGGCAATGAATATATAGCTGACTGTCTGTCGTCCATAACTGGCGCTATGTTTGCATTGATTTAATTGTCATAAAACTAAAATATACTAATAATCTGAAAATTAGTTCATAAATAAATATTATTTATTTATTTTTATATAGCATCGCCTTATGTGCTGCTATTATAAAATCATATTTATATATCTCAAATACCATACATTTCCCAAATTTTATTTTATATATATTTTTCAGTTGTCAATTTTACATAAATTATGCTATAGTTACAAATTATATTTTACAATACTGTAGACAACATAATCATTACATAATTAAATTGAGTAATATATTGCATTTGAATGTTATTAATAAAATTTAATAAATGATATAAATTGGACATAAAAATTTTTAACTAAAAATTAATTAAATTAACAAATACAATACTGCATATTCTATAAGTGTTAGATAACAATTATGTAACAGTTAATTACATTTCAATTAACAATTCAAAACATCAATGGCATCGTTTGGTTATCAAATATAATTCAATATACGGTACATGTATTTGTCTTATTGAATGCATTATAACATTGATAAAGCTGTCGTTACATACATTACTGTATTGTATCATCAATTTAATGACTACTATAACCGTTATACTGTAGTAGTATTCATTAAAATGATCATAACTAAATATAATGTATTGTATAATTTATTATTTTATTGTCAACATTTATCAATATATCTAAATCTAGTTTCTCAATACATATTTCAATATAATTAATAAATCATAGATCAACTAAAATAAATATATTTCTTTTCAATTGATTTTTCCATGAAAACCATTTGAATGATATAAATTTTGATCATTGAATAAATAAAATAAAACATAATTTATAATAATAGCGATATTTTTAATAAAGTAATTATATACTGTATTGTAAATTTATAACTAGTCTATATAACATTAATAATATAACTATAAAACTATCAGTTATTGTTAAAAATGTCGACTAATGTTAAATTGATAACAATATATAGTATAAGACATTCAAATGAAAGACTTACTGTTTGAGAGGATCGACATCTTGTGCGGAACCGTTTGGCAGTTGGATGTAAAGCAATAACTTTTCGATATCATTGAACTCTTCGATCTCATTCTGCAATCAATTCAATTGTTAATCATTTGATGGTTACATAATCAACATATCATATAATTTTTACAATTAAGAGTCAGACATAATGACTGACATAATAAATATAATGTCATTTGTAGCTAAAACTAAGGACACACACAATAAAATATTATATAACTATTATATAACAATTAATTAGACTATAATTTTTAAAATCTTAAAATTACTATTACTTAATACACATACTGATTGTTATTATTAATTGATTTGTACTCAATTAGCACTTTCTGATTATTTAAACAATTACTAAATTGTTTTATGGAAAGACCTAATGGTTATATAAGTAATTGACTAATAATAATAATAATAATAATCGCAACTATACTTACAATAATTGCTGTAATCCTTTTCTTTGTCTTTTCACTGCAAAAATAATAAGAAAACAAAAATTTGTGAAATATATTATATAATTTGTGAAAATAATTATACAAATGTATGGCTAAAACAATGTATTATTGAGAAAAAAAATGATTATTAAAGAGATTGAATATTTCAATAATCGATACATTCGAGTATAACATTAAATGAATAGCAATAAGTTATGATAAAATAGTTATATTAATGAATGTCATTATATTATATGTAATTATTTATCACTTGTGTATTGCTTTTTAATAATTATCTCAATAATCAGTTATGACATTAAGAAAATCAAACAAATTGTCAACAATTATGATAAAAGAGATCTGCAATAAGTTTAGCCATTTTGTTGGCTTTATATCATATAATCAATAATTAAAGCAAACGTTTGGCTAAACTATTGATTTGAGACAATACCTGACAGTCTGTTGAATACAATCTTTGAGTGTCTGATTGTGGTTGTGATGGCTAATGGTTTTCGTGTCCGTTTGGCTCTCGTCGGACATACCATTCAATTGATCTCTAGTGATGTTACCATCAGTGGCCATATCTTTGTCGACCACTACTTGTCTGTCGAGTTCAAAGTCATTGCTATTATTTGTGACGTTTGACAACATTTGGCTATTAATGACTTCAATGATATCAATAACATAATCAAAGACAATGAGAATAAGTGGTGACAATCGTTGCTTTTTTTTATCAATTAGTTAGCTCTTGGTCTTTGAGTTAATAATGGTTAACAATGAGTGTTAGTGTCAGCACATGAGTGTGTCTTCAGCACAGTTATCACCAAAAGTATTGACACGAGAGACGGACTCTAAAGAGACAAAAGCCTTTATTTGGTCCATTGTATGGCTGGTCCAGTGATAGGTCAGATCAGTTGTGCTAAGTGTCTAAAGGCTCACCATCTTGTCTGGTATGAGCACAAACACTGTTAGCACTGTTAGCTCACAACACATACCAAACCTATTGACTACTACTTCAACACACAGTCTCACTAACAATCAATTGAATGTATGTTTCAATGCATTCAATGCATTAACAGTTGTGTGAAAAGCAATCAGCTGTTAGTCAGCACTGCATTCAAACACAATGTGAGGACCTGTTGTGAGCACACTCTACATACATAGCATTACCACATTCACACAATTTCATACTTACTATTAATTAATGTATTCAATATACTATTTATATTTATTTTGACGCTTTTTTCAATTGCCCAGGTTAATTTTCCAAACAACACTTTGATGTTTTCAAAAATAGATTATTTTTTTTAATTAATTAAAATTTAAAATAAAACATATGTTAGTCATATTATATTCAATTTACAGATTCACACCAAATCTTGTTAAACTAATTTTTAGATAACAAATAGTTGAATAATAAATATCCTTTAAAAAATTGAATACAATTATTGTGGCAAATTATTTTTTAAAAATTGAATGTAATAAATATTTATATCAAATGCATTTTGAAAAATATCAATGTATTATTTGATAATATCAAAGGCAGCTATAAAACGTCAAAATGTAAAATACTTGGTAAGAAATATACAATAAATTTAAATACAACTATTAATTTGGTATAAATATTCAGGTTTGATAAATGTCAATTTGGTCATTATATACTCAACACTGAATTATATGAATTTTATACAAACCTCTATACAGTATATGTAATAAAGTAATACAGACTTAAAAACCATATTATAAGATATTACATGAATAGCAATCAGCAAATTGTACTAATGTTTTGATATACAGTATTAACTTTAAATGTTGTACTTTAAAAATAATATTACAACACATAATAATTGGTATATTTAATTCAAATGATTAATTATAGTTAATCCCAATATGTTTATTATAAACGTACTGTATTTTACTCTTAATCTTAGCAAAAGTTTCGGTAACTTTTTTTTGCTAGCGTTTACTTATTGAAACAAATGTTTGAATTTTGTGGCAAAAATATAAAAAAATACAAAATATACAATAAATTTACATAAACTTAATTTTTATACTGTATATACTCTCTGCCAAATGTTTGATAACTCTAAATTTAGATTATACTGTAATTAGCAGTTTAATTATAAATCTATGATTTTATTTAAAAAAATTATACCAAATATTAGGACAAAATTGCTGCATATAATTATAAATATTATTATCAATTGGTTTTACTTAAACAAAATTGATTAATATTTTGATAGTATTATAGTATATCTAGTGTTTGGAGTGCACTGTTGATTATAATAGTTATAGTAATCGACTATTTTTACGATATGATTTATAATAGGAAAAAAGTTAAAATAAATTATTATAAAAGTTAATATAAGTCACATTATGTATTAATTAAATTTGAGATTTAATGATCAATTATTTGTCAGTCACATCAATCCCTTCCCATTGCAATGGCATTGATGTTAACTATATATAACTATTTATATATAAGAACTAGTAATACAGTAAACAATTTGTGAATACATTTATTGAATGATTATGCGATGAAATAAAACACTTTATAATACTTTAAAAATTCATGTAAAGAGTACTGTCAGAGAAAAAAGCTTTAAATAAAAATTGTAAAATTAAAAATTATTATAAATATTGAAAACTTGAATTTGAAGGACACATTCATATATCTCTATGTTTTTTAAAAAACAGATAAACCCTCATTGTTATCATTCATTAAGAGTTTAAACATATTTAAAGTAATAGTAGTTTTAATAAAATAATACTTAATTAAAGTCACATATATATTTAATTTAATAATATATATATATATATATATAGTTATATAATAGATATGTAATATCAATGATAATAAATGTAAAACATGTCGCAATAAAAACATAAATTAATTATAAAATTTTTACGTTTATTCAATGTTTTTAAAATATCTTAAAACAACTAATATTATAAAGATAGTGTAAATTAAATTTAATTTACTTAAATAAAATAACTATTATTATATTATATATGACATATGTGAATATAATAAACATTATACTGTAGTACATCATCAGATAATAAGTGTAATAACTAAAACTATATATAAATTTTAAATATCACATCATTAAGCTATACATCAATATACTCATCAAATGACATTTTAATGAATTTCACGTCAATTTAGACAAATAAACTTTTTTTTAATAACAAAATGTTTTATTTTATTTTGCACATATTTACTATAGTACATTAAAAATAGCTATCAAACTAATATATAAAATGAAATTCATTAAAAAATCATTTTAATTTAGTCGATAATCTAATGTGTATCTGAAAAATAGCAGTTTTTTGATAAATAAGCTAAACTGCGACCTTCAATGCATTTTTATCATAAGAGATAATTTTTATGGCTTTTATTCAATTTATATAATTTCAAAGTGATTTTATAGACAACTTGGCGCTCATGAAGATTGCAATGACACTCAAAAAGCCCTTTCAATTCACAGAATTGCTATAATAATGAATAAACATAACATCTATACATACATGAGATTGCATAACAAATAAAGTTAAATCAGTCAATTTATAAATAGAGTCAATGATGTTATAATTTAACAATAAAGAAAAAATATAGTTATAACTTGTATAGTAAAATATAATTATTTATTTACATAAACATCCAAACAATTGATTGCAACCGTAAATGACAATTATATAATAATGTATATTTATTTAGTCGATAATTATATTTTAAGACAATTTATTTTTAAAACTTTTGATATCTTATTGAAAGTAAATACAATCTAATCTAATATTAATATAAATATAATTTATATATTAAATTAATCATTGTCTCCAAAATTTTATGATATACTTGATAACAGTATAATTGATTTTGTTTAAATGCTAATATACTGTATTTAATTGTAAAAATAATCAATTAAATGTATAGTAATATTAATTTTATAATAATTTTGTATTATAATAATTTTTATATTACTTTATTGTTGTACATTAATTAATAAATTCTATATAAAAATACTAAGATTAAATGATTATAATGTTGCCAATTATAAGCCGCAAAATTTACATTAAAATTATATTCAACAAATAATCTCAAATATTATATATAGCATACATTTTTATGTTTAATTATTTTTAGCGTTTTGATCAAACTTTATGTTTTTAATATATATTTCAATTTTGAAACTAATGTTTGATGTAAATGATGGTCATCCTTGATTTTTTTATAAAGTATATAAATCTGCAAAATGTTTAAAATGTATAAAGTGTTAAACTGGAAATATGTCCTTGCACAGTTAGATTAGAGGGGTGGTACCTAACATGTCATCCAATTCATTATTAAAATTACCATTTTCTTCGATGATCTTTGTCTATACAATGTATAGAAATCGTGAAAATATTAATTATTTTTTCAAATTATTAATAACTATAAACTTGAAGCTACATCTACAGAGCAATAAATATTACCGATATATTGGGTTATTATACAATATATTTATATTATATACATTTATTGGTTTGTAATAAATTTATCATTACTGGCATTCAATGTTTTATAGCAATTAATTTGCTGCAAATGTAAAAAAATACAAGTTTAGGCTATAATCCAAATATGGTATGCAATTGCAGGTACCGGTAAAGTAACTTTACTTATTGTACTTCAATTAATCAATAAAATTAAATTAAATAGTCAGCAAATTTCATTGATAGTCGAAAAAATAGATTCCGATAAACCATATTAAAGTAACTATGATTTGCGATTAGATTAATGGTAACAATAAATCCTAATTTATAAGCATATAATATTAATAGTTGCAATAAAATAGACATTTAGATCAAACAAATAATATACAGTATGTAGCATATAATTTGTGCCAATATTTTTATGTACTATTAATATATTGTGATATTATCATAAATATACTAATTTTTGCAAATTAAAGGACAATTTATTACATTAGATATTGGGAAATTGTAATGATACAGTACATCTCCCATTATAATGATAATACACAACATTTATCAATAATAGCTTATTTCAAATATTAAACGAGGAAATGATAATAGCTATTAATATAACATACATCGACTAAATAATAATAATAATACTAGTAGTAGTAGTATTAGTAGCAATAATAATAAAATACTAATAATAAATCACACCACTATTTAATTATGCCGGTAATACATAATTGTTATTGTTATGAAAATTTTTTCCCAATTTGATACTTGGCTTTAAATTACATATGAATTATGTAGTGATATGTAATTAAGTCAATATATTATATATAACTTATTTCTCGCTTTTTGTCATTTAGTTTATTCATACATTTGTGTAAACTATAATGTCGGCTATAATTTAATAATTTAGATTTTTAACAATTAAATTTTCAACACAAAAATGCCAAACAAATTTATAATACATAAATTAAATTAATAATTTTTCTTAAGTAAAAAATAATTGAATTTAAAATAAGTCAAGTATTTATAAAATTGTTTCTTTAATTTTTTTAATCAGAAAAATAGTTTTATCAATATTTTAATTATAAGTTATAATTTATAACATATACTTTCAAGTTATTAAATTAATGCAATGAAATGAGTATTTTATCTCTAATAATATATAATAGTAACAAATACTATAATTTTATTTAAACAAAATTTAGAAAATAAATTTATTTAAAATATAATGTCCTCTTTTATAATTATTTTTGAGATTTACTGACATAAAAACAAGTCAGATATTAATTGATAGGACATAGTGTTTGATAATATTAAATTAATTAAATGTATAAATAAATACCAATTAACATTGAAATTAAGTTATTTGTCTAAAATCAAATTACATGTTTGTATAAATTGTACAAAATATAAACTTATTACAGTATATATATATACTAAAATTACATTTGCTTTTACTAACAGCAATACATTTTTGTTGTCAATTTATAAAACATTTTAAGAAATTGTATTAATAGTATTTAAATTATATTATTATTATACTATATTAAAAAAAGCTGATAATTACGTGTATGTATACTAACACTTGGAATGGCAATTAAAAAGGATATCAAATATATTAAATAATAAATTTTATAAAAATTTATCAAATAGATATTTCAATTAAGTTTTACAATAATACTAATACAGTATTTAATATTTGAAAATTTTAACAACTTTGCCTATCAATAAACAAACTAATTTGTCTATTAATAAAGTTAAAGGCACTGAAATAAGGCTTAAAAGTTTGTTTGTTTGTTTGGATAGTTAGTTATCTAATAATTATGATATCCTCTGTGTTTAGATTGACAAAAAATAATACAGTAATAATGTGATTATTAAATAATAATATTAGATTTTTTTAAATAATATATATATATTTAAAAATTAACATAAAATATTTAGAGTATTGAACAAAACCAGACTTTCGACTGTTTTCTGGTCGGCTCATTGGCTCTCAAGTGATGACTCCCTCGCGATGGGTTCGACGCCTCCTATAATATATATTCAAACATACAATTTATTAGTTATCATAATTGATATAAAGTTTGTTTGTTGTATAAAAATTGTTATCTATTTTATTTGAAATAAATATTGAGTCTTCATTGAGAAATACTAAACAAATAATTGTTTGTTTCAAATGTTTATGTTATAAAAGATACTATATTTTGAGTCATACCTTCTTTGATACAAAAGACGGTAATTGAGTTTAAAGACAGATATTAGCGATGAAATGACAATTTAAATGTCAAAATAAATCAAGAAAATAATAGAGAAAGTGTTAACAAAAAAGTTTAGAAATAATAGTAAAATGATATCAATTGGTCAATGAATCGTCGATTACTTACAAGTTTTTTCTCCATTTTAGTCTTAATATCCTTTGCTAAGGCAAAGAAGGCCTCTTCAACATTGATAGACGCTTTAGCACTGGTTTCCATGAATTTGATGCCATATTCAATGGCTAACTGTTCTCCTCTTTCACGTGACACTTGTCTGCGGTCGTGAACATCACACTTGTTTCCCAAAATCATTTTCTCCACATCACTGCTCGCGTGTTCTTCAATATTTCGGATCCAATTCTTAATGTTTTCAAATGACTTATCATTGGTTACGTCGTAGACCAACATAATACCCATCGCACCCCTATAGTAGGCCGTCGTTATAGTGCGGAATCTTTCCTGTCCTGCGGTGTCCCATATCTGTAGCTTAATCTTCTTGCCGTCCAATTCAATGGTACGGATCTTAAAGTCAATACCTGTTTAATAGACAACAAAATACAAATTATCAGTTATTAGACAAAGCATTGTCTATAGTTGTGGCCAATGATAGCCAATAAAAAATAAAAATAATTAACAAAATTAGTCACCAATTGTTGAGATGAATGTCGTATTGAAGGCATCTTCAGAGAAACGAAACAGAATACACGTCTTCCCGACTCCGGAGTCACCAATCAGTAAGAGTTTGAATAAATAGTCGTATGTTTTGGCCATTGATGTGATGGTGTTGTTGTCAAAGTTGGTGATCACCGACGGAATCAATCAGTGATTGCTCTCAATGTCGACACAACTGTCAAAACAATTATAACAAACAATGAATTCAATGAATGTTTAGAGCAATCAATGAGTGATTCAATGATTCAATGAAATGATGGCAACGTTTACACCAAACAAACCATTGAATCATTGGTAGCAACAAAGGGATCGTTAAGTCATTGCATTCACACATTAATGTTTTTTACCTTTACTTCAATCTTTAAAGCAATAAATTAATTTTTTTTTACTAATAATGCAATTTATTTTTATTTTATTCATAATATTTAAAAATAAAAATACAAATATATATTAGTTGGCCCTCTCTATCAAAATTATCATGCACAACTTATTTGCAGATATATATATATATATAGTCTAGGAAACGCCCTAGATCACATTGTTATCAATAATTGCATTGTTATATCATATTTAGTTATTCTACAATATTATAGATTATTAACGACTATTTGAACTAATTGTTTGCTATAAGGATTAGGGCATACCTTATAATAATTATTATAGACTACAATATCTCTAATCTGTTTGGTTGGGGTTCACATCAATTGATCCCTCGCACTGACCTACTGTTCCTGCCATACAATCAATCCTCACGAAAACAAACTTTGACTTTACCTTTAAGTCTGAAACCAATTAATAAACTTTTTTGTTTTTTTTTTAAATTATCTGTAACTCTTATATAAATATTTATATTTTAAAAAATATGAAAGAAACTCGTTTATAATTATAATAATAATTATTAATATCACTTATTAAATATATCGTAAATTATAAGCTATAATATTAGTAAGTAATACTGTAGGCTATTACCTCATTTATAATCTTTAAAAATATAACTTTCAGTAGTTATACACTAAATGAATAATTGGCATTAATTAGACTTTATTCACATCACTCACGTTATAGTTACTAAAAAGCATTAGTAATTCAAATTAATAACTATTTATAAATACTTTTGTTTTGAATGAAATCATAACTAATAAAATTATATGACAAAATCATTTGAATTGAATTGACTGAAATTCAAGGTTTGCAAAAAAAATATCAAAAATGATGAAAATATAATTCATATTATATTCATTTGTATATTCAATTCTATATATTATTGAATATTTTATTAAAGTGATAATATTATATAACTTCATATTAAAACATTAATTATTTATTTAAAAATACTATTAGACAATATTAAAATTATCAAAAAAGTATATTTCAGTAAATCATAAAATATTTTCATTTTCATATTCAGAAGCGATTCCTTTTTGTCCACTTTTAATGACTGCGGCCTCTCTGTCGCCGGCATTGACTTGAAGTCCAAACCATTTGTTTGTCTCAAATACTTGTGTCTCAATAAGTCTTTTATTCAAGTCATCAACTGATGCCTCATCTATGTCTGAATGATCACTGATTGGTTCTGAAGTGTCATCTAAGTTGTCATTCCAGAGGACTCCTCCATAATGTTTGGTAACTCCGCAAGCGATTTGATATTCAGTCCAATTCAAAACTGGCAGATAATAGTCAATTGAATTGAGAGCTGTTGAACAATAGCATGAGTTGATGACAACAAAACCATTGAGTTCACCAAAGTTTCCTAATTTATATTCATCGATGGCTTGTATAAGTGATATATAATATAATTTTTTATGCAAACGTTTGCTTAATTTCTTGCTTTGACAACATATTTCATTGACATTAGGCAAAGGATTTGTGATAAGAAATCCAATTAAATGACAAGATTTTTGTTTAAACTTTTCAATTAAAGCCACTCTTTTTCCTAACTCTTTCGATCCATTTATTAATCGTTTTGTACTATTATTGACATCTATTTCTAGTAATTTACTACAATTTAATATTAATTCAAGTGAATTGCATTGTCCTAAATATATGACTAAATCATAGCTTGAAATATCGTTTGTAATTTTGAAAGGACCTAACTTTGTATCACTTGTTTTGTCATCTTTACTATCAATAACTGATTTGACACTATCTGTAAAATACCATTTGTCTGATTGTTTGTTAAGTTTAGCTAACGATACAATTGTCTTCATTTTATCATTGCTTTCAAATCTCTCAATTACTTGCATTGCAAGAAATGCATTGTTTGTAGTGTAAAGAAATAAACAATTTATTGGATCTATTTCGACAATCGCTGACTCAATGAAGTCCAATGATTCGGTCTTTACTATAAATTTGGATAAAAACGTGAAAAATAGCAAATATAATAAATAAAAATTAATTAACTATACGAACCATTTTTAGTGAAAACATACAAAACTGGTAGTGAATCAGTCAATTGTGATGTTGTGAGACAAACGTTACCGAAATATATGATGCAATCAACAGAATATTGGTTCAGATGTTTGACCGATAGATAGTCTACACAACACATCATTGAATATGATATACAATAATCACTTTGTGTTCGTTTCTTCAGAATTAAAGCAATTGTCGAACTGTATTGAAGAACATCTGAAGAAAATTGCAAACAAGTCCTCAAATAATTGTTTTCTTCAATCCATTCAACACATCCATTCAAATCAAACAATTCTGTTAATTCTTTTTCTTCAATATCACTAAAACTCATTTTTTTATTATTATTATTATTAATATTACTATTTATACCAAAAATTTAATTATAGTCCAAAAATAACTTTTTTCATTGCATTTAAAACTGTCGCCAAAAATATGATATATTTATTTGACACTTAATATTGTATATTCCTAATAAAAAAGATGGACCAAAAAATTCATAGAAATATTAGTAAAAGTGTTTCATTACCGGTAGTTATTATACTGTACTGTATATACTGTTATTAACTTTTAGCACATGTGCTCTCCTTATATTTAACATTAATTACAACTACATTATTAAATATATATATATAAAGAGAAAACATTTCTACTTCTAGTTTTTATATGTTTTATATAATTATTGGTTTATTTTCAAACAGTGATGTAATTATAACTTTTATTTTATTGTACAACAGGTCTGTCGACGAGATAACTGTGCAAAACAGCGAATGCGTGTCAAGAATATTGTGATTTTTATGTTAAGACTTCTGACTACTGATAATATACTGTAAATATATTTATATAGTATTTGTTTCAACTATTTTTATTATTGGCTCACAATTCAAGGCAATACTAATTTTATTCAGTTTATATTTTTAAATAATATTAAATGTTTATTTGTTTTATAATTAAATAATCCGAAAAATTACTAATTTTTTTTTTAACCAACTGATTTCTCATATTCAACATATTTAATAAAATTTATAATTTAATAAATTAAATAACCTATCTTATCTAAATATTTTCAATATGTGTGAAAATTATTTGGTGCATGTAAAGTGTGTCAATAATTATTTTTTTATAATATAAAGTCTATTTTAAATAATGTTTTTATATCGATTTATTAATTAATATCGATAATATATACAAATAAAATGGAAAATAATGCTCAACAAAATGATACCAAAAATGATATAAATACTAATAATAGTAACGAAAATTATAATGAAAGTGCTTTACAACTCTATAATCTCTCCCAACAATTCCTTAAATTATTTACAAAACTATGTTTTATATATATATTGGGTTATATGGGATTCAGCATCGCTTGGATACTAATTGGAGTATTTATATGGACTTTGAGACACAAATATTTCGCACAAATATATCAAAGAATTAGTTTTTTTAGACAATTGGCCACTAATGAGGAACCAACCATAACCGGTGCCATTAAAGACCTGCCCTCATGGGTCTACTTTCCGGTAATAAACTAATATAATAAACTATTACAAAATAAATAACTTAATATTACTTATATTTCTAATAATATTATACAACAATTATTGCATTATTCTTGCATTACTAATACTGCTTTAAGAAATGTGTTAATTAGTTACTCATTAATCATTAAACACTTGATTAGATATTAATCTCATGGGATTAATGCAATTATAACAAAAAATAAAATACAATACAATATATTAAATTATAGACTTTAGAATTAAGTATTTGTAATTGATAAATTTAAATTTAAATAAAAACTAAATATTATTTATAAGCGTCAATTCTATGAACAACCTAAATAAAACATTATTGTTTAGTTAAACAATTTTAATAAAAATAGGTAATAAAATTGTATTTGTCTAAAAATTACAGCAAATTATTGATAATACTATCTAACTATAGTAAATTAATATGTACATAACTGTACATAACTGTACATACCGTTATATTAAACTATAGTTGCTTAAACAACTGTTATAATAATTATTAAGAAATTTTAATAGTAGTTATAAAAGTAATAAATATAAATTTATTTAAGGACTCAGAAAGAGCCGAATGGATAAACAAAATTGTCAAACAAATGTGGCCTTTCATTGATGAATATGTAAAGACATTAATAAAATCAAGTATTGAACCAAATATCAAGTCAGCACTTCCCGACTTTCTCAAGAGTTTTCGTTTTGAAAGAGTTGATTTGGGATCAATTGTAAGATTAAAATCAGTTATAATTAAAATAACATTACTTTTCATATAAATATGTTGTTATATTTTTAACACATTAAATTATTTATATCATTTAACACGATATAAGCAATATTTAATGCAAACAAAATCATTTACACAGTATATAATGTGTAGAAATAATAACAATTAATTTCAAGTAATTATACAGTATTATCATTTGATTAATAAAAAAAATGTGGTGTATTACAGAATAGTTATAGTATATGGCTTATTCAATTAAGTATTTCAATAAGCATTTAATTGAGCAATATTGTTTTTACAATATTATCAAATAATCATGTTAATATTTAAGTATTTTTTTAAGATAATGCATTAAAATTATTATTATTATTTAAAATCATTATTATATAATCTCGTAAAGCCTTTACGTATCGGAAGTGTTAAATGTTACGATGAAAATACCTCAAGAGATGAAATTATTTTTGATATGGAGATAATGTAAGCGATTTACAGGTTATAAAAAATAGACCAATAAATATGTCATTAAATATTCAACAGTTATGCCGGCAATTGTGACATTCAAATCAGTATCAAGAATATGAAAGCAGGTATCAAACACTTTCAACTTTATGGTAGAATTCGGGTTGAATTACGACCATTACTTAAGGACATACCTTTAGTGGGTTGTGTTTCCGTTTATTTCCTCAATAACCCGGCAATTGAGTTCAGTTTAACTAATTTAGCTGATATTCTAGATATACCTGGACTGAGGTACATATTATTTATTTCTAAATAATTAAAAATAATTTTTTAATTATTATTATTATTAAATTATGATATAAGATATTATCTAAGACAAGCAATTCGTGAAAAATTATCAGCACTTATGGTTTTGCCAAACAAATATGTGTTTCCTCTAATTAATGATATATCATTAAAATCAATTAAATTTTCACAACCCGTGGGAGTTATTAGGCTTGAGATTATAGAAGCGAGAAATCTAAAGAAAAGTGATGTCGGAATGTTAGGTCAGTCCTATAAACCAATTATTAAAAAGTGAGAAAATAACAAATGTATTATAACTATATTAGGATTAGGAAAGAGTGATCCATATGTAATCGTCTTAATTGGTAATTGTGAATATAAATCAAAAGTAATCCCCAATACAGTTAACCCAAAGTGGAACTACATTTGTGAAACTGTAATCTATAATCTTCACGACCAGAATATTGAGATAGAGGTCATGGATGAAGATCAGGGAAGTAAGGATGACTTCTTAGGCAGAACTACACTATCATTAGCCACAATAGCCAATAATGAGTTAAATGAAGCGTGGATTACACTCAAAGATGTCAAAAGAGGTGCAATTCATTTAAAGACAACATGGTTTACATTAAGCACATGTATTAGTGATTTAAATGAAACGATTGAAAATAGTGTAATAGTCAGAAATAAATATGATAATGATAATGATAATAATCAAATTGATTCACCCATATTTGGTGCAGTGGGAGTCATCTTAATCTATTTGGATGGCGCCCGCAATTTACCGGTAACTAAGACAATGGGTGAACCCGACCCTTACTGTGTAATAACAGTGGGTAACGATAAAAATGAAAGCATTGTTAAGAAAAGTACGGCTAATCCCAATTGGGAAGAGGAGTTCAGTTATCTCATACAACATTGTAATGAAAACACTGAAATACATTTCAATATAATCGATAGTAAAGCTGACAGACATTTGGGAAGTGTTTCATTAAAACTTGAAAAAGTTATTTCCTCTGAAAACATGTTATTCAATGAACCCCTGCCTATCTCTGGTCGTACAACTGATTGTCAACTAAACATAAGTGTTAGCTTAAGAATTATGAAGTGCCAAAAATGCCAACAAATTCCCAGTGTTGTCATTGAAGAACCCATAGAAGAGATTTGTGATGAGCCAACCCTACCAACTATTGAGGATATGATTAAAGGAACGGTACAGCCTATCATTCATACAAGTGGTTATCAAATCAACAAAGATGTCATCGAAAAGTCTCAAAATGATAGAAAACATAAACCAATAAAGACTTCTGAAACTAATGGGTAAAATTCAGTTATATTATAATATTTAAATAATAAAATTGTTATTTATTTTTTAGGAAGTCTGAAGTAACAGCAAATTTGAGTGATGATCAAGAAAATCATGTAAAGTATCCGAGAATTTTGGTGACTATTCAAAAGTCAGGCTATACTAGTAAACCATTTTTGATTGTTCATAAGGCTGAGTAAGTAATTGATATTAATATCAAATAAAATTATTGCTTTGTATCTGAATATTAGTAATCTAAACTAACTATTTTATAAATAATAATAGAAATCTACCATTAATTGATGGTCAAAAACCTAATCCTTATGTTAAGATATACGGAACTCAGGGTAAAAATTCAATGACATTAAAGAAAAGTTTAAAATCAATAACAAAAAGATATACATGTAATCCATTATTTGATGAAAAGTTAGTTTTTATAAGTAAATTCTTTTAAAAATTAAATACTAAAAAATTAATCATTTTTTAAAAAACAATATCAGCTTTGAATTGGATAATAAATGGAAAGCTATAGATATATTGGTCTTCTCGAGGAATGGATCAGCTCGTAATGTATTCAAAAAGAAGTCTAATATAATAGGACTGACATCTATTCAAATGAATACATTGACACTGGAATCTCAACTAATTAAACAATGGTATGAATTGGAACAGCTGTCAGACTAAATCTCTGGTCATTAATAATATTTAGTAATAGTTAGTATAAAAATACTGTTTTTTAATACAAATCATAACAGTCTTTATTTAATCAAATTATTCAATAATCATTAAAAATGCATTTGTAATCATATGTTATTATTTGTTATTTAAAATTCATTTGTTAACAACTTATTATAAAAAAATGCTATAATTAAAATTATTTGTTGATTACCTTTACTTGATATCACTGATCATCTATAATACAAGTTTTTAGCGGACAGTTATCTGTTTCAGCATATATAGATTTTTATACAACTACGGTAATTGAGATATAATATCCAATATTTTTGACATATTTTTAGGAATAGAGATTTTGAATGAAAGAGAGAGAGACAGATAATACATATGATATAACTTTTATCAAAAATAATATGCAATTTAAAAATGGATTAATCTTAATAATCTAAAATGTAATTTAAACAATTTATGTCATAAATTTTATATATTAGAAATAATTTCTAATATTTGTAATATACAGTAGAAGTATATAGACTGTAGTATTACAATTAATTTTGTTGCAGTGATTATACTCTCTTTTTAATTCCAATATTACATTACACTTTATTTGTAAAATATATAAAATTTATTATATATATTGTTTATTCAATTAATTAATACTAAATTATATTCATTTTTTAAAAATTGAAAAATTACAGAATCATAATAATAGTCATGTTCTCTCTCTCTCTCTCTCTCTCTCTCTCTCTCAGAATTACTGCTGGTACCGAATCAGCAAAAATCAGAGAACACAGTTATAAAAAAATATACAATAACCAGTGTTAGGAATGACCATTGATGTTAAGATAATAAAAATTTATTGTTATGTGCTCTGACCTCAACAAAACATTATTTCAAATTAATGTGAAAATGTTTTATATTTATATTGTTTTTTGGATAAATGTTTATTTAGCAATCAGTAGTTATGTAAATTTAACAATTGTTTTACAGTTATTTATTGTATATCAAATTTTCATTACCGTATATTATCTAATATGCTATAAATGTACTTATATTGAATATTGAATATTATATTGTTCATTAAACTTAAATATTTGTTATTAAATAGTTATAAATTGTAATAAAAATATTTAAGATAAAAATTGTACTAAAATCTACACTATTAGTAGCGCTTTTACTATTGTCTATAAATATGATAAAAATGTGATGAATAATCACTTACCGTAAATTAATTTGCAAATACCATTAGAAAAAACCTGTCGTACATCACATAAGTTATGTCATTGAATCACTTAAAATATAAATTATTAATATATATATACATATTGTAATAAAGATTATAACTCACTATAATCTGTTATGATTGGGATATCTATAAAGCCAAACAGTATCAATACCGGTGCCAATTATTTCAATAGGTATCAAATTTGGTAATGGGAACCGACAGGCTATTACTTTAACCGAATTTCCACTTTGTTTGCAATCTTTTATAATTTTAGTTTCAAGTAAAGACATCATATCTTCAACACCGAAAATAACGATATTATCATAATTGGATGTATTTATCTATTATGTTATAAATTAAATCAAATAATAATTATAACATTATTAACTTAAATACCGGTAGTACTATAAGACTACTAAATGCATACTTTCCACAAATCTTTTCTTTGAAAATGTGTCAATCGATTGGTACCTAATAATCGTGACCTAAACTTGGAGTATAAGACAAGCCTGAAATATAAAATTTTTATAATTATCGTAAATAATTTTATATTATTGCTTTAATATATACAGTATGATTAAATAATTATACGATTATATTACCGGTACAAATATATGACAATAGGTAATTTACCGGTAATTTAATCAATATTTTTAGTTAATTTATGAAAAAAAAGTAAAATAAATATTATAAATTAGTTATAAAATATTATTTAATAAAAGTTATATAATGCAAACTGATAGTTATTAATTATACAATTTAAAACAATGTTATCAAATTTTAATATTACCGGTAAACTAAATGCATAACTATTTAATCAATTTATTATATGAACTGTCAATCAATTGGGGTTCAAATAAAGTAAAGGTATGTAAAAGACCTGAAGTGCACTGTTATCTCTCTCTCTCTCTCTCTCACTCACTCACTCACTCACTCACTCACTCACTCACTCACTCACTCACTCACTCACTCACTCACTCACTCACTCACTCACTCACTCACTCACTCACTCACTCACACACAATCAGAGCTTATTATTTAATTAATGGGATATTGTTTTTCTACAATCGGGTAATTGATTATAAGATAAGCACCGATAGTAAGTATTATAAGTTATAGCCAACAGATTTAAAATAAAACAATGGCTTTTAAAGTAAATAATACCAGGGATTGAGTTCAACGCCGTGTGATTGTAGGCCAAGTCGGGCGCATTCAATGACCTGTTAAATCAATTCATTAATACAAAGCAAACTTCGGGTCATTTTACGAGTAGTCATACAATTCTTCCGTCGCCCGAACCCAAGTCAATCACTGATTTCGTTTCAGACCGTCTTAATAGTGACAATACGTTACGGACCTGAGTATCGGTGGCCGGAATATATGGTAATACTTGTCGCCGAAATGCTGGCCAAACAAACGGCAAACTAATGGCCAAAAGACTGACTGAAACGCCGCCAAACACTGCAATACCAATGGATGCAATTAATTGCGATCTTTTGGTTTTGAGTTGACTGTTGTCTGGCTTGAAGTGGACGTCAAGTGTTGTGTTTGTCATTCAAGAAGTGGTTAAAAACAGTGGTCACTGTCTTCACGTGTAGTGATGTTTGTGTTGAAAACAATGCGAACATCGCTTATGTATCGCACTATCGAACCATTGGTTTCACGCAATCAATGCGTGAAACTCTCGACTCTCAGCTAAACCTTACGTAACCTTCAATTGACTTAAAAGAGAGTGACTTTAGTAACACTTAATTGAAATAAAAAAGCATTGAATAGTCATATACTCTATAATATAAAGTACTTTCATTTGAATTGAATTTAATTACATTTTTATAATCGTTTTCAACTAATATTAGCTTTCAATTGACAGCTTATGTAAGTTAAAAATAATAGTAATCACTATAGTTATCAAACATTTTCATTACACTACTGTTTAAATGATAAAAATATATTTAAAAAGTATATAAATAGCTATAAAATTGTCGTTTTCAGCGATTTCTCTCTCAAATAACATTTCAATTGAAACCACATTTCATATAAACTTTGAATTAATTGGTAAGAATATGACAAACACTTTAACCACATTTTATCTGAAAATTAATTGTATTATAATATTGATGACAGAGACAACTGGCCGATAATGTCTTCACCTACAGAACACATCCCTTTCCAGATGAAGGCCAACGAAGCCGATTCAATGCTGGACCACATGAGTGCCCTCGACATCGACTCCAAACCACAAGTAGTTCGTTTGACAGGAATTATCTGTACTATTGGTTAGTAATATCGAGGATTTGTATTTGGATTAAATGACAAATACTAACTGACATTTGAACTGTACGATAGGTCCGGCCTCACAGAAAGTGGAGACATTGGTTGAGATGATTAAGTCAGGAATGGTAATCTCAAGGATGAACTTTTCGCACGGAGAGTATGCGGTCAGTTGACACTTACGATTGTTTAGTATTATTATTAATATTTATTGATTGTCTTATGTTTTGTGACACAGTATCACAAGTCAACCATCGATAACGTGAGATCGGCGGCCAAATTGGCGAGCGAACAGTTGCAGATTCCCAACTATCCCGTAGCCATTGCTTTGGACACTAAGGGACCCGAAATAAGAACAGGTCTTCTGGAAGGAGTATGTTTTTAAACGATTTAATCCATTTTTGATTATACTATTATTACCGGCAATTTATTTTAACTGCTATTCAGGGCGCCTCCGCTGAGATTGAACTCGTAAAAGGAAATACTATTAAACTGACAACTGATGAGTCGTATTTTGAAAAAGGATCACAAGATATCGTTTATGTCGACTATAAAAATATTGTTAAAGTATTAGTTCCGGGAAATCGGGTTTATGTTGACGACGGACTTATCTCACTTGTAGTCAAAGAAGTCGGTCAGTAGTTTAGCATATATTTGATTTTATTGACATATCATATAATTTTTGATATTAAATATGAAATTTATGATAAAAGGCGCCGATTTTCTTGTTTGTGATATTGAAAACGGCGGCAAATTGGGATCTAAGAAGGGTGTGAATCTTCCCGGAGCTATTGTCGATTTGCCAGCTGTTTCTGAAAAAGACAAAAAGGATCTCGAGTTCGGTGTCCAGAATGGCGTTGATATGATATTTGCTTCATTTATCCGAAACGGTTCTGGAGTTCGTGAAATACGGGAAATTTTGAAGAAGGCGGGACCCGGCGGTGAAAATGTTAAGATTATATCAAAGGTTGAGAACCACGAAGGCGTCAAAAAGATTGATGAGATTATTGCTGAAAGTGATGGTATTATGGTTGCTCGTGGAGACCTTGGTATTGAAATACCGGCTGAAAAGGTGTTTTTGGCACAAAAGATGATGATTGCTAAGTGTAATGTCGCGGGAAAATCAGTCATATGTGCCACACAAATGCTTGAAAGTATGGTTTCTAAACCAAGACCTACAAGAGCTGAGGTGTCCGATGTGGCCAATGCTGTCCTCGATGGAGCCGATTGTGTCATGTTATCGGGAGAGACCGCTAAAGGACAGTATGCTTTAGAAACAGTGGTAATGATGCATAACATATGTTTGGAGGCTGAGTCCGCCGTTTTTACAAAGGTTTGCATTGTTTATCTATATTTTTGAGTAATTAGTTAATTTGAATCAATTTCATTACAATAAAGAGCGTATTTCATGAATTGACATACAAAACGCCGACTCCGGCCGGATTGACCATTACTATGGCTATTGCAGCCGTTAACGCATCACTCAAATGTGGTGCTTCTGCTATCATTGTGTTAACTACAAGTGGAAAAACAGCGTATGAAATATCTAAATATAGACCCCGGTGTCCTATTATTGCAGTTTCACGTAACGAACAAACCACAAGACAGGCCCATCTCTTCAGAGGTCTTCTACCTTTCCATTACCCTAAACCTAGAAACGAGTCCGAAGAATGGGTTAAAGATGTAGACACTCGACTCAAGGAAGCGGTAGAGTTCGGTAAAAAGAGAGGTGCACTCAAAACTGGTGATGTAGTTGTTTTTGTGACCGGTTGGCGTAAAGGGTCCGGTGCTACCAATACTTTGCGTGTCATTGCTATTGAATAATCGTAATATTTAATTGAATCAAATATTTAACATTTACCGGTAATTATAAAATTACAGAGACATGTATTATTATTATTATTATTATTATGTGAAATTTAGTGTAAAATCCATTGTCTATATTTATAATTATTTAGTTAAATTATATTTTAATTTAAAAAGATCTGTATTTTTATTATTTTATTTAGAATATATATATATATAATATAACCTATATATACAGTATAAATTATATATATATATAAACTAGGATTATTAATTAATTTAAATTATTTAAATAAATTACTCAAAAATACTGTGACTTGTTAATTACATTTATTAAAAATTAATATAACCAAAAAATAACAAATGTTAGAATTAATATTACAATTAAGTATAAAAGTTAACTAAAGACTAGATAAAAATCAAATTCAATTAATTGATGGTTAAATTAAACATTACTTAATTGAGTTTTTAAATATACATTTAGATATAACGTAAATTATAAATTTTATGTGTGTATATAATATATTTATTTCCCAATTATACAGATGATATAAAACAATAAAACATAACAAAATAAATTAAGTCTTAAAAATATATTATGATATTAATAATTGCCATTTATATGTAGTTTTTAATTATTTGTAAATGAGATTCAAATCTAACTCAGAACTTAGTGATGGATATAGTAATCAATATATAATATGTCGTTAATTGTTAATTATTATTTATTTATATTACGGTTATGACCGCATACTAATTTATGGCCATTAAAGTGATAAATAATGATAAATATATCTTAATTTGACATTAAGTTCTGGTTATTAACAAACAAATAATATATACTTTTAAAAATAAAAAATAAATTTCATCTAATAATAAAAATCACAAAATGCTGTATAATTATGGCTTAACCGGCTTCAGCCCAGTCTGTGTTTTGACTCTAGAAGTATGTATAGCTCTATTAGACTTGGTTTGGCCTGTTTTGGGCACCGGAATCATTGACTTGTAGTGACTATTTGTTGAGTTTTCAGTGTTAAGTGTTGTCGGCCGAGGAATCGATGACTGAGGTCTTCGTAAAACTAATTTTGGTTTTCGAGCGATTTCTGGTTTACCCGCGATTTTATTTGACATCTGTTTCGACCTCACCTGTGATGTAGAATCTTTGGTTTCGACTTTGGAGGCAATACTCTCTTGATTTATAACACCATTGATAGAACTGTTAGGTTTTAATTTAATATCTGAGGTGATTGTAGCCAATGACTCCCAGCGTTGTTTTAACTCTTTAAAGCTGTTTGAATCGGTGTTATATTTAGCCGTTTTAGTCGATTCGTAGCCGTTATCGATATTCTCATTAAAAGCATTTTGTGGTGTATTTTGAGTACAATTTTCAGATTGTGATCCTTTATTTATTGATACATTTTGTCCATTAATTATATTCATAAGTTTTTTAAAACTCAAATCCATTGCCAATAATTGGCATAATTTATCGATAGAATTGGTGTTTATATCAGTATATGGCGTCTGAACAATGGGTTTGTCTGCTGAGGTCATCGGTGACTGTCGTGGGGTTCGACAGCAAGAATGGCAACAATTATGGCAACAATGTTGATGACAATGACATGAATTGTGACAGTTAGGCATTGTTACGCTTCGAGGCATTCCTATCGGTATGTTATGAATACCGGTATTATTGAGCTCATCATTAATATGGCACTCGGGTTGTGGCTCACAAAATGCTGAAAATGGATATTCTTGTAATGAAAAACGTTTGTTTCGAATGTATTTTCTATTCGACGACTGATTCTTATTAAATAACTGTCCATTGCTTCGATGAGTTCGCATTCGTACACCATTTGTGACATTTGATTGAAAACTTTCAAAAACTTCTGATTCATTGTTTGTTTCATTAGTTGTATTCGAAATATTGTTAACCTTTTGAAACAACTCTTTAAATTCGTTCGGCAGAAGTATATTAAGTGAATCCCAATCCTTAATGTGATTAAAATTTTGTTTCGAAAGACTCTCAAAATCGTTGAATGATTTGGGCCTTCCTTTTGGTCGAGTCTTTTGACGCATTTTAACGGATACCGACTCTCTGGCAGGCATTTGATGTTTAGTAGGCGACATATAGACCTTTTGTGGTACAATATTAGATTGTTCTTCAAGTATTTGTTCCAAAAAGCTTAAGTCAGGTAATGAATAATTAGGATAATAAACATAAACAGATTTCAATGAATCGTTTGGTGATTCCGGTGTCATCAATGGTGTCTGATTGGGCACATAATTAAGATTTTGTTGAAAAGTCATATCTGATGTAAATGAACTCTGATTTACAAATTGAGTGTTTGCCGATCGGGAGCTCGGAGTTGCATAAATCGGTTGTTTATATCTTTGATTTATATTTTGTTGATTAGATCGTGAAATGAAAGGATTGGTACAATAGTTTGCATCGCTATTATGTGAAGCTTTGGTCAATGGATTTGTTTTGGAATAATTCTTTTGAGACTCTGGTTGTGACTGAAGAAATGGATTTAAATTCAGTGGATTTCGATTGACATCAGAGATGTTAGAATTGATTTCATTTATATCAACACTTTTCATATTGATATCAGTTGTAAACGAATCCGATATATTTTCATCGACTTCTTTGATCGGGAAAGTATACATTCTTTGAGATTCAAATCTTGTATTTTTATATATATTATCATCATTTGTAGTCATATAAGAGCCAAATGTATCCGATTTTTTAGATTTATTTTCTAACATAATATTATTATTAGCCTCGCGAGCCATTTCAAGAATATTGTAATAAATAGGTCTGAATGAAGCGTCGGGTGTATTACCAGCAGTTGATTCTTGAGAACGACTCTCATAACTGAGTGATGGGCTAATCTGTTGACTTGAAAAAGGAGACCTATTCTGCATAAATGCCTTAACTAGAGAACGGGGTGGACTAAACTCACTGCCAGATGAATGCGAGTTTGATGATTGACTACTTTGCAAATCATATAATGGTATAAAACCACTGACCGGACAATAAGGCAATCTATACTCTCCATTCATTTTAAGTAAAGTCTTAACGTCGGGAATACTTTGAGTTAATTTTGCATTCAATTTGATCACACCTTTTACTAATCTATTGCTTTTATTACATAACTTGTCTTCAAGTTGTGAGGATTTTGTCATATTTTTGACATTTTCATTATTTTCATAAAAATTAGATTTATTCAAATCGGATACTTTATCATTATGTAAACCATTGAGTTCTTGAGATGATGTGATACTTCCCTCAAAAGCAATGGTGTAATTCTTTTTGTCTCTTATGGTACACTTTTGTAATAATTTTGATGTATTTTTTTCAAATAAACTCGAGTCTAGACTGTCCACTGAAATATCATTAAAATAATTTTTATCGCCATTTAATTTTGTATTATCAATGTTTTCACTGTTTATAGCATTAGTATCTTCAGAGAGCTCTTCGCCACTATTAAGTGACTGATAAGAACTAGTTTTAGAAAATATAAAAATTGAAATAAAATAAATAAATATTACATTATTATATGTTATACGGTATAATAATGTGTATTCGCCCACATTATTGACCCAAAAGGATAATTACCTTAAAGAGACTGATTCATCAAAAATAGATCGCGAGAGTGACAGAGAGTCATTGGCCGTGTTCTGCAAGAAAACAGCGTTTATGTCCTCACTTCTGAACGTCTCGATGTCTATTTCAGCCAAATTTGCGTCCAATTTGTTACAAATGTTTACATATTTAGACGAGTCGTGTGAAGGAGGCGTTATATAGCTGTTTGAAGAGGAGGCCAACAATGAGTTTTCAAATACACTTTTTGGTGCCGACCGGCAATAACTAGTATTTGCATCGCTATTTTGTATAACATATAAAATAGTCATTTAAATTCAATATTTCATCTATTATTTGTTGTTAAAACTAAACACTCATTAATTGTAATACTGACCCGAATTTTAAATAATGATCTTAACATTTGTACAAAATTATCATCTATTAAATGATTTAATTATAAATCATACTTAAAAAGGTTGTATAATGACTCAGGATTTATTCATTAATTACTATAATAACTAACTTTAATGTTAATGTCATTGTTTAAAAAAATTAAAAAACAAACAATTATTTTATATACAAACAAACCTCTTATATTGATAATCAACTTCTGCACACCACTGAAGATCATCAGTGCTGTCCTGAATTAAAGATATCTCTTCTGAACCGAGTTTTATCTTATCGACGCTTATCAATGGATTGGTTATCTCACTGATTGGACTCTTGGTTGAGGCCATCAATTAGTCAATGAATTAGCTTCATGTCATGCATTAAATTTGCAATATTAACCTATTGAATAAATTTTAAATACAATTAAATATAATATTGATATATATATACTGTATAAATGTATATAAGAATAATTTAATTACTGTATTAATCAATAAAAACTGAAAGCATAAAAGTAAACTCTCATATAAGTGACAACTGGACATCAATTTCTATGTTAAGACATTTATTTTTCATTAACCATATCTATCAAGAAACTAATGGTAGCGCTAATGTTAATCAAAATCAAATAAATTATTAAAATGTTAGTCTAATATATTGTATATATAGTAGTATAGGTATACCTTATAAGAGAAAAATAAATAAGAAAAAAGATTAGTTCATAATAATGGTATCACTAAAAGTAATGAAAAAATTAATTAAATATTAAAGTATAAGATTTAAAGACTAAATCAAAAACAAATCATAAAGTTTTTTATTTATTATAATTAACATCACTATAATGTTTCTCATTTAATAACAAACATATCTTTTAAACCACTAATACATAAACACAATAATGCACTTAAATGTCATCAACTTTGTTGATATCATATATTCATGTATTAAATATATGATAACTTTAATAAATCAATTAAATGGTAACTTATAATAATAATATCAACTTTCAAATTGATAACTAATTTTTAAAAAATAAAAAAAAATAATAACAGATAAGTAATACCAATTGTGACACAAACCTCACGTTTAGTTCATCACTTAAGTCAAGACATTTGAGGCCACGATCTCTTGTATTAAGACATTTGTGTCGAGTCATCAATGGTTTGGTTTGGCGTCAAGAATTGGGTCAACAATTGATGAATATATTTATGGCAACCAATTAAATGAAAAGACAATTATTAGATATAAATAGATTTATAGGAAATGATTAGTCATTTGAGTGATAATAATCTCATCCAATGTCTGAAAATGTCTGCAAAGTGTTTGTCTGTCAAAAGTAATCAATAAATCGATTTTATGTACCAAACAGTCACTCGTATAGCATATCATATATGACTAACTCATGAGTTTGATGGTCAACAATGAGTATAAGTGAACCAATTGGTGATGTCTTTTATGGTGATTGTATTGATTTCGGTAAACGAGTCATATTTGGTCAGAAAATGCGGTAATGAGTCACAGTCTCTAAGTTTGGCGCCCGTCTCACACGTACTTAGTGTACGACCCGTTGTTATTGAGTGTGACATCTAGTGGTGATTAATGTGATTGAATGACGCCATTGATACACATATTGGTAGACATACTGTAGTTGTTGTCTATTGTTTGATATGTATTGATATACAGTATGTAATGTGTATAATGTTGTGTGTGTGCAATGAAAGTCATGGCATAGAGTGTGCCATAGACTGTGCCATAGACTATAGTATAGTATAGTATAGAGTGATGAGTGCAATGAGTGTTATAACAGCTATAACTTCTATGACTACTATAATAACTATAAGTATAACACAATCGCTGTTAGTATTGAGTGTTTGATAGACTGTGTGTAAGACTGAGTCAGCCTTTGCTCAGTCAGTCAGTGATCGCTGTTGTCGGTCGGCAACCATCGCAACGGTAGTAACACCCGTGAGGACATCGGAACCAACTGTCGACCAGCTCTGGTGAGTCTGACGAGTGGGTCATACATACACTTTAGGTGTGTGTGACAGTCAGTGATCTCCGTCTAGTGAGCGGACAATGCAGAACAACACGTCGTCGTCATCGGCATTAAACTCGACAATGAAGTCAAGTGATGGCAGTGTTGGTGTTAGTAGTGTTCAGTCTGACGCCAATCAGCCGCGAACCCTATATGTTGGCAATTTGGACGCATCCATAACTGAAGAATTGATATTAGCCTTGTTTTCACAGATGGGACCCGTAAATGGATGTAAGATAATCCATGACTCGGCCAACTCTGATCCCTATTGTTTTGTTGAGTACAACGACCACCACTGTGCGGCCACAGCACTTCTTACAATGAATAAGCGCCAGTGTATGGGCCGTGAGCTCAAAGTGAACTGGGCTACCAGTCCTGGCAATACGGGACCCAAACCGGACACTTCAAAACACTTTCATATATTTGTTGGCGATTTGAGTCCAGAGATCGAAACACAACAACTGAGGGACGCCTTCAGTCCATTCGGTGAGATATCGGACTGCCGTGTAGTCAGAGATCCGCAAACATTGAAATCGAAAGGCTATGGGTTTGTGTCGTTTGTGAAGAAACAGGACGCGGAAAATGCTATCTCAACGATGAATGGCCAGTGGTTAGGCAGTCGTGCCATTCGCACCAATTGGGCTACACGTAAGCCACCGTCCAGTGGGCGCACACAAGAGGTCGGCCCCGGTATTAATCTTAATACCCGACAATTAACATTTGATGAAGTCTACCAACAGTCGAGTCCAACCAATTGTACCGTATATTGTGGCGGAATAATGACGGGATTATGCGATGAATTGATACAAAAGACATTTGCGCCATTTGGTCCCATTCAAGAAATACGTGTTTTTAAAGATAAGGGCTACGCTTTTATAAAGTTTGCGACTAAAGAGGCGGCAACTAATGCCATAGTGTCGACACACAACGCCGATGTATTGGGACAGACAGTTAAATGTTCGTGGGGTAAGGAGTCGGGCGATCCTACTATCACTCAACCGACCCATCAGTCAGGAACCACTGTTGCCGCCGCACAATCACTGTGTTATCCCTATCAACAAATGGCCGGCTATTGGTATCCACAGACAGCTGGCTATCCACAAACGTTACCGTCGGGTCAGTTTGCAGTACAGGCAGGCGTAGCGCAGTATCCATACTCCCAATATTATACCTCCGCTCAAACAACGGCCGGTTTCAATCCGTCAGCCGCCGCAGGACTGGCAATGCAGATGGCCTGGCAATCGGGAGCCGCTGGTGCTGTTCCCGGACAACAACACTTAGGCGCCCAAACACATCAAACAGGATTAGCACCGGGCATTCAGCAGCCGGCTATGATTGGTGCCTACCCTATGCAAGGCTATCAAGCTCAGTAGTGGACAGTCGGGTCGATATAGTCGGCCACCTATTATTCATCATTAGCTATATTAGTGCACTCATTATATAATTCATACAACAACTCAATTGACTAAACAGCAACACAACAGACGGCAAAGTTAACCAACAATTATAACAACAATAACTACAACACTACTAAACAAACAAAACATCATAACATTGAACTCTATGAACGGGTAAACCATCCCTTCATTTAATTAATTAAATGATTAATTAAAACCCAAATGTTATAAATATTATTAAATAATTACTGACAATGTCTCACATGTGATGCAGAAATGTAGACATTTATATATTGATAAATACATAACAAAATATAGTAATAGTATAGCATTTAATCAATTAATGAAGCGTTCAATACATTGTATGTCATTCAATAAAAATAAATTGAATGTCATTTAATATATTGAATAAAAAATTATGAGTTTTTTGTATAAAGTCTAATAAAAAGTTTAAAATTTTACACAAGAATTTGTAATAAGCTTTGCTTTGCCATTAGTTGATTATAAGAGATATCATTATACAGATTATATATACTGTATATATATATATATATATATTTGTATGTAATAATATACATATAAATTATATAAAATATATGGTAATAATCAAATCATAACTACAAGCAGACAAAATTATGCACAATATTATACAAAAAATGAAATTAATTGAAAAAATAAAAAGTCATATGACATATATTATTATTGTTTTTCATATATTGATTATCAAATGATACAAATTCTCTACAAAAAAATAGAGAATGCAATCCCTGTTAACTAATTTAAAAATAAAGTTTGCAAAAATACATTTAAATTTATATAAATAACTCATAACATTAAAACATCAATTAAATATTCACAGTTAACATTAAAATTGTCAGTTTATTTTAATTATGTATTAATTGAAATGAAAAACTTCATTTTTTCATTTAAAGATTTCTATGTAAATCTTAACTTATAAAAAATCATGTCTTAAGTTATATTATTATTATTATTATTGAAAACATAGGCCTCAAATCTAACGGTGATATTTGTCTCTATTATACCTGTACTATACCATTATATTAAAAAATATAGTATATGATACATATATGATATGATATATATATATATATATATATTGCTAAACATAAATATATACAAATATGGTCATTTTCAGACTCATAACTCCATATATATAACTATTTCATAATTATCTTTGAAAAACTTGTGAGTTGTTTATACAAGTCTTTGGTAATACATGTTTGAAAACAATCATCACATCCAATGGTCCATCATTTGATGGGTTGTTACTTCATAATCGATAAGTTGATCCTTGAGTTGACACAAACTCGAAGAATCATTTGTTATAAAACATATTTAACTAATAGTATACATATATCTGGATAAACGCAATGTTGGGATGAATTTATAGTATTTTGTTATTATTAGTTAATTGATATAATGGTTAACATTCAAGTGATGTAATGAAGAGAAAGCATGCATATAATGTATGGTAAAAAACACTAAAATTGTATATAATTTATATATAATATTATTAAAAGTGTGAAATCGATGAGAAAGAGATAATTATGTTTTTATAATACAGTATATAATAATAAAAACTATGAATTGTATGACACTTTAAAAGGTGCTATAAATTAAATAATTGAGTTTATAATTGATGTGTGATTTGCTATTCAAATGAAAAATCAAATGTTAGCTAACTTTATACTTTTATTTGATAAATTCATACAACATATACAATACATATAAATTATAACTACATAATAATGATTGTTGTTTTGTCAGTTGTATTAAGTTATTGAGTTATATTGATATATACAGTATACATATATATATATATATACAAAAGTAAAACAAAAATACATAATACAAATACAAATACAAATACAAATACAAATACATATACATATATCATACATTCATTTGTAAACATATATAATAAAAAAGTATTAATCACAACATTAGTGCCAATACGAGCATCTATTGTCATGACTTGAGGTTAGACATTGCAGTACTTGTGATGTCTATTATATTGTTTATATCTTAAGTCAAATCCCTTGACTTCATCATCAATGAAGACACAGAAGTTGAGGACTAACTTATAAAATAAGAACGATTTTCTAATGTTATATATAGTTATATGAATAAGAAATTGGTGTAAAAAGACAGCAAATTATATGTGAATGTTCTGTAAGTAACACAATATTATATTACAACAGAGGTATCAATAAAAGCTACGGTTGTTTGAAACGATATTATGTCATAATATTTTAATTAAATGATATTTTGAAACACTATTTCAAGTCAATTATTCTGGTAAATGAATTTGAAAAAAAATGATGAATGCCTTTAACAATAAATAATACAAAAAATGTATAACACAATTATAGATTTGTTATAAAGTCATTAAATATAGACTAGTATTCAGCAAATATAATAAAAGGCAAATGTTTTTGCAATGATTTGTACGTTTATTGATACAAAATATTGAATAAAAATTTTGAATAGTGTTGGACATGTTTAGCAGAAAAATATATTGCTATATTTAAAAATGAAAGTCATACAAATTATATATATATATATATATATATATATATATATATATATATATATAGTATATAAATATATTATTATTATAATTATATATGTTTATAATGAAAACCAAATAAATAAAAAGAGATTCATAAAACTAATTTTGCTCTTTATTTCATTTTAACTCTAGTTTTTAGTACTCTTGTGTTTCATTACTTAATTGTTTTTTGTTTAACATTAATGGTTGGCTATTGATAGTTGCAAAGGATGTATTTTTAACAAAAAAAACTGGTCTTAACTATTAAATGAATTATATTGTCTTTTGATATTTTATCATATATATATATATTTATATATATATATTATACAATGGAGACTATAGATAGTATTGGGTTACAAGTGTAGTATAATTAGTATAACAAAATTGGTTATTTGTATAATATATAAATTTATATATAAAAAACATTTATCACAAAAGATTGAATGGTAAGCGATTCTCTGACAACAGTTGTTTTAAAAGTGGACCAATTATTGTGAAATTATTTTATTTGATCAAATGAAATGAGATAAGATTTAACATTGGTTTTTATTTACACATAAAAAATTGTTTTAAGTAAATATATCGACTCATATTTTTGGTGATCAATATCTATTAAATTAAAATAAATGTTTCAATTGTAAACTATAAGTAGTCAATATTGATAATATAAATGAAGTGATTTTCAGTTTAGTATTACTCCTTATAATCTATTAAATTTATCAATAATATAAATGAGTATATACTATATAGTATACTGTATACAGGTATATATATATATATATTATACTAAACTGAGGATCTGCATTTTATTTTGTAATGGTTAAGTTATTTATCTTACTACTTAGTTAAATAAGTAAAAATTATTAATTGCCAATATTAACTCATTTTTTTTATAAATATTTATAAATTATTACATTTTAATTAAATTATAAGAGACTTAAAGTTTAATAATATTAACAAATTTAATTGTATGAAAATATTATGTTATTATATAACTGTATATAAGCACGACATGGTTTGTCTCAATAGTAAAAATATCTCCACATAAATAGACAATAAGAGCATAAAATTAATATTTAAGTTGAGACTAATTTCAATTATTTACTAATAGATTAGTGAATTAGTTTTTATAACAATGATTTCAAGCTTGTATTGTTTGTATGTGAATGATAGTGAGTAAATGAGTTAGACTTAGTGGGTGAGTGAGAGATATACAGAGAGAGAGAGAGAGAGAGAGAGAGAGAGAGAGAGAGAGAGTTTGGGATAAATGGATGAACTCTAAGATCTCTGGATTTATATTACTTTGAGCCGAGACGACAACACACTCTCACACACGAAGCAGATATACTGAGAAAATAGATGAACATTGTTGTTGTTTTGCTAAGATTGTTAGATAATGTTAATAATGATGATTATTTGAGTAACTGTGCTCTTAGTGTATAACTTTGAACTAAAAAAGATAAGTTTATATATTGAAGAATATGTGGAAAAAGAGAAAAGAAATGACAAATAATTAATAGTCATTGATCTGAATGTGTGTTCAGTTATGCAGATTTATATGTGTGATGGCATTCACATCACATCAATTGCCACCGATTTGTTTGCTTCAGATGGAGAAGCACTGGCAAAGTCAGAGGTAATTAAAAATCAGAATTAATGTCTAATCATTAGAGACCAGATCTCACGCTAAATATATGTTTTATGTTATCAAATGATATAAATATTGGATAATAAGATACACATAATAACATTAACAACATATTAAAAATTCTGCTTGATATTCTTAAGCAATGTTAACATTATATACAGTATACTATCATTTTATTTATACATTAATTTACTTTTAGATTAAAGTAAATGCATTTTCCAATTACAACATGCATTCATGTAAAATGCATTTAAAATTTATACCAAATATTATGAAATTTTTGCTATCTTTAAAAAACAAAAACGTTGATCAATTAAATGCAAAATATGTTAACTTTATCATAAATTATGTAAGCATTTGATACATTAAATTATATTTATCGGTTTTAATTGTAAAGTAAAATAAAAGCAAACAATTTTATATTAGTATGATAATAGATATGGATTCAAAACGACTTTACTGTAATACAGTATTATTGTAGAGTATATGTTAAGCATATTAAAGCAGTCATATTAGTTTTATAACATATTAAACATTTTGATTATACAGTATATGGTTTGATGTGCCTTTAGATAGAAGACAAATATTTTTTTGTTGCAATTTTGTTACAAAAACATATGATAGTAATAGTAAAAGCAATATATTTAAAGCGTTTTCGCTGTTATTTCAATGCATGAAACCGACCGGAAAGCAATGTAAACCACCAGTGATTTAGCCAATGAAAAGACATACCAAATAGACATACATATAGATAGACAATATGTATGGCACCGGCATATGTATGTCAAGTCATAAATACAACTGTTCTCATCAGTGGTCAATCAATTGGAAACATTCTTCACTGCTTTTTCTTTTGTCGTCAAAATATGCATTTAATGTAATAAAAATATTTACTTAATTTTAGGCGATTAAACACTATTTTCAACAATCACTTTGGCGATAACCAAACATCTCTCTCTAATATTTATATTTATTTCATATATAATACTAGATTCTACTGTATAAATGTTTGTTTTTATGTTTTATTACATAATATGTAAATTATTTTTATGTTACATTATTTTATATTACAGATTAAATAACTACAGCAATATATACTA